TAATACTGTTACATAAGCATGAATGTTTTATGGGCTCTTGCCAGTAAGAAATACTGCATTCTATCGCCTTGGCGGCTCAGTTGGGAATGGTCCCTGAATTTTCATTAAAACAGACAAAGCCTTATATTTTAACTAAACATATTCATGGCAAATTATTTAACAGCAGTTGTTGGTCCCCCCCCTTTCTTTCAGATGTAATTCATAGCATGCATTGCGTCTCCTTGGTCTGCCTCTTTAATTTCTGAGCATCTCCTTTCGTCCTTGCTTTGCTTGAAAATGAGCACATGTCCTGCCCACTTCCTACCCCTTGTAAAGGAACCAAAAAATGTTTCACATTTCTCCAAGCCTCCGACAGCGGAGGAAAATATCTTTATGTAAATCGCAGCATAACCTCATTTCGTCCAGATGGATGCCTATGTTTTGACAGCATAACATGGAGACTACTGCTTCGTTGTGATTAAAACAACAGCATCAGCCAAAGGGCTGAAACAAACATGGTCTGCCATTATGTACCTAACTTCAAAGCGGGCATAGGAAATCCTTTTGAGTCTGAGGGGCACTTTCCCTTCTAGGCAATCTTCTGAGGGCCACCTGCCATTGGTGGCAAAAGTGGGTGGGGTAATGGATCTTAATTTTAACTTTCTAAAGGTAAAGGAGCCCTGAACAGTTAAGTCCAGTCAAAGGTGATTGTAGGGTTGCGGCGCTCATCTCGCTCTCAGGCCGAGGGAACCGGCGTTTGTTCACAGACAGCTTTCTGGGTCATGTGGCCAGCATGACTATACCGCTTCTGGCGCAACAGGACACCGTGATGGAAACCAGAGTGCACGGAAACGCTGTTTACCTTCCCGCTGCAGCTGTACCGATTTATCTACTTGCACTGGCGTGCTTTCGAACTGCTAGGTTGGCAGGAGTTGGGACAGAGCAATGGGAGCTCACCCTGTTGCGGGGATTCGAACCGCCAACCTTCTGATCGGCAAGTCCTAGGCTCTGTGGTTTAGACCACAGCACCACCTGCGTCCCCCCCCTACCCAAGCAAGCAGAAATCAAAGCAGGCAAAAGCATTCAAGGATGCAGAGGGCACCTGGTGAGGATCGTGGTGTGACCTAAGGAAGGTCCTTAGGACCAGAGAGAGAGGCTTGGAGGGTCGCATTCAGACCCCAGGCCTGAGGTTCCCCATCCCTGCTTTAAAGCAACCTTTAAAGGGCGCCTTCACACAGCACATAGCAAAATGATGGGATTTGCTACCGCAAGATGTAACAACAGGCCGCCATCTTAGTCAGCTTTAAAAGGAGACTGGAGTCATCCATGGAGGTAATTCAATAGCCTTCAGCGTCTAATGGCTTCAGGATCAAAAGCAGCGTGTTTCTGAATAAGTCACCAAGGAACACTAGCAGGAAAGGGCTGTTTTCCTCATGTTCTACTTATCCTCTTCCCATAAGTACCCGGTCATGGTGGGTGCAGGAGATGCTAGCCTAGACAGGCCTTTGGTCTGATCCAGATGGGCTCGCCTTGCAATCATGTATCTCCCATGGTTATTTGAACCCCAAATCACACAAATATCATACCATTTCCTGGTTCGCTACAGACGCCAGGAGGAGGAGGAGCTCACTAATTATGAGGTGGGAGGGAAAAGAAGATTCCAACGTGCAACGCTTTTCACGCCACGGCTGCCTGAGAAGTTCAACAGGCCATTTAACATTGTGTGGATATTTTTTTCTCTCTCTTTTCACTGTAAATTTGCAGTGGATTGTAAAAGTGCCACGTGGTTTATAAATGCTTCCAAAACAGTGCTTTTTTTCCCCTTAAAAAAACAGGTGCCGGTACTCACCATGAAGTTGTCACAGTAACTGCCACACTTTTTAACAACAAACATATCAGACGACACAGCGATTCTTCAAACAGCTCACAGGCCAGAACAGAACTGGGCTGAAGGGTTCAGCCAGCCTGCTTATACAGTGGTACCTCGGGTTACATACGCTTCAGGTTACATATGCTTCAGGTGACAGACTCTGCTAACCCAGAAATAGTGCTTCAGGTTAAGAACTTTGCTTCAGGATGAGAACAGAAATCGTGCTCCAGCGGCGCAGTGGCAGCGGGAGGCCCCATTAGCTAAAGTGGTACCTCAGGTTAAGAACAGTTTCAGGTTAAGAACAGACCTCCGGAACGAATTAAGTACTTAACCCGAGGTACCACTGTATAGAGCTCCACTACAAAAGCAACAGTAACAACTTTCTGTAACTATCCAATCACTGAACGTCACTTTCAATTCCTTATTTGCATATGTGGACCTGAGTGAAAACTATCTACAGTATCCCCCTGCTGGCCCAGGGTGAGAACTTCAGTACATAACAAGTACCCCCTGGAAAAAAGGGGGGGGGAATCACTGCGCCCAAGTAAGTAAATAGCAGCTGCTGGTTCCCTACCTGTCTAATCAGGATTCAGACCACCGTGCATGGGGAAGGGAAAAACTCTCCTGCCCTTGGGCGCGTGTGTGAAAGCAGCTATTTGGTCTCTGTTTTCTCTATGACTTAAGAGTTTTTAAAATAAGGTTAGGTACAATTTACAAAGTCTGATGAAAGATAAAAGACACACTTGCTTTCAGACGACAGGGCAGCTGGGAATTAATAGTAGCAGTGTGTACTCAATCTTCCCTGCTCCTGTTCCCTTAAAGGTAAAGGGACCCCTGACCATTAGGTCCAGTCATAGCCGACTCTGGGGTTGCGGCACTCATCTCGCTTTATTGGCCGAGGGAGCCGGCGCACAGCTTCCGGGTCATGTGGCCAGCATGACTAAGCCGCTTCTGGCAAACCAGAGCAGCGCACGGAAATGCTGTTTACCTTCCCGCCAGAGCGGTACCTATTTATCTGCTTGCACTTTGACAGGCTTTCGAACTGCTAGGTTGGCAGGAGCAGGGACCGAGCAAAGGGAGCTCACCGCATCGCGGGGATTCAAACCAATGACCTTCTGATCAGCAAGTCCTAGGCTCTGTGGTTTAACCCACAGCGCCACCCGCGTCCTGTTCCCTTAGTCTTCCATAATTCCTCATTCCTACTCTCCATCATTGCTTTTTTGGACCTCCAGGAATTTTGACAAATGGCAACATCCTTTAGGAAACGGGAACGCATGCTATTGCATTCAAGTAACGGATATGTGCCAAGCACGGAGCACTTCCACCTCTTTCTTTCTTTCTATCTTTGGCTGGGTTTCTACATTTACCATTCTTCCGACAGACAGCATCTTAGCAGGCGAGGAGGATGTGAGCCATTGAAATGAATGTGCCTTGCTAACCCATAAATTGCATTGGGTCTGCTCTGTGAGTATTGGAAACAACCCATCGGAATGGATTGCTTCGAAGTCGTTTCACTCTGCGCCAGGTAAAGCGATTTTTAGGCCACTCCCCATTCCTCCCTGACTCGTGCCTTATTTTATCTGGCCAAAGGTGGCAACCCTTTTGTATCCATGGGTTTTGACGGGTGGCACTGTGGGTTAAATCACAGAGCCTAGGACTTGCCAATCAGAAGGTCGGCAGTTTGAATCCCTGCGGTGGGGTGAGCTCCCGTTGCTCGGTCCCTGCTCCTGCCAACCTAGCAGTTCGAAAGCACATCAAAGTGCAAGTAGATAAATAGGTACCGCTCTGGCGGGAAGGTAAACGGTGTTTCCGTGCGCTACTCTGGTTCGCCAGAAGCGGCTTAGTCATGCTGGCCACATGACCCGGAAGCTATACGCCAGCTCCCTCGGCCAATAAAGCGAGATGAGCGCCACAACCCCAGAGTCGGTCACGACTGGACCTAATGGTCAGGGGTCCCTTTACCTTTAATTTAGCATTTTACTTTTTTCCCACGCTTAATTGTGCAACGGTTTGCTCCAGCAACGATAGCAACAGACACACACAGATATATATTTAAATGTTTATAACTGCGGTATTTCCCAGGTGTCAAAAAAGGTTATTTATGTACGCCGTTACTGCGGCCCATAGAATTTGTGCGGCTTGCAGACCTAACATATAGAATAAGAGAACAAGAAGAACATATGTTTAAATAAGATTGGAAAATGTTTATTAAATATACGGGGGGGGGGGACACTTGAAAACGCTGGAAGTGTTAAGATAAATTCAACAGTGTAAATAAGTTTTGATGGAAGGAATAATGGAATACTGAATGGTTTTGTTGTTGTTTAGTCGTTTAGTTGTGTCCGACTCTTCATGACCCCATGGACCAGAGCATGCCAGGCACTCCTGTCTTCCACTGCCTCCCGCACTTTGGTCAAACTCATGCTGGTAGCTTCAAGAACACTGTTCAGCCATTTCGTCCTCTGTTGTCCCCTTCTCCTAGTGCCCTCCATCTTTCCCAGCATCAGGGTCTTTTCCAGGGAGTCTTCTCTTCTCATGAGGTGGCCAAAGTATTGGAGCCTCAGCTTCAGGACCTGTCCTTCCAGTGAGCACTCAGGGCTGATTTCCTTCAGAATGGATCGGTTTGATCTTCTTGCAGTCCATGGGACTCTCAAGAGTCTCCTCCAGCACCAGAATTCAAAAGCATCAATTCTTCGGCGATCAGCCTTCTTGATGGTCCATAAAGTTTTGATGGAAGTAATAATGGAATACTGAATGGTTTTAGATTATGTAAAATATGCAACTTTTTATGTTATGCAAAATGAACCATGGAAAGAGAAGGGAAGTCACTGACATTTTAAGGTTTTTTTAAATGAATACCCTGAATTGTAAAACAGAAAACTGAATAAAATTATATATAAAAAATAAATAGATGTTTCTAACCAACTTCTCCGTAGCCCAGGCTGCATTTCCCCCAACCCCATCAAAGAAACTCTCCCCACGTGACGTTTCTCCTCCAATTACTTCCCTTCCGCGGCAGCGTGGGCGGAAAAGGCTGCTGCCAGCACCAAAAATGGCTCCGGCGGCGTCACTTTCCCCGCGAGAAATATGTCGGGTGGGGCGTGCGCTGTCTTTGCAGTTCCTGCCTTTCCTTGCCTTGCTACGGTGGCCGCCGAGGGTCACGCGGAGCGTTTTCCTTCCCCGCTTTGAGGGATGCTGCAAAAAGGAAAAGAAAGGTCCGCTTAGTTTCAGCTCCGCTTCCTTCTCTCCGCCCCGGGAAAGGCAGCAGGGCTTGGCTGTCATAATTCAAAAGGTATTCTGTCCCTGGAAGTGGAGGTTCCACTGGTAGAGCTCACTGCATGTTGCTTGGGGGGGCAGAGGGGGGGATACGTCCTTGCAATTTTGATGCCCATCCAAGCTGCCAGCTTTCGGCAACGAACTGAGACCTGGGCTAGATCAGTCGGTAGAGCATAGTCATTCTTAATCTCAGGGTCGTGGGTTCGAGTTTTGCACGTTGGGCAAAAGATTCCTGCACGGCAGGGGGTTGGACTAGATGACCCTTGGGTCCCTTCCAGCTCTACAGTTCTGTGATTCTAACAGTTTGAAATTGCACCAAGAGCCCAGTCGCTCACCAAGAGCAGCGGCGCCTAGCACTCCCTTCCTGCTGAGATCATGCAGGGGCCTTCGCTGTTCTCTTTTTGGCACCTGCTAAAAAAAACCCCACTCCTATTTGGACAAGTCTCCCCAGATGCTTAGAAACTTTTAATCTGCTTTTTTGTATTTTTACTTTTGCATGTTTTGAAGTAAGGGTTGTAATTCCCCCTCCCCTTCATTTTACTGTGCTATCTTTTGTAAACCGCTTTGAGGGATTTCAAACAACAACAACAATCAAGCAAGCGGTGTATAAATCTTAGGAAATAAATAAGTGTTTGGTGCTAAGAAGTAATTTGTTTTGTTTGGGCTGAGTCTTCTGCCTATCAGTTTCACTGGATGACTCCCAAATCCTCGTTTTAGCAGAGAACTTTTCTCGCTCTCTCTCGCTCTCTGCTTCCCTACACCTCTCTTCCTTCAAACATTTCGGTTTTCCCTCATAGGGTGATGTTTTCAATGCAAAATTTCCAGAATTGCATGAAAGTGTCTAAGTGTGCCTGCCGACTCTTTTGCGTTCCATGTTTCTCATCATGGGTAGGTGTCTTCTCAGTTTTGCACAAGGCAGCAAATAGAGAGTAGAGCCTGGAATATAATAAATTTCCACCAAGGCTTCCTACTAGGCTGGAATATGAAACTAGGCTTAATAGTGCAAGTTTATTCCACACTTTATTCAGTTTTCTTAGGCTGCCCTCCTTGTGTTTATTTACCAGGAAGTAAGTTCTATTGAACTCCGGGAGACTTCCTTCAGAGTTGGCATGATAGGATTGCACTGTTAGCCTGTCTCCCTCTACAGAGGGAGGACTGGTCATACAGTCCTTTGAATTCCATAAACTTCGTCTTCAGTTATTAACGTGTGACATTCTGTGTTAACTGTGAATTGACGGAGAAAGTGAATTTATTCATTTATTTATTTTGAAAGTGGGGGGTTTATACAAGCCAATGTATCACCATTCTTTGACGCACTTCCTTTTGATAGGATGGAGAAAAAGAAAATTGTAATGAAATCCAACACGGCTGCTTCCAACCTACTGAGAACCTTACATTCTCTCTATCAGTTTGGCCACTTCTGTGATGCAATAATATACACAGACCAGTTTGGCATCCAGGAGGAGTTTTTCGTTCACAAAGTCGTATTGGCTGCTTCAAGCAATTACTTTAGAAGCCTGTTCCTCACCGATGAGATGCTGAAAGCCAGAGATTGTCGGGTGACTCTCCAGGGTGTTCACACTGAAGAATTTGTCTGCTTCCTAAAGTTTGCCTACACAACAGAAGTAGAAATTGAAGAGGACAAACTGCACCGAATAAAGGAGGTAGCCGAAAGACTTGAATGCCAAGATCTGCTTGATGTTTTTGAAGAAATGAAGGCTGCAGGAGAAGATTTGGATCTGGGTGTTCATTCAGAAAGACATGAAGGCGGTAGGTCTGTCTGCAGTAAAACAAAACAAGTAGAAAACAAGGAACAGAGTGCTTCGTCCCGAATTTTGGCAGCGCCCATGAAGAGACAGCTTTGGGACCGAAAGAAGCACACAAAACTGACTGCCGTCTATGATGGTAAAGCTGGCCGTTCTGACAAATATGGTGTTGTGTTTGAGGGACCCAAAGACAGCACAGCAGCGTCAACTGGATGTAATGAAATAGACATGCACGGCGCTCATACTATGAAGAATGTCAGCCCGCCGGAAAATAAGGCCAGCCACCTGTCACTAAATCAGGTGGACTCAAAGGAAGCCTTCCTTGTTACAAGCAAGATACTACCCGGCCAGGAGGAGGATGAAAACGGCTTGAATCTTAGCGAAACCAAACTCAGGAAATCGCCGCGCAATATATCGAAAGGCTTGCCCCAAATATACACGTGTGACAAATGTTGTCATTCCTTCCATTTTGCCAAGCAGTACCGGTCGCACATGGAACAAGAACATGACGCAGATCTGGTGGTTCAATATAGCTGCGATATGTGTGGCCAACTCTTTCCCAGTTGCCAGGACCTAAGGCAACATAGGCTGACCGTTCACAATGATGAAAAGCAGTTCCCCTGCTTGTTGTGCGACAAAAGGTTTAAGTGCCAGAAAGACATCAGCCATCATATGCGGAGAGTGCATGAGAAGAAAAAGAATCCTCAGAGGTGTCCCTACTGTGACAAAGTGATCAGCTCTAAATGCGGCTTGACGGTTCACATTCGAACACATACGGGAGAGAAGCCTTATAAGTGCGGAGGCTGCGCGGCAAGTTTTGCTCAGAGATCTGCCTTCACTACTCATGTAAGGTAAAGTCTTTGTCCATTTCAGAATATTGGGAGATAGTTTTCCGCCTTCATCTCTTTGCTGTTAGAAATTTTATCCAGAAGCGAATAGAAGTCTGCCAGGTTTAGAGGATTTGCTATAGGATTTGCTTTAGAGCCAGTGTGGTGCAGTGGTTAAGAGCGGTGGACTCGTAACCTGGTGAACCGGGTTCGCTTCCCCGCTCCTCCACATGCAGCTGCTGGGTGACCTTGGGCCAGTCACACTTCTCTGAAGTCTCTCAGCCCCACTCACCTCACAGAGTGTTTGTTGTGGGGGAGGAAGGGAAAGGAGATTGTTAGCCGCTTTGGGACTCCTTAAAGGGAGTGAAAGGCAGGGTATCAAGTCCAAACTCTTCTTCTTTTTCTTAAAAAAAAAAAAGGTAAAGGACCCCTGACAGTTAAGTCCAGTCGCGAACGACTCTGGGGTTACAGTGCTCATCTCGCTTTACTGGCTGAGCGAGCCGACGTTTGTCTGCAGACAGTTTTTCAGGGTCATGTGGCCAGCATGACTAAGCCGCTTCTGGCAAAACCAGAGCAGTGCATGGAAACGCTGTTTACCTTCCCGCCGGAGTGGTACCTATTTATCTACTTGGACTTTGACGTGCTTTCGAACTGCTAGGTTGCCAGGAGCTGGAACTGAGCAAGGGGAGCTCACCCCCTCGCGGGGATTAGAACCGCCAACCTTCCGATCGGCACGCCCAAGGCTCAGTGGTTTATACCACAGCGCCACCCGCATTCTTCTTGTTATTGCAGTGCTATTATACAAGCATATTCAAAGTTACATTTAGACAGTTCTATCAGTGTAAAAGTATTTGCTGCATGGCTTCCACAGCCAGTCTGTGAAGCTTACAGGCAGCACAATAAACTTTTCTTTCTTCCTTTTATAGCCTGGACAACGTGTGGCTCAGCAAACCAAACAGCCACAGTCAGAGAAACAAAGGTGCTGTGCTCCTCAGTTTGCTCTCCTTGTCAGCCAGCTCATACAAACTGCCTTGGAGTTTTTATGCCCTGTGCGTTGCTAGGGGTGATTATTATTGTCAGACTTTATACTTGGCTGCTGCTGCTCAGAACAAGATTATGAAATGATGCTTTACATCACAGTCCATTGCATCTCTTACTCAGAAGCAAACCCCACTAAGATCAACTGAATTTACTCCCAGGAATGTATTCTAGAATTGCAGGCTCTGCGTTTAACTTTGCCTTCATGATGTGTATTTGTCAATTTCCATTTTATTTTACTAAGCTTTTCTATCCCACCTTTCTAGAAAAAGAAACCTATCCAATGCAGCAGACAGGTCCAACCAATACATCAAAACTTACCAGTTTTTAAAACGAAAACAAAGTTAAGATGGTAAAGGTAAAGGTAAAGGGACCCCTGACCATTAGGTCCAGTCGTGACTGACTCTGGGGTTGCGGCGCTCATCTCGCTTTATTGGCCGAGGGAGCCAGCGTACAGCTTCCGGGTCATGTGGCCAGCATGACTAAGCCGCTTCTGGCGAACCAGTGCACGGAAACGCTGTTTACCTTCCCGCCGGAGCGGTACCTATTTATCTACTTGCACTTTGATGTGCTTTCGAACTGCTAGGTTGGCAGGAGCAGGGACCGAGCAATGGGAGCTCACCCCGTCACAGGGATTCAAACCGCCGACCTTCTGATCGGCAAGTCCTAGGCTCTGTGGTTTAACCCACAGCGCCACCTGCGTAGCAAACAGTAACTAAATATCATACCTGGAAATGCCTGCTGGAAAAAAAATCTTAGAATAGCACCTAGTGATGGGGGCAGCAATATCCTATGCATTTTGACTTAGAAGTATGTCCTACTTAGGTCATTGGGGCTTACCCCATAGAAAGGAGGTTAGGATTGTGGCCTTAGATGCTTTTCAGTCGAATTTGCCCTTGTATGAATATATGGATTATTTGTGTATCTACTATAGCCTGCGGGAAATTGTATCTAATTTACAGGTGGCATTACTTTTTTTCCCCCCAACAGAAAAATACATGAATCGGGACAAGACAGGAAACTCAGTCCAGATTACTGGATGATAACCCCGCCAACAAAAAAAGCAGATGTTATAGATAGCAAAGTTGATAAGAATAGCAAAACATACCCAAAGGTACCGAACAGCGACTTGCAAAGAGAACCTGTGGATGAAAAAACTCGAGAGCTTGAGGGAGAATCCAGGAATCCTCCTCCTTTGGAAGCAGAGTCTGAGAGGAAAGAGGAAAGTCAGGAGCAACGTGGTGATGCTGATGTTCCAAGAGAAAAACCAGATGGACACAATACTTTGGCTGCAGAAGACTGTGTAAAAGGAGAAAGGGACTGTGAAACAGAAGGAAGGGGCAGGGAAGAGAATGAGGCAGTCTCTTCCGAAGACATCGATGAGAATTCAGATGATCAAGACGCTGAAGAAAGCAAATCGGACGCCGGTTGCAAAGCGAGGGGCGTTGTGAACAAAAACGAGGGAGCCAAAAAATCGGCCTACGTTATAACGTGTACCAAATGTGTGGAGAAGTTCGTCTCGCGGAAGAAATACACTGACCACTGCAAAAACGTCCACCATTCTGTGCCTGGTAAAATTTATCAGTGTGACGTTTGTAGCAAGTCCTTTGCGAGTTACAACAGCTGGAAGGAGCACAGGGCGAGCGTCCACACGGACGACAGGCAGTTTTCCTGCACCCTCTGCAACGCCACTTTTAAAAGGAAAAGGGATGTGAGGACCCACTATATGCGGAAGCACGAAGGAAGAGTGAAGCGTCCCCTTTGCTCTGTCTGCGGGAAGATCTTGAGCTCAAGAACGGCGCTAGTGTTTCACATGAGGACCCACACAGGCGAGAAGCCGTACCAGTGCAGCATTTGTTGTTCGAGATTTGCTCAGCCATCCCAGCTCAAGATTCACACCAGGTAAGCCTGTTTTTTGTCTGGCGCATGCCATTTTGTGGTATTTTTACAAAAGTGTGGTTTATATTTATCTAAATAAATAAAAACTAAAACCCCTCAGCATTCCAGCTGAGGGCTAGTGGAAGTTGGCATCCAAGAACGCTTGGAGACTCGAAGGTTCTCCCATTCCATCTCAAATTATCCTGTACTGATTTTTTAAATTTTATTTTAATTAAGTCTCCTGTTATTGGTTGTACTCTAAAGCAGACATAGGCGAACTCCAGCCCTCCAGATGTTTGGGACTACAATTCCCATCATCCCTGACCACTGGTTCTGTTAGCTAGGGGTGATGGGAATTGTAGTCCCAAACATCTGGAGGGCTGGAGTTTGCCTAAGCCTGCTCAAGAGGAATGAGAAATCTGACTTTTTCTTATTTGACAACTCTATCTTTGATACTTTTTTTTGCTGTAGCCATAGAATCGTATAGCCAGAAAGTGCCTGAAGATCATTTAGTCCAAGTCCCCAGGCTATGGCAGGAGTCATTTCCCGAGAAGTTCTCTGCCGCTTGCCTTGGGTGGTGGCAGGGAGGTGAGGGAGAGGGGTGGAATACTGGCAAACTATCTGTAATATTTACTAAGCAGGACATGTCACTCTTCACATGTTTTGTCAGCGTTTTCATATTTCTTTGACTGCAGGTCCCATACAGGTGAAAAGCCATACATCTGTGAGGATTGTGGAGCTTCCTTTGTAGATAAAGGCAAGCTTACTGGCCACAAGAGGACACATACAGGTATAATAATAATAATAATAATAATAAGTTTCCCCAGCCACTCTGGGCGGCTCCCAATCAAATGTTAAAAACAGTACAGCATTAAATATTAAAAACTTCCTTGTATAGGGCTGCCTTCAGATGTCCTTTAAAGATAGGATAGCTGCTTATTTCCTTCACATCTGAAGGGAGGGTGTTCCACAGGGTGGACGCCACTACCGAGAAGGCCCTCTGTCTGGTTCCCTGTAACCTCACTTCTCGCAATGAGGGAACCGCCAGAAGGCCCTCGGCGCTGGATCTCAGTGTCCAGGCTGAACGATGGGGGTGGAGACGCTCCTTCAGGTATACAGGTAAGCGTTTAAATCCAGTCCTTGGATGTGGCAGAGGTTAATGCCTATCCGTGCATATTGATTTATTCTGATTACAATCCTGCATTGCTGGGGGTTGCGCTAGATGACCGTTGGGGTCCCTTCCAACTCTACAATTTTATGACTTTTCATGAATTACAGATAAGTAGTTGAAAAGGATGATGGTGAGGGAGGTTACCAGATTTCCTGTGAGGCATAACTCTTAAGCTGCCTCTCATTCACTTACTCTAGCCTGTTCTATCGGGTCGAACTACATGTTACACTGTGATCAGGAATAAGACAGAACACACATTTCTACACTCTCCACAAATGGCCACCTGCCCAGGGCTTCTGTGGCATTGACCACACAGAAAAAGATGTGTAACTGTTGCAGCAGAGGCTTAAAGGATCATATACCCCAGGAGCAGAAAGGGAGGCAACTATTCTTGGGAAGGTAGAGAGTGTAGAAGAGACCTCCTAGACCAGGGAAGGGGAATGTGTGGCCCATCAATGGAAGTAGATCGCAAATGTGTGTCTATGCACTGTGCGACGACGGCCACACGGATGCTCCTAGCCCAGAGATGGAAAGAAGACAAAGTCCCTACCAGAGAGGAGTGGCAAACTAAGCTGTTGGAGTACGCTGAAATGGCAAAACTGACCAGAAAGCTCAGGAACCAAAAAGACCAAATCTTTAATAAAGAATGAGGGAAATTTATACTGGTAGAGCACTGTAAGCAGATGAAAAAATTAGCAGGATTGCAATAATAATAATAATAATAATAATAATAATAATAATAATAATTTATTTGTACCCCGCCCATCTGGCTGGGTTTCCCCAGCCACTCTGGGCAGCTTCCAACAAAGATTAAAAATACATCAAAATGTCACATATTAAAAACTTCCCTGAACAGGGCTGCCTTCAGATGTATTCTAAATGTCAGGTAGTTGTAATGTAGCAAATGTAGCAAATTTTATGGACAAAATGGAGAGACATAAAATATGGATTACTAAACAATATGCAGTTGAAAAGGTTGACAATAGGACCCATGGAGGGGAAGTCCAGAGATTCAGAGAAATCTCTAAATATGGATATGTATTTTGTATTGTTATAATTCTATACTTCTAAATTCAAATAAAAATTATTTCTCTCTCTCTCACACACACACACACACTGGCCTTTCTAGTGTCCCACTGAATACGTAGCTGTTCAAAGGTTGTTGGGACACCCAACTGCTGTCCCGGGCCCAGAGTGGGGTAAAAAGTAAATAAACAAATGGCATCCCCAGGCGGCCTAGCCAATGCTCAGGGATGATGGGAATTGTAGTCCAACAACATCTGGAGAGGCTTCCCATCCCTGGACGTTCTTTGGACGTCTCCTGCGGGTGATCATCAGCGTAGGTAACGGTCAGTAACATAATTCTACCACCATTCATTTCCTTTGCAGGAGAGCGTCTGTTCAAGTGTGATGTCTGTGGAAAACATTTTTCTACCAACGAATACTTGAAATGCCATAAGCGCTGCCACATGGGAGCCAAGCCATACAAGTGTGATGTGTGTGGGAAAACGTTTGGACTGAGGGCCTCATTAGCCCAACACAGTAACGTTCATGCAGGTAATAAATCCCTTCCCAGTGGGGGTGGAGGAGATGGATCGTGTTGATGAAAGTCTCTGCCACATGCAGCGTTCATTCTGTGCAAGTACAGCGTAAGAATCCAGAATCTGTCCCAGACCACAGTTGGCAATGTGCCTTGCATATTTATTAAAATATGATGCAAGAATCGTCATGTGGAAATACTACCATATTTTTCGCTCTATAAGACGCACCAGACCACAAGACGCACCTAGTTTTTGGAGGAGGAAAACAAGAAAAAAAATATTCTGAATCTCAGAAGCCAGAACAGCAAGAGGGATCGCTGCGCAGTGAAAGCAGCAATCCCTCTTGCTGTTCTGGCTTCTGGGATAGCTGCAAAGCCTGCATTCGCTCCATAAGACGCACACACATTTCCCCTTGCTTTTTAGGAGGGAAAAAGTGAGTCTTATAGAGCAAAAAATACATATTTAAATATGATACAAGAATTGTCATGTGGAAATAGTTCGTTAGTTAAATACTTTCAGTACAATTTATGTTCTAAGCAGGAGATCGTTACATGTGTACATGAGCTAGGGTGCTCTGGGCTAAATTTCAAACTTTATTTCATTCCAGGCAAAGGGGGACAATGTATTTCCTTGAGAGTCATTGAAAATTAAATAGATCTGTGTGCTCTAGCTTCCCCAAATGCTCACCTTTCAGAACCTTGAATTCTTGTTGGGTATTTGTAAAACGTTGACAACCGCAAAAAACTTGGGTTTCCCATTTTCCCTACTTGGCAATATCTTTCCTTGATGAAAGCCAAGTTGTGTAGAGTCCGTGGGCAAGCAGCTTCACCACTGCACAGATCTCTCATAGCTTCCAAAAGATGGACATATTCACAGTTTACCCTGATGAGAACCTGCAGTGTTCAGAAATAGCATGGGGGGGGGGGGGATGAGGCCTATTTCCAGCAGCAGAGGGTAGTTCTGTAAGTAGAACTGATCATGTGAAAACCACAAAGAGGAACCCAGCTTTTCCGTGTTGTTCTCCTGCCATAGTAGTGCCCTCAAGGCATCAGTCGCATTCATGCCTTACATGAAAATCACTCTTATCCCAGTCATGGTTGTGAATCCTGGGAACTGTAGCGCTGAGAGTTGGAAATCCCTTACAGAGTTATGATTCTCAGCTTTGCTGTTTAACAGCTGCTGTGTCTGTTGGCTTCTTTCTCTCTCCTGTTTCGAACTTACCGTATTTTTGCTCCATAAGACACACCTGACCATAAGACGCACCTAGTTTTTAGAGGAGGAAAGCAAGAAAAAATATTTTGAATGAAACAGTGGATGTATGGTTTTTGTGGTTCATGCTGTGGCCACAGACATGTGATTTGACGGTGAATTTGGGGTGATCCAATGCAAAAATCCTGAGAATCCATGTTGATCTGTGCTTTGTAACCACGTTTTTGCACCATTGTGGCCCCACAAAACAGTGGATGCGTGTGTGTTTTGGTGCAGGCTGTAGCCATGGACATGCTATGTGATCTGATGGTGAATTTGGGGTGACCCAATGCAAAAATCCTGAGGATCCATGGGCTTTTACCTCCCCCCTCCCAGGCAGCCTCCTTTATCTCTGCGTCCCTTATCTCTTTCCCCGATCACTTGCCGATCAGTTGCTTCCTTTCAACACCCCCTTGCCTCTTATTTGCCTTAGTGTCTTTTCCTTAGCTGGAGCAGTTTTTTGCTCCTCCTTTTCTTCTAATTTCTCTCCTTATTGCTTTAGCCTTTCTGTTTCCCCCCTTTGCAAGTTTGTTGTCTTTACCTCCCCCCTCCCAGGCAGCCTCCTTTGTTGCTAGCGTCCCTTATCTCGCTGCCAATCGCTTGCTGATCAGCAGCTTTAACACCCACTTCCCTCTTTCAAAAAAAAAAAAGCATGATCTGCTTTTTGCCCCTGGGCAATTTGGCTCCAGGGACCACACATTCGCTCCATAAGACACACAGACATTTCCCCTTACTTTTTAGGAAGAAAAAAGTGTGTCTTATGGAGCGAAAAATACGGTACTTTGTTTTCTGATACCAGTATGTGTTTACCTTACAAGCCACTAAGTAGACCCAAAATGGGTCTCAAGTTGAGAGAGAAATAAGATTTTGTAAATACACCCCAACATTTGTGAGGTCTGTTTTGTTTTCTCAGAGACTCCTCCTTATTTCTGTGAGCAGTGTGGAAAGACCTTTACTCAGCAAGGAGCCCTGAGGCGTCACCAGCGTATTCACACTGGAGAAAAACCCTACAAGTGCAGGGCCTGTGAAAGGACCTTCACAGATCTGTCTACCCTGAGAAGGCATGTCCTGGTATGTTCTCCAGTTTGCCCCATTCATTTTAATAGGGATGGGCAGGCAAACAAGCTTAATACTCTTTGAGTATAAAAAATATTTGCCATGATCTTTAAAAGGCTTAGAACACCCATGTAGTAAATTGCTTTGGTGTCTGTCTAGGGGCAAATTTAATGACAGAGCCTTTAATCCCAGAGGGGCCTTTAGTCCACATTGCTTTGTTTTTTAAAAAATTGGCCTAGTTAGGCACAGTTTAAGTTGCATGACTCAAATTGATTATTATTACTTTATTGTTTTAGAAGGTCTTTATGATTGCTCTAATCAGGTCAGAACTTGAATAACAACAGTATTTTTTTGTCTTGTTTTCTTCCCCTGCTATAGGTACACGATCGGAATGCTCACTGGAGGACTTTCTTAATAGATCTTACCATCAAAAAGGATCACAACTGGTCCAAAATAGAGCCTTTTTCTAATATCCGTATGGGAGAGGACTCTAATCTGGCTTGGTCCGACGGCCAAAGTAAACTTTATAAACCAGAGAGCACCAGTGTAAAAAAAGCGGAACACATATCATGTGGTAGTAGTAATGCCAGAGATCCTGACCATTCCCTTACGTATTTATAACTCTGTACAGTGAAGGCAAAATGCAGCCGTAAAACATTTTGCATCTCTCTCATGTGCCCCTTATGGGGGAGCATCCTCCATTTGCCTACAAGTTCTACAGAGAAGACACACTAAGAGTTCAGCATCTTCAGAGCTGAGAGGCAGCCACTGGGCAGCGTAGACATTGTTGTGGAATTGCTTGTGAATGGGTCATTTCTTAGTAGCTTGGATGCTGGCTTCGCTAATAGCTATTTAGGAGTCAGAAGAGATGCTTTCAGAGCTCACCATGAGTAGATATGGTGAGATATGCAGAACTAGCACAGCTGGCTTCAACAGCAGTACAGAAGCATCTTCATAAGTTTTAAAAAAATCAAGGCCCTTTTTCGGGCTGCTTTTATAATACTGCCAAGGAGGCTGTGGGCCGTGTTCGATTCCAATAGAGGGATGTCTCTGCTCAGAGATCCATAAGATCTTTGCAATGTACCTATGTGGGGACAGGCTCCGTGGTTCTGGCGCTGAGAGGAATAGCTCTGAACTACTAGAAGTGCTCTTTATTATTCTCATTTCAGTTTTTAAAGAAATGGCATGGGCAAAGATGGGAAAGAGCTATGCTTAATGCGGGTGGTTAAAGCCGGGAGTCGCAGAGGCTAAGACAAGGCCAATAAGGCCCCTCCAAACTGGTAAAACAAAATATTAAAATAACAAAAGCAGTTTAGTGCATGTAAGTATAGGGTGATGCACACTGAGGCAAAACACTTCACGTTGCACTTTTGGGGTGTGATCTGGTGTTGACTGACCAGAAATGAGATACTGGTGGATAAACTCAATGAAAAGTGTGCAGCAGCAGGGAGGCAAATAGAATAGAAACACCCAATATCATTCATGTATTTTATACAAATCTTTGGGGCAGGCACACTTGGAATACTGTTTACAGTTCTGCATTGTGAAAAGAATATTGTGGAACTGGAGAACGTGCAGAAAAGGGCAACCCAAATGATTGTGAGGCTGGAGCAGCTCCTCTGTAAGGAAACATTGCAATATTTGGGGCTTTTTTGTTCAGAAAACAGGATAGGGGGCATATGAAAGAGGGGCATGTGGAGAATAATACTAGAGCCATCCCATGAAGACGCAGGACAGACTAAAAGTGGGTATTTCTTCACACAGCACGTTGTTCAATTACAGAATTCTCTCCCACAAGTTGTAGTAAAAGCCACCGAGTTAGATGGTTTTAAAGGGGATTGGACCATTTTATGGAGGATAAGTCTCAAGTGGCTACTAGTCATGATGGCTGTGTGCCGTCTCCAGGATCAAATACTGTGTACCACCTCCATGTCTTTGAATACCAGCTGCTGAGGAAACAAGATAAGAAAATAACTTACGTTCTGGTTGTGGGCTTCCCAGGGTTTGACACTGTGGCAAAGAGGATGTTAGGTGGGTTCCTGGTCTTACCTAGCAGTGCTCTTGTTCTTAATAGATGAAATTGCTTTCTACTTGTACTGTTACTCTTTGAACTTAACAGTGATTGGAGCCAGTATGAAAAAGGGCAATTGCCCTCAAATGTGAGGCAGGGAAATAAAGTGAGGTTGTGGGGAAGTAACTGTATTGTAGGGGAGGTATTTGATGTGGAGCAGACGCACACCGTGTTTACAACACATTCCTTCCCTGCCAAGAATCCCGGAAACTGTAGTAGTAGAGCTACAATTTCCAGCACCCTTATAAACTATGGCTCCCTGGATATTGGAGGGTGGATGTGTGCTTTAAATGTATGGTGTGTATACACAACCAGAGAAAGGGCTGGATTCCTTCAGGTTCGTTGAATGTTACCTTCAGCCTTCTCAGTTTCAGAGAATGAAAGGAGGAGCTGCAGGAAAAGCCGCTCAGAACATTTCACATTGACGTGTGGGAAATCCAGACTGCATGGACCATTAGCACTTGCTAATATGCTGAACAGAACAAGTTTGATTTTTAAAAAGACCACGTGTAAAGATTTGCTAGAGGGACATTCAGAAACGGCCTGAGACCAACAGACTCGAAAACTGTCCATCTCTTAAGTGTATTTGCTATTTTATAACTGTAGCTGAGGATAAAATTTCACACCTGTTTAGGGATGTTTTTAATGTTTGATGTTTTATCGTGTTTTTAATATTCTGTTGGAAGCCACCCAGAGTGGCTGGGGAAACCCAGCCAGATGGGCAGGGTATAAATTACTATTATTATTATCCTGTTATCATTTGTGCTACCTGTTTATAGGCCTGCTGCTTTGTAAATGTCGTAGCTTTCCACAATAAATAGTCATTTCATATGGTTTGCTCTGAAATGTATATATGCCTTTTTGTACTAAAGATAATGGCCCTCCCTGCATGACCAAATGGTGCGACTTGAGCTGTGAAACTGGAGCTTATAGCTCAAAATTCAACTGGAGAGCATGTTGGCCCCCTGGTTTTAGCTGGATTATTATTTTTATTTTATCGGTTTTAGCTGATTTATTTTATTATTATATTAGATTTAGCTGGATTATTATTATAGTCATACCTTGGGTTGAATGTGCTTCAGGTTGAGTGCTTTTGGGTTGCACTCCGCGGCAACCTGGAAGTAACAGAGCGCGTTACTTCTGGGTTTTGCCGCTTGCGCATGTGCAGACGCTCAAAATGACGTCACGCACGTGCGCGGAAGCAGCAAAACGCGACCCGCGCACGCGCAATCACATCTTACGTTTCATTCAGGATGCGAACGGGGCTCTGTAATGGATCTCGTTCACATCCTGAGGTACCACTGTAGTTTACAGTGGTACCTTGGGTAAGAACTTAATTCGTTCCGGAGGTCCGTTCTTAACCTGAAACTGTTCTTAAACCTGAAGCACCACTTTAGCTAATGGGGCCTCTCACTGCCGCTGCAATTTCTGTTCTCATCCTGAAGCAAAGTTCTTAATCTGAGGTACTATTTCTGGGTTAGCAGAGTCTGTAACCTGAAGCATATGTAACCCAAGGTACCACTGTATTGGTTTTAGCTGGATCATTATTATTTTTATTATATTATATTGGTTGTAACTGGATTATTATTATATTATATTGGGTTTAGCTGTATTATTATTATTATTATTATTATTATTATTTATTTATTTTAGCTGGATCATTATTTTTATTATATTGGTTTTAACTGGATCATTATTATTTATTTTATTTTGTATTATATCAGTTTGAGCTGCATTATCATTATTTTATTTATCAGTTTGAGCTGCATTATTATTATTATTCTCTCCCCCCACAATCCCGCAATAGCTCTCCTCTGCCTCCGTTTCCCACACCTCCCCCAATCCTGTCCCCGCCTCCTCTTTCCGCCCCATCTCGGCCTCCAAAGGCCTTTTTCCTAGAGCGTACACCAACCAGAGGTGTCCCCGCCTCATCCCTCCGCGGTGCCCCGCGCAAAGCCTTCCCCCCGGCAACCGCGTCCGCCTCCCCTTCCCTTCCTGCCCGCCTGGCGTTCCCCCTCGCTCCGCCTCCTCTCGGCGTCGCCCTGACCCGCCGTGGAAGATGGCGCTGAGCGGCCAGGTCGGTGCCTATGGGGAGGGTGGAGAAAGACTTTGAACCCGGCCTCCTGCCGGCGTGGGGAGGGGTGGTCCCTAGGGGAGAAGGAAGGGGGTCGTGCCTGGGGGGCAGCAGCACAGCCCCATGGGGAGCGAGGGTGGGTTTGTGGGTGACTTGTGGGGTGGGGTGGGGGGAGGAAGGGAAGTGTTGACCCCCCCAACCGACCGACCACGTCCCTGTGGGATGCTTCAAAGGGGTCTGAAGGCAGGGTTTGGCTATGGGGGGTGGGGAGGCCGGGGGTGGGGTTTGGGGGCACGACCCCTGGGTGAACATAGGGTGCGTTGCAAGGGAGGGGGTGGGGGCCAGGTGAGCCAAGGGGGGGGGAGGGTGATGGTGGTTTGGCCAGGTAAGGTGTTGCCCAAGGAGGAGGGGGGGGGATCTGAGGATGAGGGGGAAAGACGGGGTAGCTTTTGTTAGAAATCAATCCATCAACTTGAAAGGCAGCTTTCTTATACGGTTATCATGTATTTTATTATACCCCGGCTTCCCACCCCCGGCATAACTCAAGGCAGGTTACAGATTTTAAAAAATGATATGCACCCCTAAGAAAATAGGAAAAACAGGAATTGAAAGACCATGAAGCATGATATTTCTAAGGGAATCAATTTTGCTATTTGTACAGCATGAGGTGGGAACACCTATAAGCAGAGCACATGGTTACTACAGTGGTACCTCAGGTTAAGTACTTAATTCGTTCCAGAGGTCTGTACTTAATCTGTTCTTAACCTGAAGCACCACTTTAGCTAATGGGGCCTCCCGCTGCCGCCGCACCGCCAGAGCACGATTTCTGTTCTCGTCCTGAAGCAAAGTTCTTAACCTGAAGCACTATTTCTGGGTTAGCGGAGTCTGTAACCTGAAGTGTATGTAACCTGAAGCGTATGTAACCCGAGGTACCACTGTATTGCTATTTGACTGCATGCAAAAGGGCTGCTCTTGCAGACTTTGACAGCAACCAAGTGAAGGAAGAAACCACTAAGGAACATCAGCAAGATCTTCACCTTTGTAAGGTAAAGGTAAAGGGGCCCCTGACCATCCAGATGGAGATGTCAGTCGCCAAACTTGCACCCAGAGCTCTCCACGTGGTTGCAGTTGGACCCGTGCCAGTCGCAAAACACATTTGGTATCTGGCTCATCTGGCTAATTTCTAACATTAGCCAGGGTAGAAAATCCTGTAGTGAATAGGAAGCTATCAGGATCGGATGTGGGGGAAGATATTCGAATGCTGGCTGGCGGGGGAAGAGGTTTAGTTAGAATTTTGTGCTGTGCATAAGCAGATTTTGTCACTGCTAGTATGTTCAGTAGCTATCAGTGTCATCTCCAGCCTGCCTTACCTAGAACAGAGGTGCTGAAACAGTTTTCTTTAGATGACTGGTGGTCTACAAGATCTGTTCAGCTGGTCTGCGGAAAGGTTGTGGAACAGTTGGGAATATCTGTACAGTGGTACCTCTGGATGCGAATGGGATGGGATCCGTTCTAGAGGCCTGTTCGCATCCTGAAGCGAACGCAACCCACATCTGCGCATGCACGAGTTGCGATTCGCTGCTTCCGCGCATGCGTATGACGTCATTTTGAGCGTCTGCACATACGCCAGCGGCAAAACCAAGAAGTAACGCGCTCTGTTACTTCCGGGTCGCTGCGGAGCACAACCCGAAAATATTCATCCTGAAGCTATTTCAACCCGAGGTTTGACTGTACTTGGCTCTGCACTGATTTCTCCCCCATTTGACCAGGGTCTGGTTTTAAAACAGGGCCCTGATCCAGGGCCTGTGATTTTTTCATAATAGCTTTGACTATGGTACCGGTAGCTGAAGGAATATGTTTTATATTTCTTTATCCATCACATTAGAAAGGTAAGACTACAATTATTAAAATACAAGCTGAGTTAGGTATGTGCTTTGATTTATAGAACAAAAAATGTTTATTAAGCAGTCCACTGAGAAACCCCACCCTCTAGTGATCTGTGGAAAAAATAAGCTCATTATCCACTAACGTAGAGAAAACTCTGACTCCTTTTAATAGCCCCAATGCTTTCATTTGCACAGTCTCAACAACATATCCTTCAGGGTGTGATCATGGCTCTGTGATCTTCATTTTTTGTCTTTTAAGAAACACCCAGACTGCTTTGGACAAAATTACAGGAGGCATAAGTATCTTGAGCAATCGCCCCACCACAGGATACAAAATAAAGATGGAATGAATCTTTGATTCTTAGTTTGGTGCACTAGATATTCCAACAGAACCGCTGTCCATAGATGGCAAAAAAGTGCCATTGAGATTGTCAAAGACAAAAATACATGATTGATCATTTATGTGGATTCCTAAGGCACCGTGCAAGGTAGCATTTACTAGATGCTTTGCTTTATTTCTTAAGGCAAGGTGTGCATTGCATGTGTCTCTTGTTTTACCATGTCAGGAACACTGAAGTTCCCTAATTGCTTGGCTGTCATGACTGACCCACGGTGTTTTTGGCCAAATAAGCAAAGCAGGCCACACGTTGATATGATTTCTACAATGGTTAGGAAGGAGGTGATGGGGGAGGGAATTAATGATGTCTCCTTTGTTACTGGTGACTCATTCTTTGTTAGCCAGCCTGTTAAGCTGCTCTTCCCCCAACAGCTGATGGATCCTGCTGGCTTCATATCAACCCTACAGATAACTTTTGCTGGTATGACCAGCTGCTTTACTGAAGACCTAGTCATTTCTTTGAATAGGGAACTAGCATGTGTGGTTGACACAATAAGACCGATGTAAAACTGACAGCTGAAAAAGGGTGCCTAGAAGCATGAAGTCAATTAAAAGCGAAGGATAAGAAGCTCAGCTGAAAGTTTTTTTATTATTATTTATTAGCAGATTTATACCCATCCCTTCTAATGCCTTTACATTGCTCAGGGCAACTAACAGCAAACCAATAAAAACACAAAATCATCCTAAAAGCTAACAACATGCAGTTATTGCATGCGCTAAATTGTACCTTTATTTAGGCTTTTTCTGTGCTTCGGAACATAATATTGATGCTTTTTTCATTCTACTGGATGTGCTTGTATTGGTGCAGAAGTTAAAATGTGGCTCATCTGTATTGCTTGCTGATATCCTTGCTAAGAACATAGGATGAGCTTATTTACGTTCTTAAGCAGGAGTGCCTTCAAGATTGCTGAACAGAGATTAGTTATATGTTAATTATTTAGAGATCCCAAGTAAGTGCTCTTGATTTGTAAATATAAAATGCATCAGTGGACTAAGAAGATTGTAATGTATTTTTAACTGATTAGCAAGTCTGAAATCCCTACATTAATTGCTTTATATTAAAAATGTATAAATTGTACTTTATCCAGAAATGAATAACACAGACGTAACAATGCGGCAAAAATAGACGGATAAAGCTAGTCAACCATCTAAAAATATATTAATCTAAAATGCCTTGGCATATAAAAAAGTTTTTGCCTGGCGCTGAAACCCAATATTGCATTGGTTCTATGTGTCCTTCCCATGGGAGGGTATTATTCCATGGGATGCCACTGCATGCCACTGCAGAGAAGGCAGTGGAGTGAATTCTCTCTTTCTTTTTTACAAAAATGTTATTGATTTGCCACATTTTTAAACAAACAAACAAACAAACAAACAAACACAAATCATAACTAAACTTAGTCCAATGTTAATATCATAGTTAAATGACTTCCTCAAATTCCCTTGACTGAATTTCATTATATATCATTGTAACAGTTTTCCAAAAGAAGTTTCTCATAAAATTAACTTACTCCTTAACATCTTTGTCTCTTTTCATCTTAACTTTAAACATATTGTTTTGTAATTTCACATATTTAAATCCTTAGCCTATCTGTTATTTTGCAAGTGTTTCTATTTAATTTATCTTAGCATATTTAGATAAATAGTCTTTGAATTTCTTCCTGCTCCTCCTTCTGGTCACGAATTCTACTGGTCATGTTGGCTAGCTCCGAAAAGTCCATCATCTTCATCTGCAAATTCCTCCACTGTTTCCTCTGTTTTCCAATTTTTGGCTAATAAAATTCGAGCTGCAGTTGTGGCATACAAAAACAGTCTAACTTCTTTTTTGGGCAATTCCAAACCTATTATTCCAAGAAAAAAGGCCTCTGGTCTCTTAACAAATGTATATTTCAACATTTTTTTCAACTCATTATAAATCTTCTCCCAGAAGTCTTTCACCTTGGGACAGGTCCACTACATATGATAAAAGGTACCCTCCTTTTGGAGTGAATTCTCAGCAGAGTGCTGTGCTGTTTTCTCTTCTGCTTAATGTTGGGTTTTTGCAGGAGGTAGAAGTGGGGTGCTGTTGGAGCTTTCTTTGCAAGAGAAAAGGTGTTTCTTACATTCACAGAGAATGGGGAAGGAGAGGTTCTTTCTCTCCTGCATGTTGGCTTTTGCATGAAGGACCTGCACTAGAGAGCAATAGGAAGGGGAAGGGGAACCCGGCGTAAGAGTAAAACCGCCCTCTCCTTCCCCGGGTTCTCTGCATTGGCCGCAGAACTCTGCAAAGCGAGGAGCCAGTGGCTAACAAGTAAAATCAGAAGTTATGGACCCTTGCTAAAGGATCAGAAAAAACTGAATATATTTCCTTCCAAATATATAAGAGGCTAAAATATTACTATTTTTCATTAGCAGGGACATGGGGGAGGGTTGGGTGGAAAAGACCGAAAGCTTCCCCCACCCTGCTAGATATTGCCTAGTTAAGAAATACAGTGGTACCTCGGGTTAAGTACTTAATTCGTTCCGGAGGTCCGTTCTTAAGCTGAAACTGTTCTTAACCTGAAGCACCGCTTTAGCTAATGGGGCCTCCCGCTGCTGCTGCGCCGCCAGAGCACGATTTCTGTTCTCATCCTGAAGCAAAGTTCTTAACCCAAGATACTATTTCTGGGTTAGCGGAGTCTGTAACCTGAAGCGTATGTAACCCGAGGTACCACTGTAGAGTCAAACCTTGGTTGTCAAACGTAATCCATTCCGGAAGACCGTTTGACTTCCGAAATGTTCGAAAACTGAAAGCAGAAGCCTCAATACAGTAGGGAGAAACTCAAAACGGAAGCCACATTGGACGTTCGGTTTCCAAAAATATTTCGAAAACCGGAGCAGTTACTTCCGGGTTTTTGGCATTTGGAAGCTGGAACATACGATAACGGAGGCGTTTGAGAACCGAGGTTTGACTGTATTACTGAAGGTCATCGTGTTTTTATGTAAACTGCTTATTTTTATTATGGTAAGTAGTTATATATATATATATATATATATATGATAAAATAGAACTCTCTATAGAATAGAACTCTCTCTCTATATATATATAGTAAATAAAATAGAACTAACTAAATAAAAAAGCTGCCTATTATGCCAACATTTCTGAACCCTTGCTATTAATGAAAAATGCTAGATCCACACAGTCCTAGCTTACAGTAATGGAGAGAGTTCTGTGTGCTTTATAGTTTTTACAGAGCAGGATTATTTTGTCATTTAAATGATAATTAGGGTATTCATTTCCCATTACCTTCGATATCCATTTCCCGGCAGGCAATTAACGTGCGGTTATGTTCTTCCTAGGTTTCGGAAAGGAAGAAGATGCCCAGTAATGCTGTTCTCTTGGAATCTAAATCCTCACCCATCAACCTTCTCAATGAAATGCACCAGCTGCGTCTCCTGGGACACCTTTGTGATGTGACTGTCAGCGTGGAATATCAAGGGGTCAAGGCAGACTTTGTTGCTCATAAAGCTGTCCTGGCGGCAACCAGCAAGTTTTTTAAAGAGGTGTTTCTCAATGAAAAGTGCATGGACGGACTAAGGACAAATGTACTATTGAACGAGGTCCAGGTAGCGGACTTTGCATCTTTTCTTGAGTTTGTATATACTGCCAGGGTAGAGGTAGAAGAAGACCGGGTTCAACGCATGCTGGAAATGGCCGAGAAGCTAAAGTGCTTGGACTTGTCGGAAACCTGCTTTCAGCTCAAGAAGCAGATGCTCGAATCGGTGTTGTTGGAGTTGCAGAATTTTTCCGAGTCACAGGATGCGGCGGAGGACAGCGGTTCCCAGCCAGGCAACTTGCTTGAGCTGAGGGCAGTCACTGAGACGCCGGGGGACAACACGGACCGTGTTGCGGATTCTCCTCTCGGCAGACCCAGGGACGGCGAGGGCCTTGAGGCTCCCGCCGCTAAATTAAAGGAGAAGTTAGACAAGAAGAAAGAAGCCTTGAAGACGTCCTGCGCCAAGATCAGGAGAGCCAGTGGAAGACTGGCTGGCAGAAAGGTGTTTGTGGAGATCCCCAAGAAAAAGTACACGAGGCGCCTTCGAGAGCAGCAAAAGTATGCGGAGGCTGTGGCCGAGGAGAGTCGGCTCTCCAAAGACCACGGCATCCATAAGGAAGGGGAGGAGAAGAAAGATGAAGACGAAGAGGAGAAAGGACAAGTGGTGAGCGTCGTGAAATCTGAAAGCAAAGGGTGCGATGGCGCCGACGACCTGGAGGAAAACCTGACCAAACTGGAGGACGATAAAAAGAACCGTGGCGGCAACTTTACCTGCAGCACCTGCGAGAGAGAGTTCCTGTACGAGAAGAGCTTTCTGAAGCACATCAGGCACAGCCACGGGATCGCGGCCGAAGTCATTTACCGTTGCGAAACCTGCAGCCAGACTTTTGCCAACCGGTGCAACCTCAAAAGCCACGAGCGCCACGTCCACAGCAGCGAGCGCCACTTCCCTTGCGAGCTCTGTGGTAAGAAGTTCAAGAGGAAGAAGGACGTCAAGAGGCACATTCTGCAGGTTCATGAGGGTGGTGGGGAGCGTCATCACTGCCTACAATGTGGAAAGGGTTTGAGCTCCAAAACGGCCTTGCGGCTTCATGAAAGGACACATACAGGCGACAAGCCTTATGGGTGCACAGAGTGTGAGGCTAAGTTTTCTCAGCCTTCGGCACTTAAAACACACATGAGGTATGGACACACTTAACTGGCCTTCTTAGTTAAATCTCTGGGCAAAGAAAGGAAAAGGTAGCGTTCCTCCAAGGCTGCTTGTCAAATAAGAAAGCAGGGTTTTATGAGTAGAGTTTACCATATTTTTTGCTCTATAAGACTCACTTTTTCCCTCCTAAAAAGCAAGGGGAAATGTATGGAGCGAATGCAGGCTGCGCAGCTATCCCAGAAGCCAGAACAGCAAGAGGGATTGCTGCTTTCGCTGCGCAGCGATCCCTCTTGCTGTTCTGGCTTCTGAGATTCAGAATATTTTTTTTCTTGTTTTCCTCCTCCAAAAACTAGGTGCGTCTTGTGGTCTGGTGCATCTTATAGAGCGAAAAATACGGTACTCGTGAAATGTTTGGTAGTGTTTGCTCTTTGCTTTCGAAGAAAAAGTTTGAGACTGTCGTGCAGATGGCACCAAATCACAGGCTCGGACTCCTATTGAGTTGCCTTTAAAAGAGTTGGGAGTAAATTGAAGCCTTTAGAGGAGAACTGGGAAAGGTAGTCTTGATTTCATCACACCGATACTCAGAATTGTAGTTAAAACAAGTGGCAAAAAAGACTTCAAACAATCCAGTCTGACTTTTGCCAGCTAATTTGGATAAAACACATTACAGTGGTTCATGATATGAGTCCTTGGGAGTAATAATGGTAACTTGAATGCTTTCTACCTCCACATATAGAGCATTCGAATTCAATGGGAGGTGGCAGGTTCTGGTAATTGAAATTGAATTCTGCAGTCATTGTTTCAGGTGTTACTTGAGCACAAACAGTAGCATAATCCTTTGGTTCCAGACAGGACCTCTCTTTCTCCCACTCATCTTCTGAAACTTTTTGCGATAGGCTTGACAGCAAAACTTCATCACTGTTGATGGGTCAGTTTGCCCCTTGAAAAATTCAACGGCATGTGTGTTCTTCAGCTGGCAATGTCATGGGCAAATATTTTCTCTTGATGAAAGCCAAAGGTCTCCTGAAGCTTTGCCAGGGCTACTTTCAGTGCCCTGCATCATCAAGGAAAGAGCCACAGGGACCTTTGCGGTCTCAAATCTCCAGTAGTAGAAGTGGCACTTCTTTGCAAGACAAGGACTTTGAATTCTTTGATTCTATTATTGTTCACTAGATGGGCTTACTGCTTTCAATTCTCCCCACTGTGAAACAGCTTTTGAAACCTGCAGAGTGAGGAATTGAGTCCTTCCCTATGACTTACCTTTCTTTTTAGATAGAAGCTGCTGTAAAATATCTTTTGTGTGTGTGTATCTGTGGGATGGGTAGTCTCTATAAAACACAGAAAAGAAACTTATGGGCTTGCAGGGCCCCTAGATACTTCAGGTTCAATTCTTAGTTCAGATATTTGGGATGGAATTCATGTTTGATTAGGAGGGTGAAGCTCCTTCATTGTTATCGTGCATCATGCAACAGTAATATTTTTAGTGGTATGTTTTGTAAAAACTGTATGGGCTTGTAGAGGGAGGGCGATCTCTACCCCATCTTTTGGTATGTTGAAGAATTCTTCTGCCTCCTTGAGGAGCCAGGAATATCAACCATTGTAGAGCAGTGTTTGGTCACAGCAGGGAAAAAAACAACAGGGTGTGCAGGTAAGGACATAGCTTGTGATTAATTTTATATGTGTTATTGTTTTAAGTTGAGGGAATGAAATCCAAAAGGTAACTGTTCTAAGGCTTCCACAAGCAAAACATCTCTCTCCTCTGCACACACGGTTTTGAAAAGCCAAAATATTTGTGATCCAGGGAAACACTTTTGGATCCCTCTCCCCGCCCCGGGGGATCCAGTTTCACTGGAAATACATTGTCGTTCCTGTTGATCTAAGATTGTAGGTAGCTTTACACAAAACAAGAAAAAAATACATTCTTTAGTATAAATAAGTACAAATAGTATCTGAAAATTACAGCTTTTTTGTTTTAGTCTAATTTAAAGCATCTAATTTTTTGGTTCTGCTTCTATTTTACCTTACTTTCCATTGCCTTACCATTATTGCTGGCTGGGCCCAAAAGACAGCAAACATGCAGGAGACTGCTTTTGTTCAGCTGGGAGCCCCATACACTAGCATATGCTGTGCACTTGGCTTTCGGGGGTGCAGGGGAGAGAGAAAGAGTCCCATCCATAGATAGGCAAAGACAACCTCAAGAAAGAAAGTGCCCACCACTAGTTACTGCTTAGTAAAGAGGCAGAACAAGTGACTATGTTAAAGTGCTGTAGTTGTGTTGATTTGTATTATTTTCTCATTTCAGAATCCATACTGGTGAAAAGCCTTTCGTTTGTGGCGATTGTGGAGCAAAATTCACGCAGAATCACATGCTGATCTATCATAAAAGATGCCACACAGGTATAAAAGTATTGCTTTTTTTTGCTTTGTACTCTTTCACTCAGTGTGTCTGATTTCCTGTACGTCTGAGAGTTTGGCCACATTGTTCCCAAAGAGCAAGTAATTTGGGACAGGTGAGCAGTTTCTGTCTTCGCTCCAAAGTGTTGCAGGTTTATTCTGTGATGCTACACTGGTGCAATGCAGCCCCTTAGACAATTATTGCTGGACCAGTAGCTGTTAAAAGAGGTGAGGGGAGAGTTAAAACTGCCAATGCACTGTTTGGTTGAAGTGTACCTTGGCTTTCTCAATCCCTATCCTTGTTCCAAATCTTACTGTTAGTGGCTTAAACTAACCTCTTCACCTTTATTGTGTCCTCTAGGGGAACGGCCTTTCATGTGTGAAACGTGTGGGAAGAGCTTTGCCTCTAAGGAGTATCTGAAACACCACAACCGAATCCACACGGGGTCCAAGCCATTTAAATGCGAAGTTTGCTTCCGAACATTTGCACAGAGGAATTCACTGTATCAGCACATAAAAGTTCATACAGGTAGGAAGGCAAAAGGGTCAAGCTGAGGGCGGGACGGGGAGCCTCCTGTTTGCAAAATTTTGGTGTGAACTAAAGGGACGCGGGTGGCGCTGTGGGTTATACCACAGAGGCTAGGACTTGCCGATCAGAAGGTCAGCGGTTCGAATCCCCGCAGCGGGGTGAGCTCCCATTGCTCGGTCCCTGCTCCTGCCAACCTAGCAGTTCGAATGCATGTCAAAGTGCAAGTAGATAAATAGGTACCGCTCTGGCGGGAAGGTAAACAGCGTTTCCGTGCGCTGCTCTGGTTCGGCAGAAGCGGCTTAGTCATGCTGGCCACATAACCCGGAAGCTGTGCGCCGGCTCCCTCGGCCAATAAAGCGAGATGAGCGCCGCAACCCAAGTCTGTCACGACTGGACCTAATGGTCAGGGGTCCCTTTACCTTTAACTTTAAAAAGAGGGGCTCTTACCAGTTCACTGTATACAGTGGTACCTCGGGTTAAGTACTTAATTCGTTCCGGAGGTCCGTACTTAACCTGAAACTGTTCTTAACCTGAAGCACCACTTTAGCTAATGGGGCCTTCTGCTGCTGCCGCGCCGCCAGAGCACGATTTCTGTTCTTATCCTGAAGCAAAGTTCTTAACCTGAAGCACTATTTCTGGGTTAGCGGAGTCTGTAACCTGAAGCGTATGTAACCTGAGGTACCACTGTACAAAGGTTTAGTTTCGCTGGTGATTCTGTTTTATAAAACACATGGCAAAAGCTGATTCGAGAAAGGATTATAACAGATCTCTGCTGAAATACACCCCCTGGCTCAGTCATTCTCTTGCACTCAGATTTGTTTTTTGGTCACGTGTTTCATCACTAAGGAGACGTTGCTAACTCTCCGCACCTTTAGTAATCTTGTCACTAAACTCTGTTTCCTCCAGTTGATTTGCCATGTTTAGCTTTGACTTCCCCACCCAATTCTTTCCTGAGGAAATTTTACTCTTTGGCACAGCACCTTCGAGTATATTACCGGGCGTGGGGGTGACCTGAAAATGAGCATTTTCCACCATTGTCCCTGCACTCTTGAAAGCCCATCCCTCTGCCATATGTGATACATCATGCAGCAGTTGTTCCAGATGTCTTATAAAGACATATCTTTTCCCCAGGCTTTTCCTAACCTATAAAATATTGGAACCTGTTATTACGGAATTACAGTGGTACCTCGGAAGTCGAACGGAATCTGTTCCGGAGGTCCGTTGGACTTCCAAAACTTGGTTTCCATTTGGAAACCAAGGCGCAGCTTCCGATTGGCTGCAGGAAGCTCCTGCAGCCAATCGGAAGCCGCGTCAGACATTCGGGTTCCAAAGAACGTTCGAAAACTGGAACGTTCACCTCCGGTTCTGCAGCGTTCGGGATCCAAGGTACAACTGTACTGTTTTTCAAAATACAGACATAAAGACAGTGAAACAGTCTCTCTCTCTTTAGGATATTGTATCTTTGTGTACCACTTTTTAAAATGTTAAGTGGTTCAGAAATGCTTCCGATTACATCATTGTGCTTTCCGATTATCCCTCTGCCCTGGCCTTCTCTGATCAGAGTAAGGACATCCAAGTTTCTGTTTGCCAGGTCGCCAGCCTGTAGGAAGCTTTCTGCTTTAGCCATGTGCATGTCGTGTTATTCTTGGGCCTTTCCTAAGCAAGGCTTCCGTGTCAGCGTCCAGTTAGAAACTGGTATCTAACGACGTTGTTCAGATCCTACATAAACCAGCTTCAGCCTCTTCCAAAGTGCCTTGCAGACTCAAATTCATTTCATGTTTTTGAGGACTGTTGTTTATACCTGGGGAAACCTGCCTGCTCCAGTGAGTTGTATGTTGGCCTTGGCCCTATACTTTAAAATCCCAAGTCTGGGAGTTCCTGAGGCCACACTGAAACCCTCTATGTCAGGTCTTCATCTTTACAATAGGAATAAGAGAGGATTGGACGTTATTCTGCATGTTGCTAATGCAGTTAGGATCGCGATTAGTAATTAAAGATTTCTTTCCAGTTAGTGCTTTCAGCTCTGGTGAAAATAATTCTTTCCTTGAGCTATTTGCGTCTACCATCATAATGACTTTTTAGTTGGTCTTTCCTATTCTAACTTAAGCCTTTTGTTTGTTTTCATATTCCATCTCCCTCTTTCTTTTCCTTCCAGGTTAATATTAATATTTCTCTGCTTTTGTTTTCTCTTCACTTGCTACATTTTCCTCTTTATGATTTCTTTTACCTACTTTCAAATGTATTCCTTCTCTACCTCCTGTTTATTTTTCATCTCTGATTTTTCCATTTTGTCCCCTGTTGGTTGTTAAACCCTGTGTCTTTCTCTATTCTATTCTCTGTTGTGCTTTTTTTTCTTTATTGCTCCTTAACTATGGAACTCTCTACTAGCTAATGTTTGTGTAGTTCATTCTCCTTTTTTAAAAGCACAGCATACTAATTTATTTTAGCAGGCCTATGCTTAATCATTCTTGACCTCTAAATTTCTAGCATTATTTTTAGTTTAAATTAGATTGTATTCCTGCTCAGTAAGGCTTGTCGTCCTATGTGTTTTGAACAATACTTAGTTCCCACAGGTACTTCACAAATAAAGTATAATAATGCCGTTCATTTTACAAACGTATCTGACAGTAATTTCTGCTGGAGGACAGAATAACTGTCTGTTTGGTGTACCGGTAGATAGATTTAAAAAACAAAGTATAATTGATTCCAGAAAGGCTTTTATTAATACAAAAGCATGAAAACATTTTATCCCATTTTCAGCTCAGTTCAGTGTTAAGTTGGGAATACACAATTGAAGTTCATGACACATTCTTATCATCAGAAGTTCTGACTTGTACTCTTGAGGTCATTGTATTCTGGCTGATCTTAAGTTGTATTTGGTGCAGCTACAAAGGGACGCGGGTGGCGCTGTGGTCTAGGGCTTGCCAATCGGAAGGTCGGCAGTTCGAATCCCCGCGATGGGGTGAGCTCCTGTTGCTCGGTCCCTGCTCTTGCCAACTTAGCAGTTTGAAAGCACATCAAAGTGCAAGTAGATAAATAGGTGCCGCTCCAGCGGGAAGGTAAACAGCGTTTCCGTGCGCTGCTCTGGTTCGCCAGAAGCGGCTTAGTCATGCTGGCCATATGACCCAGAAGCTGTACACTGGCTCCCTCGGCCAGTAAAGCGAGATGAGTGCTGCAACCCCAGAGTCGTCCGCGACTGGACCTAATGGTCAGGGGTACATTTACCTTTACCTTACAAAGGTGAAGATCTTGCAGGTGTTCCTTAGTGGTTTCTTCCTTCACTTAAAGGTAAAGTTAAAGGGACCTCTGACCAATAGGTCCAGTTGTGGCCGACTCTGGGGTTGCAGTGCTCATCTCGCTTTATTGGCCGAGGGAGCCGGCGTACAGCTTCCAGGTCATGTGGCCAGCATGACTAAGCCGCTTCTGGCGAACCAGAGCAGCGCACGGAAACGCCGTTTACCTTCCTGCCAGAGCGATACCTATTTATCTACTTGCACTTTGACGTGCTTTCGAACTGCTAGGTTGGCAGGAGCAGGGACTGAGCAACGGGAGCTCACCCCGTCGCGGGGATTTGAACCGCGACCTTCTGATTGGCAAGTCCTAGGCTCTGTGGTTTAACCCACAGTGCCACCCGCGTCCCTCTTCCTTCACTTGGTTGCTGTCAAAGTCTGCAAGAGCAGCCCTTTTGCATGCAGTCAAATAGCAATAGTAACCATGTGCTCTGCTTATAGGTGAGCGTCCCTACTGTTGTGATCAGTGCGGCAAACAGTTCACCCAGCTCAATGCCCTGCAACGCCATCATCGGATTCACACAGGGGAGAAACCGTTCATGTGCAACGCTTGTGGCCGGACATTTACCGACAAATCTACTCTTCGGCGGCACACCTCTGTAAGGAAATTTTGATTTTCTGTTTCCTAACAAGCCACGTAACTTAAGGGTGCGGCAGCTTTGGCCCTCCAGATGTTGCTGACTACAACTCCCATCAACCCAGGCTGTTGGGTCACGCTGGCTGCAGCTGGTGAATGGTTTGAGTCCCACAGCACCTAGAAGGCCAGAGGTTCTCTATCCCCGATGTAAGTGGTGTAGTTACTGGCAGAGATGGAAAACATTGTGTAAACCCCACAGAGCATGGCTCCCCCTGAAGTTGGAGCATTGAACTAGAGCAGGCTTCCTCAAACTTGGCCCTCCAGATGTGAGAACCAGTGTGGTGTAGTGGTTAAGAGCGGCAGACTCCTAATCTGGTGAACCGGGTTCGCTTCTCCTCTCCTCCACATGCAGCTGCTGGGTGACCTTGGGCCAGTCACACTTCTTTGAAGTCTCTCAGCCCCACTCACCTCACAGAGTGTTTGTTGTGGGGGAGGAAGGGAAAGGAGAATGTTAGCCGCTTTGAGACTCCTTCGGGTAGTGATAAAGCGGGATAGCAAATCCAAACTCTTCTTCTTCTTCTTCTTCTTTTGCCTACAACTCCCATGATCCCTAGCTAGCAGGACCAGTGGTCAGGGATGATGGGAATTGTAGTCTCAAAACATCTGGAGGGCTGAGGTTGAGGAAGCCGGAATTAGGGCCTTAGATGGCTGGCTGTTTTATGCATAGGGAGTGAGCAGAAAAATTCTTTGGCTAATCCTAAGCTAGGGACGTTCCCATTTTCCTGCATTTAAGAACTAAATTATTGAGTATGGGGTGTTGCAGATGGCTACCAAATCAGATTTCATGAATGCCTTGGCAGTTTAGACCTCTGTGCCCTTGCAGAGTTTCAGCATTGACACATTCAAGCAAATACCTAAACATGCCTGTGGTACTTGCCCATTTGCGTGTCAGTTTTTCCACGGTACTCATGCCGTTGGGAAGTGATTCCTATTAGGGCCTCAGTTGTACACTCTAATTTGTGCAGCCAGAAAGCCCAAAAGCTGTTCCTTGCCTTTATTAAACAGTGAAAACAAATTACTAATATATAATGAGAAAATGCAGGTTTGGTCTTGCATTTTTGATCTTATTATGAACTCTTCTTGTACTTGTTTTTTTTTTTAAAAAAATTCCCTCACTACTTCATAACTTGGGAAGGCTACATCCTCTATTCTGCCTACATTTTAATTGCTCTCAGCCATTGTTCATAAGAGAAACAAGTTTAGGTTGTTGGAGCTAGTAATAATAATAATAATAATAATAATAATAATTTATAATTGTAATAATTTATTTGTACCCTGCCCATTTGGCTGGGTTTCCCCTCATTGCTGAATATGAACTTGCAAGAGTCCTATAATGCTATAGCAGACCAAGAAATAGCATGTGCAGTTTTAGATAAAATAAATAAAAATAAAATAAGTCTGAAATGCCTCTCAACTTCATTGGAGGCGCAGAGGTGGCTGCTTCCCTGCCTGAGTCCTGGGCAGTGTGGGCTCTGAATCCTTAGACAGCAGTTTGAGAAGCGGCTCAGGATCGCAATACCTCAAGGACTGCCTCTTTCCATATGAACCTACCTGGACCCTGAGATCATCTTCTGAGGCCCTCCTTCATGTGCCTCCTCCTCGAGGGGTTTGGAGGGTAACAGCATGAAAACGGGCCTTCTCTGCAGTGGCTCCCCGTCTGTGGAATGCTCTCCTCAGGGAGGTTTGCCTGGTGCCTTCACTATACATCTTTAGGCACCAGACAAAAATGTTCTTTTTCAACCAGGCCTTTGCCTGACTTGATCTACATCAAGGGTCAGCAAACTTTTTCAGCAGGGGGCCAGTCCACTGTCCTTTAGACCTTGTGGGGTGGCGGACTATATTTTGGGGAAAAAATATGAACTAAATCCTAGGCCCCACAAATAACCCAGAGATGCATTTTAAATAAAAGGACACATTCTACTCCTGTAAAAACACCAGGCAGGCCCCACAAATAATGCAGAGATGCATTTTATATAAAAGCACACATTCAACTCATCTAAAAACACACTGATTCCCGGACTGTCCATCGGCCAGATTTAGAAGGCGATTGGGCCGGATCCGGCCCCTGGGCCTTAGTTTGTCTACCCATGATTCTACATCTTATACCTTTTTATAAAATGCTGGCTCTTTTGGGGGGGAGGGTTATTGTTGTTGTTTTGATTTTATGTATTTGATATTTTATGTGAACCGCCCTGAGACCTTTGGGTATAGGGCGGTATTGAAATTAAATAAATAAGAGGAAGAAGAATCAGTATTCAGAGCAAATTGAAGTTGCTGTAGACTGTAATGTGTGCCAGTGGTGAATTTTGCATGTTTGTGGTCCCCCCCCCCCCCAGATTCATGATAAAAACACACCTTGGAAGTCTTTCCTTGTGGTTGTTGAAGGAGCGTCTAAGAATGATGAGGATCATAAAACAGAGGCAGACTATAACGTGGCTCGTTCCAAAATATCCGAGAAGCTGCTATCGTTCTCTGAAAATGGGCACTATCAGGGTCTGACGGCTATCCAAGGAAATATGACTGCGCTGCATGAAAATGGATCGTCCGCAGTGACAGACTGCAAATCAAAGGGCGCTGCAGGGTCTCCGGAAACCGCTGTAGCTACAACTTTGCATGATCTCACAGTGTTGCACACCCAGACTGACTCATTTCAGCCTCCACTTTACACCTTGGTGACTATAGAATAGCACTTGCTACAAAGAAGAAAACGCCAGCTGGGGATGATCTCTGAAATACTGTAGTACACAGTATCCATGATCCATGTAAAGAAGAAGAAAGGGTTACTATGGATGATCTTAATATCCTGGATTCTCTCAAAACCATTACTTCTCAAGTTGTCTTTCAACTGAAGGATTCTCTCTCATCCCGTTTGTTAAAGAGAAAATTATTCTCTCTTTCGTATGCCGTCTCTGTAATTTTGAAGTAGATTTCAGATTGCAGAGTCAGTGCAAGAAAGCGAAGTTTTAATCCAGATTTTTCCTTTCCTTCAGCAGAATGGTTTCTTTGGAGAGATTGTTTTCCCTCTGAAAGGAGACTCGTTCTGTGCTGGTGTTGTTTAAAATCTCTTAATCGACACTGATTTTACATTGTATGGAAACGCACGTGAGATCGTGTAGCGCAATCTCTCTGGGCCCAATATGAAATGCAGTTTTAATAAATTGCTGGTGCTGTGTTTTTAAACATTGGGGCATGTCTGACCCTGTTCTTTCAAGCTCTTGAATAAGTTATTTTGGGAAATGTTTGGAAAACCAGGTTGGTAAAAGTGCTGGAGCTCCACTTCAGTTCATATGCTAAATCCGTACATCAGATAGATTGTTCTACACAACTTGGAAGTGGATTTCAGAGTAGCATTGCTGGATTTTGTTCAGAATTTGTGGAGGGATTTCACAAGCTTTTTAAAATTACTCTATGGTCCAACCTTCCTCCTAAGTACCTGGTGAACCTTTTCTCTGTACTCCTTCCTGTCTCCTCAGTCCCACCTACAAACTCGCTGTCTTTTAATGGTCTCACCAGTCTATTCGGTCATATGCACACACGCCCAAAGCCACACGTGCATCTTCAGCTTCTGTTATAGAAATACCCCCATTTCCATACATTCCCTGTACAGATAGGACCTTCACAAATTTCTAAATCGCTCTTCATTGTCCAGAGGACCTTAGTATTCTTCCCAGCCTCTTGTGATCCCAGTGCCCCATATATGGAGGTTGTGTGCCGGCCACGAGACAAGGAGCTTTGTAACTTTATAAATTTATTGGCAGCATACTTCTAAAACAAATTGCTCCAAAGTAAAGAATGCAGGACTGCAAATCACCTGTTGTGGCTCCCCAGTCCTCTTCTTCTTTGTGCTACAGCTGGTAAAATATTCTTTGTTCAGGTTTCCGGCAACGGTTTCATTATCTGGGTGAGTACGCTTCTTGTTTTTGTACTTGCTATAATGTTTGTCCCAAAGGCTACAGAATGTACTGGAAAATTAAAATTATAACCTGAACTGGCATTCAGAGTAATGGCTAGCAGCCGTTTAAAAGCTCATTGAGATTTCCAAGTTTAGCTTCTAAAGGTTTTGCAAAATGTGTTGCATGAAAAGAGAGTACACTTTTAGCGGACATAGTTGGAAGTCGAAGCGAAGCAACTGCCAAAATTTTAAGAAATGCACGTTTCTTTTAAAATGTTGTTTTGTCATAGGGTTGAGGGAAGTGAAGAATTAATTTGTTTTTGCTAAAAACACATCAATACTGTGCCTTCCTACTTTTAAATTCAGGAAACATGAAGTGCCAAATCCAAAACTTATTTAAGTTCCAACATTCCACTGGATTCCAGCAGAACTTGCTAGTGCAACTGTTAGGAGTAATTGTAATTTATTGAACATGTCACCCAGCCCGTTAAAAGCACTGGCTAATGGGATCAGTTTTTCAACCACTCTCTGTGTCCTGAGATAAAATCAAGTTCAGTGTGTTTTAGCTTATACAGTGTTATAACCGGACATGGTTTTATAAAACACAACTGAGTATGTTAACTACTTCTTTCAAACTGCTGTGGTTTCACTCTCTTTATGGATTCATTTTGATGCATTTTTCCTTTTCAAGAAGTGATTGCAATGGTAAATTAAGCCTGAGCTTAACAGATCCTTTTAAGTCATGGTCTTCCCTGCTCTGGCTTACCTGTAGGATTGACCCTGCACCCATTCACAATACTAGTAGTGATAAAGTACTGTTATTTCCAAAGGAAGAGACTTGTTTCAGAAAAGTAATCCAAGTATGTAACAGCAAATTATTTTCTCAAGGTAATGATGGACTCAGTTTGTCAGTGTAAAGTGCTTTGGGTCACTTACTCTTCAAGGCTGATTTACTGCTGCAGAAGATCTGATCCTTTTCATGTTGCTGTATGTTTTAGCAAAGTTATACTCTGGATTCACGCTTGGCCTTTTCTAAAGCATTTTTCCTTTCATTAAAAAAAGAAAAGAATGGTTTTTGTTCAAAATCACTCGGAGGGGGAAAACATCTAGGCTAACTTTGGTACAGGTATCACAAACAGGTAACTTAGGATCCTGCTTTCATATTTTACTTGTTGAAAGGCAATGCAATAAAAGATCAGTCCAACTGTGTATCAGTTTTGTTTTGTTTGTAAAACCCCTTAGTAGGAGGTTTTTTTTACCATTTACTCCTTGTTTATTTTAATTCACTAAAAGGGGTCTTTTTTAGGAAGACTGGAAGAGCTTATATTTAAATATTTATTTTGTAATCCATGTGCTCCATTTTGACGTTAGAATTTTAACGACCAATTACAAAAGAATTTGTAGTAAATATTTAAATCCTTATGTTAGTAAATATAGGTTGGGATTTTTATTTTTACTCTACAGAGATGTGAAAGTGGGTTCACTTGTATGAACTGGTAAACCCCATTAAAAGATTTTTTTCAAATAGTACTATCTTTGTTGTGACTCTTTTGGGGAGAGAAAACACACTTTACTTGAAGACTGCAGAGTTCTACCATGATATCTCTACTGTGATCCAGAGGAATGAGCAATGTGTGTGCAGGATGAGGCAGGTATTTAACTGATCTATTTCAGCCCCATTAAGATACATAAATACATAATGCAGTATATATAGGTGCGCGGAAGCAGGATCAATATGGATTAGCTAAACTGCAGAGCTTTCCAAACTGTGTGTCGCGACACATTAGTGTGTTGGCTGCTTGTGTAAGTGTGTTGCACAAACATTCCTCAAACTCCTCCCGGGGCTGGAAAGGGCCTAGTTTAACCTCCGGTTTGCTAGTAAAATTGAATTACTGTGTCGCGAAATGATGCATGTCCAAAAAGTGTGTCACCAACTGGAAAAGTTTGTAACGGTTGAAGAGCAATCCTAAACATCTGTACCAGTTCTACAAGGTCTTACCTATTCAAGCATCATGATGGGGTGAGCTCCCGTTGCTCTGTCCCAGCTCCTGCCAACTGAGCAGTCTGAAAGCACACCAGTGCAAGTAGATAAATCGGTACCGCTGCGGCGGGAAGGTAAACGGTGTTTCTGTGCTCTCTGGCTTCTGTCACGGTGTCCCATTGCACCAGTTTAATCATGCTGGCCTCGTGACCCGGAAGCTGTGGACAAACGCTGGCTCCCTCGTACTGAAAGCAAGATGAGTGCCGCAACGCCATAGTCACCTTTGACTGCACTTAACCTTCCAGTGGTCCTTTACCTTACTTTTTACTATAAGTCTGTCACAAACATCACGCTTCAGATGGCCAAAGCTAACTTCTATAATGTAAATAGAGGTGGGTACAGGTTTGCCAACCCAGATATAAAGCACATAAATCTTTTCTGTTTTGTAGCCCTTGGTGAAAACTCACTGGGCAGGTGTTGGGGCTGAATAAAAACACACACATTTTGTTGTTACAGTGGGCAACACACTCTTTAATGACAATTCTCATGATAAAATAGCAACGCAAAAAGCCGAAAGCCTCATATCCAGCCACAGCCCCTGTCAGTTAAGGACCAAACCCAGACCCCTGGTGGCTGCAGCCATTATGGTAGTATTTTCCAGCTGTTGAGTCGAGTGCAAAGACAAGACAAAGCTTTGCCATTTCTCTGCATCTTGTTACAAAACAAAGCAACCCTACAGTGCCTCTACAACAACAGCGATGAATGAATCTTCGGTTACACATTCACTATAGTTTCATAGATTCCTAAACCACAATAGTACGTATGAACATACGATGGCCGTTGGTCTATGTTTACATACAGGTAAATCGGAAATAGCTCCTTACCATCGCGGGAAGTCTTGTGATGATTAAAGCAACAGAGGGGAATTTCGTTTGAAACATTTCTTGAGCTAGACAGAGGAAGCTGTAGCTGAAAACCACGAGCCTGAAAAGCTGGGCCGGTGCCAGGAGTCAATTCTCTGCACACCATCAGGCAGACAATTGATGGGCTTAGCATCAATCACAGGTTGGGGAGAAGGGGTTGGAGCTCCAGTCCTCTCCACTGGCCCCCCAACCAGCGACTGACACTACAAAATTGACTACACCGACCATGTGATTGTTGACTAAGTCCTCAGGCAACGTGGGAAGCCTTAGGGTGTGGATGGGGACAGGGACAAGAAGGTTCCTCGTGTGGCAGCATTTTGATCTGCTCTGAATAGTCAGAGGAACGTGCTTTTGTGTGCATATTACCCACACAGAACGAGAGCCATTTACTTAAAGTAAGCCCCACAGAAGACAAGAAGACTAGTGTGGGGTTTGTGTGTCTTGCGGTAATACCGTAACCTCTTACAAGGACCGGAAGAAGCACATTTGAACAAGTAACACAACACAGACAAATAATGGTTCTGTGCCTGCACACGGAAGCCTGTAGCAACTGAAAAGTGTGGTTTTTGGAGACATGACTAAAAAGGGGTGTGCCACAATTTAAAGAACAGCTAGGTCTGTCTGAGAAAGAAAAATAGAAATCTACATATATATTTTATTACATTTACAGCTGGTCTTTCTGTGAGGAGGGAACCCCACCTGGGCACTGACTCGCTCCAAACCTTAACTCAGGGCTGCCATACACCTGGAATTTCCTGGACATAGCTGATATTCGTCTGTTGAAAATGGCATCTCCACGTTCCATATCCCAAGTATTGCTTTTTGGGCGTTCCCCTCCCCCCCCCCAAAAAAAGGTAAAAATATTTTTGGAGATTTTGCTGGGGGAAAGCTCAGCAACTCTGCCTCCACCCCCCGCCAGCCCAAATCTCAACAACTTTGCCAAAAAAAACCCTCAAAAACTTTTGTGTCCGGATTTATATGGCAACCCTAGTTGAGCTTCAACAGGTTGCGACATCACATACCTCAAGACTAGGAATGGGAAATGTGATTCTTCCAGATGTTGGTACACAGCCAATGATCAGAGATGACGGATAGCTGGAGTTCAACAGCACTTGCAGGGCCACAGGTCCTCCACTCCTACCATAGCCAGACCATGGATATAGTATTTGCACAACCATGCATAGCCTTTGCAAAAAACACTTGTTCATTTCCCACCTAGATAGGAGCCTCTCTCTCCTCTCGCCATCAGCTACTCAGCACTGACCCCCTGCAACCGCTGATCCACGCCTGCATTCCACAAAAGGCCATCTGGCAAAAGCTTGCTGCCGTTTCCCAGCAGAAAGACACAGCGGGTTGGATCCAGACCAGGCTGGTTGCGCTAAAGTCTCCCTGAAATCAAGGTAAAAAGTCAAGTCTTTATTCAATCGAGTCCTTCAATGGGAAGGAAGTTCTACGAACCTAGCCTGGAACCAACCCAGCAGGAGGGTAGCAGTTAATGGGAAAGTCAGTGGCAATGAACTCTTTTGAACAGGTCAACTGATAGCTGAACTGCTAAAGTAGGCCAGTAGGAAATTACTAAGGCTATATACACACACACACTATGCAAAATATACAGCAAGCTGGGTTCAGATTTGGGCAGAATGAGACAAGAAGAGTAGACTGCATCCCTCTGCACTGCAGGCGATAGGGGGTGCCATTTATTTTATTTATTTTTAACCCCTAGCCCAGCAGGCAGGAAGATTCTAACCCAGGCTGTTGGCTAGCACACTTTGCTTGCAGAGAATTTATACAGTGGGAAACCCCACCCCTACCTGCAACCGTAAGCCCATTCAATCATGCCATTCCCTTTATTCAGCTGCACCTATAGAGCAACTCTGGAAAAGCACACTGGCTCTTCTGCTATGGAAAGGCTGACAGCATTTTTCAACCTTGATTTTTTTATTTTGGTAGTTCTACGTGCTACAAAGCACACGCCCAGAGACACACATATGCACACGGCATATAGAAAAAACCACAGGCTTTCCACCAGCACGACTGAAAACGCACCGGAACTCACAATTTCACACACACGCACATGCACACACTCCTGAAAGAGCAGTCTAAAATACAGCTGGTTTATGACTACCGGTGTGTCATAAACAATATATACACTCTCATGGATCAAAGGTGTAGAACAGGCATAGGCAAACTCAGCCCTCCAGATGTTTTGGGACTACAACTCCCATCATCCCTGACCACTGGTCCTGTTAGCTAAGGATGATGGGAGTTGTAGTGCCAAAACATCTTGCGGGCCTAGTTTGCCTATGCCTGGTGTAGAAGCTCCCAGTTTGGAAAAGAAAATGTCGCCACAGAAATGGGGGGGGGGGGGGAATTTGCTTGTTAGTCACTTTAAAAAATGGTAGTGTTCACCCCCCCTCCCACCCCCCCTTTTGAAGTGACTCATAGTGTTTACGTTTCTGGACCCCACATATTCACAACCACCCTGACTGAAACTTCCGCAGGGCACCTCCAACACACGTAGGTTTGTGTGAAAGCCAGAACCGTATCACCATCACTGCTTATGTTCAGATCTTTTCAGACTACCGATGCACGTGGATTGCATCAGCGCTGCTGATCATAATTGGCCAAGCAGGAAGAAGCAAGGAAAGAGCAGGGCAAACGCGTCGAGAATTGCACCACCGTCAGTAGTCGCAAATTATGTAACTAACATTTAGAAGAAACCCTTCCGATTCATTCATGTCGTCCAGATAGACAGACTGTAAGTCGTGTAATCATTTCGGCTAAGGTCAAATTTGCATTCCAGATGGTTCATACTCTTGCTTGTTTTTGAGCCAGAGGAGGCTTAATATAGATACACTTTGGATCCCTGCATATACTTACAAAGCAGTAAACCCCACTGAAGCCGATGGGACTTGACTCAACAGGAATAGGATTGCAATAGGCAGGGATCACAGATTTTGTCATCTCAGCGTTTGTGACTCGGCCACATTTCCTAAGCAGGAATGGAAATCACACTTAAAACAACACAATTTGATATAATATGTGTCTATTAATGCAAGAGAAATCTCTGAAGGGCCCAAATAAATTTTAGTTGATGAACTCATTTGTCCAAAAATAACCATACTCTTGGAGGGAGACTCACAGTAAGTGTGCCTAAATTTCAGGTTGGCTAGCATTTCATGTCAACAGACTGGATTTATAAGACACAATGAATAAGTCGAGAGAGAAAGTCCAATTGAACACAGGGGGCTTCCTTCTAAGTAAAGATGCCTTGCACTGTAAGGCAGCAATCCTATGGACAGTGATGCGGGGAATGCTGATCTCAGAGGGTCTTACTTGCAAGTAAATATGCATAGATCAGGCCGCATTTAGAAGGAAAACAAAAACACGAGGGCTTGAAAATATATATAGTTCATGTCCATAGTTACACCGAACGAGCCACAACAGGGTACTAAACAAGACACCAGTCAGTTAAGCTAGAAGCATAGATCCAAGTATCCCATAATGGTCCTTGGCCACAACACAGTATACTTCAGCAGACATGTCACGTGCCACAAATTGTACTGACAATTCACTTGAGGTCCCCGTCAGTGTCTTCCTGAATGGATTTCTTAATGCGAAGCAACATGGTCGTCAGCCACTGATCCAAGCGAGATATTGAATCAAACTCCTTAACCTAATTGGAAGAGGGTAACATAGCCGGTTAGAAAAGCGAGTACAGTTGTACCTTGGATCCCGAACGCCTTGCAGGTCAAACATTTTGGCTCCCAAACGCTGCAAACCCAGAAGTGAGTGTACCAGTTTGTGAATGTTCTTTGGAACCCGAACGTCCGACGCAGCTTCCGATTGGCTGCAGGAGCTTCCTGCAGCCAATCGGAAGCCTCACCTTGCTTTCCAAACGTTTTGGAAGTCGAACGGATTCCGGAACGGATTCCATTCGATTTCCAAGGTACCACTTTACAAAGACAAAGTGCACATATTCTTTTCAATTACCGTATTTTTCGCTCCATAAGACACTGTTTTCCTCTTAAAAACTAAGGGGAAATGTCTGTGCATCTTACGGAGTGAATGTGTGGTCCATGGAGCTAAACTGTCGGAGTGCGGCACGCTCCTGAGCTGCTCTTTGGGGCTGGCGGGGAGAACCCAGGGTGCCAGCAGAGCAGCCGGGGCTTCCCCCTCCAGCCCCGGGAGCAGCGGGCAGGCTGTGAGCAGATGCACACTCCTGAGCCGCTCTTTGGGGCTGGCAGGGAAAACCCCGGGTGCCGGCAGAGCAGCTGGGGCTTCCCCCTCCAGCCCGGACAAGCTCTTGCTTGGCCACGCACAGCCTCCCCAGCCCAGGAGAGGCTGCCCGCGGCGAAGCCAAGACAGCCAGCGGGATCGTCTTATAAGCGGGTGCGTCTTATTGTCTGATGTGTCTTATAGAGCGAAAATACGGTGTTTTCAGAATATGACCCAAAAGAAAAATAGAAGGGTTCTGTGAATCCATCCTGTGAGGCAGTGGGGGCGGGGCACAAGAACTTCCATCTGTGCAACAGGACTTCCTTTCCCCTCATGCCCCCCCCCAAATCAGATTTGGGGGACTAGATTTGAGGCGAGTGTGCTTCCTTGGGCCACTGAGATGACTTCATTGGATACAAATCAACGTTATTTTGGTCTTTTGCTCACTAACAAATCATAGATATGAGAAACTAACTCTTTTCAACTATAAAACAACTGCACAGTGTAAGTGGCCTTCCTCGGCCCATGTGCAAGTATAGCTTTGGAGAGTCTAAAAATTGGGAAAGAGGAAGCACAGTGCGTCAAGCCTCCCTTTAAGACAGAGAGCAAAAATGTGGCAGGCTTCCTTGCAGCCTTGTATTTAAGCACTTGTCTGTATGCACCTGCAATGAAGAATTCCATGCAGGCAAGTGAATGGGCTTCCATGTTTTAAAAGACACATAGATTGGAACAGATTACAAGTCAGTCATGACTCAGCTCAAGTCCCACTGATTCATTGAACTAATTCTATACAACAGGCATGGCCAACTTCAAGTAGGCTGTGATCTACTATCCAGTATCAAAAGCTGACAGTGATCTACTGTACCACACTCTCCCATTGTCATTCTTCAACTTAAACTCTTATATTTGGCTGAGCTTATGATAAAAATAATAACAAATGATAGTCGCTTCCATAAAACCTGAAAAGTTTGTTATAAATCAATATATTTTTTAAAAATACCTGTTTTGTATACTTGTAATTGTGTGTTTCTATAATACTTAAAGAAAATAACATTAAGGACAGGGACCTCCATAATCAGAACATGATGCACAGACTGTGGTTCACAAAAGCTTGTGCCATAATAGATGTGTTAAGTCTTTAAAGTACCCCAGGACTCTTGCTGTTTTTCAAATGAGTCAGGGGCACATGTCAACCACAGCGGTTTCCCCCGTACAGTGGTGCCCCACAAGACGAATGCCTCGCAAGACGAAAAACCCGCTAGATGAAAGGGTTTTCCGTTTTTCGATGCGCTTCGCAAGACGAATTTCCCTATGGGCTTGCTTCGCAAGACGAAAACGTCTTGTGAGTCTTGCGATTTTTTTCGCTTTCCCCCCCCTTTTTCTAAGCTGCTAAGCCGCTAATAGCCTTTTAGCCACTAAGCCGCTAAGCCTTTAATAGCCGCTAAGCTGCTAAACCGCTAATAGCGCTAATCCGCTAATAGGGTTGCTTCGCAAGACGAAAAAACCGCTAGACGAAGAGACTCGCGGAACAGATTATTTTCGTCTTGCGAGGCACCACTGTAGTTTGAAAGAGAAATTGGGTAAACTCAACTGCAGAGTTGACAGCCTTCAAGCACCACCTTAAGAACTGGGCAAAATCTGTAGAAGCCCTTTCTCCTGGATCCAACCAACCCCTTCCTTTTGAGTAAACCCAAATCAGGCCTTTCTCTCTCCGAGGAGCCAGCGCGCCTAGCGTCTCCGTCTGTGTACGTCTGCGCCTCCCTGCTCTCACCTTGCGCCCACTCGCTTCTCCTTCTGCCTTTGTTGTGTGCCTGCGTCTTTCATGCCCAACTTTGGAACCATCGCCATTCTGGCTGGCAAGGAGCATGCCTGGAGAGGAGCTGGGCTTGTGGGGGTGGGCAGAAGAAGGCTTTTCTCTCCCGGCCTGTGATCGACAGAAATCAATCCAGCGACTGACCAGTCGATCGCAATCAACGCGTTGGACATGTCTGCTATACAATTACCGTATTTTTCGCTCTATAAGACGCACTTTTCCCCTCCTAAAAAGTAAAGGGAAATGTGTGTGTGTCTTATGGAGCGAATGCAGGCGAGAGACTCTGCTCAGCGCTCCCTTTAAAGAGCCGCGTGGAGCGTGTGTGCAGCTCTTGGGGGCTTTTCCCCGAGGACAACCCTTCTCCCTCCTTGGGGAAAAGCTCCCAATAGCCGCACACATGCTCCGCGTGCTCTTTAAAGGGAGTGCAGTTCTTGGGGGAGGCTCCCCCTGCCTGGGAGAGGCTATGCGGCTATCCCATAAACCAGGACAGCAAGTGGGATCGCTGCACAGTGATCCCCCTTGCTGTCCTGCCTTCTGGGATTCAGAATTTTTCCCCCCTTGTTTTCCTCTTCCAAAAACTTGGTGCATCTTATGGTCTGGTGCGTCTTATAGAGAGAAAAATACGGTGCCTGAAAATGCACTCCACTGAACACCCACACAATACATTTAAAAGAGCACTGCTCCCCCCAGAGCTGTAGTTTACACCTCAGAGAACTATAATTTCCAGCACCCTTAACAAGCTACAGTTCCCAGGGTACTCTGGTGAAAAGCCGTGTGCTTTAAATGTATGGTGTGTAGGTAACGGAAGTGACCGCCTAAGATTGTACTGTTAATCTGGAACCAACTCTGTGTCTCTGTTGCTTCGAATGCGCTGTGGTTACAACAGTGCTGGCTATTTTACTTTTTTTTTAAGTTGGCCCTATGAAACCTACCCCGTGTCCAAGTAAAACAGAAGTCTACTTACCGCTTCAGTGTAAGCTTCACAGTTTTGTTCCTCGTGAGCTTCCAGTAATTTCTAGCAGGACGACATGAACAGATTAAACACAAGAAGTGACAACGTTACTGCATCTCTCAAGGAAGACGGACTTGTTAAGTAATCCTGTTTGCGCTCTGTAAAACTGAAAGAGGCCTTTCGCAACTTGAAGGCGTTTTAAAAACTACCAGGTAATGTATCCCTTCAATTTAGCAATAACCTGTTACAGTGGTACCTCGGGTTAAGTACAGTGGTGCCTCGCAAGACGAAAAGAATCCGTTCCGCGAGTCTCTTCGTCTTGCGGTTTTTTCGTCTTGCGAAGCAAGCCCATTAGCGGTTTAGCGGATTAGCGCTATTAGCGGCTTAGCGGCCTTAGCGGATCAGCTGATAAGTGGCTTAGTGGCTTAACGGATCAGCTGTTAAGCGGCTTAGCGGATCAGCTGATAAGCGGCTTAGTGGCTTAACGGATCAGCTGTTAAGCGGCTTAGCGGATCAGCTGATAAGCAGCTTAGTGGCTTAACAGATCAGCTGTTAAGCGGCTTAGCGGATCAGCTGATAAGCGGCTTAGCGGCTTGGGAAAAAGGGGGGGGGAGGAAAAAAACTCCGCAGGAACTCGCAAGACATTTTCGTCTTGCGAAGCAAGCCCATAGGAAATTCATTTTGCGAAGCACCTCCAAAATGGAAAACCCTTTCGTCTAGCGGGTTTTCCGTCTTGCGAGGCATTCGTCTTGCGGGGCACCACTGTACTTAATTCGTTCCGGAGGTCCGTACTTAACCTGAAACTGTCCTTAACCTGAAGCACCACTTCAGGTTCTTAACCTGAAGCTAATGGGGCCTCCTGCTGCCACTGCGCCACCAGAGCACAATTTCTGTTCTCATCCTGAAGCAAAGTTCTTAACCTGAAGCACTATTTCTGGGTTAGCGGAGTCTGTAACCTGAAGCGTATGTAACCTGAAGCATATGTAACCTGAGGTACCACTGTATATACAAAGCTGTTTATCCCAGGACTATTGCTGGATTTGAAGGGCTGGATGGGGTGCCTGCATAAGCAACCATCATCACAGTGATTATGACCTCATAGTCAGGCAGAGACATGTGGGGAGTTGAAGTGTCAGAAAATATTTACATGGCGCTGTGGTCCCCATCCCTGGGAACTAAGTCTATCTATGCCAGGGGAAGAAAGCTGTCTTGTTCTACCTCAGAACCTTGGGTGATATAGCTCAGTACCAACTAGAAATGTAAAGGCCTTGGGGAAAACCCAGAAAATTTGAAAGTAAAAAAACCCAAGTATTTCCCCCCCTCCTCAATTTTCCAGAAACAAATAGGGGAAAGATGGAAATATGGGGGGAAGGGAGAATTGTGTCCTTCCCAGTTTTTCTTTTTTTTTAATTTTTACTTATGATTTTCAATTTTATACATTTCAATAATTTTACATTAATTTTAACATGTTGATGCTCGACTCCCTTCCCCCCTCTTTCTGCAGTTCTTTACATTTATATTTTTCTTTTCTGCATATTCCAAATTAACTTAATCATTTATTCATCTCCCTTTAATGTACACTCTTATCAAGCTGCAGGTTATTACAATAATCCTGCCAACTTATCTGTTTACAGTTTATATGTAAATATTCAATAAACCATTTCCATTCTTTTATAAAAAGTTTGTTAGCTTGATATCTTATTTTTCCAGTAAGTTTTGCCATTTCTGCGTATTCCATGTTTTTGTATCCATTCTTCTTTCATCGGGACTTCTTTCCATTTGGGGGCAAATAACATTATTGCCGCTGTAGTCGCATAGATGAATAAATTTCTATGCAGTTTGGGTAGTCCCTATAATTCCCAAAATTATCATTTCTTCTTTCTAGTCCTTCACATCTCTAGTCCTGCTCAGAGTGCCTCCTCCAAGGTTTCAGACACGTGTCTTTCCCAGCCTACCTGGAAATTCCTGGGACTGAACCCGAAAACCTTCTGCATGCAAAACATATTCTCTTCCACTGAGCTGTGGCTCAGAAAGATGAAGTTGGGGGGAGAGTCAAGGGATGAAGGGAAGAAGGGGTTGGGTGAACGCAAGACTATAAAAAAAGTGGGCTGAAGTGGTACCTCGATCTGGAGCAGAACCTATAATAAGCTTGTGTGAGAGGAAGGGCATACTGATTGTGGCGTTTGCCCGTTCATTTAGAAAATGTTTGAACGGGGGGGGGGGGGAGAGAGAGAGAGACAGGGTTAAAAATATAGACCAATAGGAAAGCCAGGGGCGGAGCCTACCTGTGTATAAAAGGGCTTAGCCCAAGGTTTGAGTGAGTTGTTGTTGGAAGTTTTTGTTGGGTAGTTGGTTGGTTTTAGTGGGTTGACTGGGTGGGAAAGGCAGTTGGAGAAGCAGTTGGTAATAGAGAGACAGTTAGGGCAGTGGGTTCTTGAGTGAGGGGAGGTAGAAGAGATAGAGGAAAATAAGATTAAGAAAGTAAAGAGTAACAACGTTTGGAATGCCGTAAAAGTAAAATACACTCTTCTTTATTTACTTGAGAACCTGACTGAGACTGAAGTAATTTTACCAGGGAGGACCTGGTTGGTGGCAGCGGATTAGTGGTGTACGGGTCAATAGTCCGTGAGACGACCTGGGGCTCCGTACGAACGCCACACTGATAAACAAAGGCCTACTTGTGAGTATCAGAGTGGAAGAGGAAATGAATGTAGCTTGGAGATCTGTTTACAAGGCCTAGTATTTAAGCCCTTGAAGCCATAGGAAACAAGCAGGCATGGAAATGGATTGCAAAGTATTGGAAGACACAAGACCTACCCACCCTGGAAGAATGGCAGATGAAGGTGATGGACTACATGGAATTGGCGGAAATGACTGGCAGAATCCGAGACCAGGGAGAAGAGTCGGTGGAAGAAGATTGGAAGAAATTTAAAGACTATTTACAGAAATACTGCAAAATCAATGAATGCTAGAATGATGTTGGATTGAAGTTAAGTGGTTTCTAGCTGTAATGGTATAAAAGAATATGAAAAAATGGATTCTTAACAGGTAAAAATTTAATATTATAATATATTAAGATTAAAGATCAGGATAAATTAAGGAGGGAAAGGAACTGCTGAACTAACAAATTGAACTGGAATACAAAAAAGGGAGGTATGAGGAGGTCCGGGAAACAAGCAAATGAAAGATAAATGATAGAAAGATTGAATTGTTTTTAACTATTTTTATTTTGTATTTTTTCTTCTTTTTCTTTTTTCATTTTGTAACATTGTGAAAACCCTAATAAATATTTATATTAAAAAAAAAAGGAAATGTTGCAGGCCACTGGAAGAAGTCACTAGTAGGCTAGCAAAACCATTTTTGAGGCTAGCAAATGTGGTAGGTTTATTCAAAAGGAGTGAGGAGGGAAGATCTCCGGAGCTTCTCCAGAGCCAAAGGAAGCACAGAAGTGAGGAGGAGGAGAAACGCAGACCCCTTTCCCTCTTTCTGAGGCTGGGGTGGGGAATCTTGAGCCTGCCAGATTTTGTTGGGACTACAATTCCCATCAGCCCCAGCCAGCATGGCCAATGGTCAGTAATGGTGGGAGTTGTAGTTCAACGGCATTTGCACCCCCTCCCACCCTGATTATTACTTATTATACATATACATTTATTAAGAAACCCAAAGCATTTTTACTTGGCATTGTAGGAGATGATATAAATAGAAAGGATTGTAAGTTGTTTTTATATGCAACGACGGCAGCAAGAATATTACTGGCACAAAAATGGAAGCAAGAAGAATTACCGACAAAAGAAGAATGGAGGATGAAACGGATGGACTATGCAGAATTGGATAAACTAACCGGAAGAATTCGAAACCTGCGGGACCAGAGATTCACAGAAGACTGGTGTAAATTTACGGACTATTTGAAAAGTAATTGTGATGACCAGATTACGTTTGTAGGTTTGCAAGAAGTTTTGTGAGGTAAATTATTTCAAAAATGGTTAAAGAGGTGGATTGTGCGTTAAGATAAAGGCAATAGGAATTTAAGAAATGCAGAAGAAATGATAAAAATGGTGGATCATCAGAGGTGCTGATGGAAGTCCAAAAAGATTGTATAAGATGTGAAGTTCTGTGCAATGTATTATAATTGGTATGTTGAAATTAATAAAAATTATATATATATATAGATTATTACTTATTAACAACAACCAGTACAGCACATCTTCAAATCCCACCAAAAGAGATTATTCGTATATGGCAACTGCCATTCTTTCCCTCTGTTTGCAGGCTTCGTATCTCCTTTATCCACACGCCGGGAATCTGGCAATCTCCATGTGACAATTAGAATGCTACAAGAGGAAATCCAGCAACGCTTTTCTATTTTTAACCCGTTCAAACATATGCAGTTTCACCTACTTTCAATAGTTTACACTCCCTTGAATCTGAGAAGGCCGGGAACATTTCTTCATACTTCTCCAGAGCAAGCTGAAAGAGAGCAGCAAATTTTAAGCTTCCAATTTCATCAAGCCAGGCAGATTCCCTGCATATCATCTAAGGTAAAGGTAAAGGGACCCCTGACCATTAGGTCCAGTCGTGGCCGACTCTGGGGTTGCGGGGCTCATCTCGCTTTATTGGCCGAGGGAGCCGGCGTACAGCTTCCGGGTCATGTGGCCAGCATGACTAAGCCGCTTCTGGCGAACCAGAGCAGTGCACGGAAATGCCGTTTACCTTCCCGCTGGAGTGGTACCTATTTATCTACTTGCACTTTGACGTGCTTTCAAACTCCCAGGTTGGCAGGAGCAGGGACCAAGCAACGGGAGCTCACCCGGTCGCGGGGATTCGAACCGCCGACCTTCTGATCGGCAAGCCCTAGGCTCTGTGGTTTAACCCACAGCGCCACCCGTGTCCCATCTAGTTTAGTCCTTAAACCTACCAGAAACTATTTCTTGGAGATGGATCACAATGCAAGGGTTGAAAAAAATTAAAATTACTTAGCACATTTGGACAAATGCATTTAGAATCTGAAAGGGTATGGTAAGAGGCACTTGTATTTGCTTTTTATAAATAGGACAGTCCTGTGTTACAAACTTACGTCTGTTTTAATTTCAAACCTGAAACTACACCTCCATACTTGAAACAGACAGGACTGGCTTTAGACATATGTGATTGCCATCAAAGGTTTAAGGCAAGAAGACACAAGGCAATTGTGATGACTCTTCTTGCCTCATAGTCGCACATTACCATAAGCAAGCACAGAAAAGGACATTCAAGTAGGGCAGATTTTTGTAGTCGAGCCCTGGTTTTGTAAATAATCATTTAAGAACTCCCATTGCTGCATAACCATCGTTTTGGATTTTCTCCTTATTCTATCCGTCAGTTTTGCTAATTCCAGGTACTCGCAAAGTTTCCCCAACCATTCTCTTTTTAAATCTGGTTGTGTTTAGAATAATCTTGTGTGTAATATAAAAAACACAAAGTGAGACATTAAGGAAATCCAAAGGGAAAATATGAAGAACAGAGGTTCTGACGAACGGATTATTAAAAACGTGTGAGGTAAATGGTGGAAGTCTATATATATATATATATATATATATATATATATATATACACACACACTTTATTTAAGGTAGATAAGGACAAGACAATATTATACAATTGAATATAAATATAGATGGGAAATGGCTATGTACTGTGAGTACTTATCTACTTTTAAAATTTTTCACCTATGATCTTTTTCTTTTAGTTCTTTAATTTTTTTGTTCTTTTTTCTGATATCTTATCTTTCATTTCACTGCTTTATTGTGAATAGCATTTTATAGAGGTATAAATAAGTGTAAATATGAAAAGAGACAAAATATTCTCTAGTTTTTTCCCCTTGGTTAGATGTATTTTCTTTTTCTTTTGTATTTTCTTTTGTTGTTAATATATATGTTTTCTAATTTGTACTTAATAATAATTAAAAAAGGACATTCAAGTAGGGCTTGTACAGTGATCACTTGTCATTGCAGAAAGAACAGCAGTATGAGCAGATGGTATTGATGGTTTAACATTAGTCAACTGATTCTGTACATTCTTTGTACAAACGAGGGTGCATCTTGGCCTATACAACGATGGTACTTAGTGAGTTGCACTAACCTTAGCATTCAACTCGTCAACTATAAAGTGACACAGGGCAGCTTTAAAGAAGTAATCTTTTGCACTGTGCTTGAGTAATGGATTATCCATAGTGCTTGTTCCAACCTAAAGAGAGCAAACAGACATTTAGCCCAATTGGGAGCAGTAAAATCCAAAACGCTATTATATCATCCAGTCCCTTGTGATTCCCTTTCATTGTATTTGAAATGCCAGTATTTTGTTGTCCCAGAACTCCAGACTTAACTTTGTTTATAATAATAATAATAATAATAATAATAATAATAGGTAAAGGTAAAGGGACCCCTGACCATTAGGTCCAGTCGTGGCCGACTCTGGGGTTGCGGCGCTCATCTCGCTTTATTGGCTGAGGGAGCTGGCATACAGCTTCCGGGTCATGTGGCCAGCATGACTAAGCCGCTTCTGGCGAACCAGAACAGCGCACGGAAACGCCATTTACCTTCCCGCCAGAGCAGTACCTATTTATCTACTTGCACTTTGACATGCTTTTGAACTGCTAGGTTGGCAGGAGCAGGGACCAAGCAACGGGAGCTCACCCCGTCACGGGGATTCGAACCGCCAACCTTCTGATCGGCAAGTCCTAGGCTCTGTGGTTTAACCCACAGCGCCACCCGCGTCCCTTAATCATAATAATAATACATTAGTTTTAAAATATTATTTCAATTTCACAACACATTTCACTCTACCACAAATAGTGAACTATATTTTATACGCCAAGAGTCATATTCTCAGTACAGTACTGTGCAACACAATAGCATCAGTAATGATGATCCAGTGTTGTTTGGGCGCTGAGCTTGTCAGCAGAGCATGAGACTCTTAATCTCAGGGCTGTGGGTTTCAGCCCCACGTTGGGCAAAAGATTCCTGCATTGCACAGAGTTGGACTAGATGATCCCCGTGGTCCCTTCCAACTCTACGATTCTATGAAAGCCCCTGGAAGTGATCCCATTGGGGAAAGTACGTGGGAATTCATAAATACAGTGGTGCCCTGCAAGACGAATGCCTCGCAAGACGGAAAACCCGCTAGACGAAAGGGTTTTCCGTTTTGGAGGTGCTTCGCAAAAGGAATTTCCTATGGGCTTGCTTCGCAAGACGAAAATGTCTTGCGAGTTCCTGCGGGGGGTTTTTCCTTCCCCCCCCTTTTCCCAAGCCGCTAAGCCGCTTATCAGCTGATCCGCTAAGCCGCTAAGCCGCTTAACAGCTGATCGCTAAGCCACTTAACTGCTGATCCGTTAAGCCACTAAGCCACTTATCGGCTGATCCCCTAAGCCGCTAAACCGCTTATCAGCTAATCCGCTAAGCCCGCTAAGGCGCTAATAGCGCTAATCCGCTAAACCGCTAATGGGCTTGCTTCGCAAGATGAAAAAACCGCAAGACGAAGAGACTCGCGGAACGGATTCTTTTCATCTTGCGAGGCACCACTGTACTGAGGTGGCCTGGCACAGACTTTGTCATCCTTCTGGAACCATACAAAGACATTTGTACTCTTCTGGGCATTTGGGCAGCACTAATGGTCCAACTTTGGGTCATTTATATTTGCTATTCGCTCTTTTGTGGGTGGGGTGGTTATTTGATGTGGTTTTTGAGGATCAACATTTACATCTTGTTTCATTTTAAGGCCAATTAGCCTTAACAGGCCAATATTACAGGAAAACTGGTTAAAAACTGAATTCCCAAGCGTGTAAAACAGCAGTTCTCGCTGAAGCAGAACCAGCAGCATGGCTTCTGCAAGAGTAAGTCCTGCCTCACTAACCCTTTCTATTTCTTTGAAAGTGCCAATAAGCATATAAACAGAGGCGATCCAGTTGACGTTCTGTACATAAAGCTTCTGACAACTCCTGAGTAAGCTTAATAATCATGGAATAAGTGGAGAGGTCCTCCTGGGGATCAGTAACTGGTTAAGAAATGAGCAGGAATAAATGGACAATCCTTTGGATTGTATGCCTATGATTTATTCTCTCCCTTTTGTGACACTGAATGTGGCGAACTGAAGTGAAGGCCCAAGACAGGTGTATGACGAAAGGAGACAAAGGTCTCATGGAAAAGGGTTACAGACAGGACACCGCTGACTGCTGAGATCGCAAAAGGTCATGCAGAGGCGGAAGGTCAGGCAGAGGTGGAACGATGTACAGACAGCTGTGGCTTGTCTGGGGGGGGGGGGTTTCCCTGCACCCCAAGGTCACGCGTGCAGGCAAATTGTGGCTGCCTGCAGGTGGGGAAGTCTGCTCCCTCCGGACCCCACTGCCCCACTCCGCGATATCCCTACAGTGAACCTACCTGTTCAAAGAGTTCAACTGCCTTCTGATATTGCTCCAACTGAGCAGCATACCCAGCCACCTTCAGCAGACATTTGTTAGCAGAACTAGAAGCAAGAGGTAGCATTAACTGAATTGCACAGAAGTAAGGATTTCTAAACAAATGCAAAATGGAGCATTGCACAACTGATGAAGAAGCTTTAGTTCCTTAGGAAATTATTTGACCCCATGCATACAGATGGAAGAACACTGGTATTCAGTCATCATATGATAGATCTTTATCAAGGGAAACCTGTGGCCCTCCAGATGCGGTTGGACTACAAATCCAATCATCTTTGACCAATGGTCTTTGCTCTTTGAGGCTGGGGGGGGAATAATTTTTTCCCCTTTATTCCCCCCCCCAAAAAATAAGTGTGTCCTATGGGCCAGTGCGCCCTATAGGGCAAAAAATACGGTATACACTGAACACTAAGAGTAGCTATTTTATGAAAACTTGCCTGTTGGATTCTTCCCCTTTGTAGTAATCTGCAGCCTGTTCATAATGGGCAATAGCCTAAAGAAAGCAAAACAGTGGCTTTTCATAACTTATGCAACACTGAAGAAAACAAAAACAAATTTCAAACTAGGAAAGGATAGAAAATAAAACAGCCAGTGTCATAGGTGGAGTGGCTGTATTTCTAATGTACTTTTATTGCCTTTGCTAAAAGGATTCCTCTTCATCTGAAAATATATTCTTGTATACTTCCCACTACCACTGCCACCATTTGAGTAAGCTGGCTGGGTGTGTGGCTTGCTGTGTGTGTATTCTGTGTGCTTGCTGGGCTATGTCTGTGCTCAAGGAAGTGTGCACAGGGTTGCAATCTAAATATTTTCAGACTATTCTGACAGTGTCTTAACATGTACACAAGGGACTCAGTAACTTAATGGGCATACCTTTTCAATGTCCACGAGCTCAGACTCATAAATCTCCGCAATGGTAATGTGATGCTTAGCCGCAATAGTAAATCGGCCCTAGGAAGAGAAGCAGTTGACCTAATTATTCTCTTTTCAACGCCAACCACAAAGACAGCTGAACCAAAGAGTTAACACCAAGCTGCACGGTCACGAACTGGAATCCCAACCCTAGCACCTAGGGTTTCTTACCATGTCTGTGTAAATATCGATGGCGGCATTTAAGCAGTTGATAGCCTCTGTACCGTATGCATTTTAGGGGGAGATAATGAATAAAATCAGCTCAGTCATTCAAACATGGTTTATTTCACAAGTACAAGGAACTAGCTTGCTCAGCTCATTAGACTCAGCGTTCAGAACCTCAGTCATTCTTAAATTCTAATAGCGACTCAACCCATTCACCCTCAGACATATACGTAAGATACTGATGCCCCTTGCCAGAGATCCCTTTTGAGCACAGGTGCTCTGACATAATTATTGGAAGTCTCCCATCTTCAAGAGCTTCTCCATATACTTCCACTGAGGGGACTGGCTGACAAAGACACCAGCCACCTCCGATGAAGAGACCATGGACACATGTTCAATATATGCGCCCCAGCACTCATATACAATAGAAGTTGTGTCATTATGGTAAAGAGGCAAATGGCCCCACCAATTTCAGTTTGCCCTCAGTCAGCCCCCACCTGCCTGCCTTCTTATAATCAGTTGATGAAGCAACATGGGCTGTCATTTTTCTCCTTCTTAGTCTCACTTTTTCCCTGGTAGAACGCAGCAGGGAGGAGGAAGGGGGCAAAACTAGAATCCCGTATTTTTCGCTCTATAAGACACACTTTTTCCCTCCTAAAAAGTAATGGGAAATGTGTGTGCATCTTATGGAGAGTACACAGGCTGCGCAGCTATCCCAGAAGCCAGAATAGCAAGAGGGATCGCTGCATAGTGATCCCTCTTGCTGTTCTGGCTTCTGGGATTTGGAATATTTTTTTCTTGTTTTCCTCCTCCAAAAACTAGGTGCGTTTTATAGTCTGGTGCATCTTATAGAGCAAAAAATACGGTAGTTGGCTCAGCCTGTAATTGACTCTGGCGCCATCTACTGCTGTCCTCCCAGCCGTCCCAGTCCTAATTTGTAATACTACTAATAATAATTTATTACTTATATCCCGCCCACTCTGGGCAGCTCCCAACAGAATATTAAAAACACAATAAAACATTTGTAGGCTGCAATATTTGCGTCTTCAAACTGAATTAAGGCATAGTCAATTCATACAGGCCCTTGTATACGTGACACACACACACACATCTGTGTGTACTATTGCAACAAGCCTAAGACTCATTCATTCTCTTCCCATCACATATAGGACCTTTAATATAAGCCAGGATCTATGCATGTAAATATCCACATGAGCATGGATAATCTTAGCTGGAATACACATAGCCTGGGTGTTAGTAAAACCTTTAAAATGGCATGAACAGTCAGAAAAAAACTGTCATTGATTAGCAAATGTTTAGGCATATTTTGTTTGGGGAAAACATTAAGATTTATTTTTTAGAAACAGGTATCATGATATAGTATTATTTTTCACTATTCTTTAAGGGGGGAAACAGTTTGGAAGGATTAATGTTTTATTATGCATCCTAGCACAATATACGTGCAGTAAACCCTATGCATGTCTACTCAGAAGCAAACCACACTAAGTTCAATGGGGCTTACTCCCAGGTAAATATGTATAGTACTGGAGCCTTACACACTTTTCAGTATCCTTAAAAGTCAGCTATATGTCAGATAAAACACGTAACTTTAGAAATTATCTGATACTTACCAATGAAGTGAAGGGAAGTCCGAGGCTCGGCGGAGCCTAAAATAACTGTGTACTATATATATGATTCTTGTAACAGCTATGTTATATGCAACTTATGTAATCTAGACTGTATATATGTATAATCAATGGAAAATTAATAAAAATGTATAAGCAAAAAAAAAATGTCAGCTATATGTCATTCAACAAACCCATTCATATCCCACAATTATTACTGACCCCACTGCACATAAAACAATTGTGTGAAATGGACCTAACACTACATTTATTCCGAGTTTCCCATGGGACCTTTCAGGACTGCTCATGATGATATATTATTTTCAGGAGAGTACAGTTTCGTTTGGCTGCCTTGGCTTAGGAAAATCTCCAAGCTACAAACTGTAGAGCTTTATATGTAATCATCCTACCTAAATGCCTCGTTCAACATAGGTAAATACCAACCTAGACAGTTGTACTATGCACAATATGCGTCTTACCTTGGGGATCTGCCTTTTTGAAAGCATTGCCTGCGTCTACAAAACAGGTTGCTGAATCATGTTTACTCTGTAGTTGCATGTGGAGTTTGGCTGCCTGACAAAATGCATTTCCTGCAGCTGGAAAAGAAACAGTCCCCAAATCACATGATCTCTAGACAATGTTATAAGAAGCCATTTGAATGACAAAAAGGACAATGATCTCTCCCACACACCCCCGCCCACAATATTTTCCTTTGGAAATACAGAATTCAGGCTCACACTGAAAGATAGCCCATTATTTGCTCTAGCTTGGAAGAGTGCAGATGTTTCTGAAGGACAGCTTGCAATGATTGTTGTAATTTTCTCTGTTCTGGATCTGTCTCTGAATTAATTACAAAGCGCAAGATGTTCTTATGTTCTTCAGGGGTGGGAAACCTCTGGCCCTCCAGATGTGGCTGGACTGAAAGCTCCATCGTCCCTGACCATGGGCCTTTCCTGACTGGGACTGATGGGACTTACAGTCCAACAACATCCAGGGGTCAGCACACTTTTTCAGCAGGGGGCCGGTCCACAGTCCCTCAGACCTTGTGGGGGACCGGACTATATTTTGAAAAAAGAAAAGAAAAAGAACGAATTCCTATGCCCCACAAATAACCCAGAGATGCGTTTTAAATAAAAGCACACATTCTACTCATGTAAAAACACCAGGCAGGCCCCACAAATAACCCAGAGATGCATTTTTTAAAAAGGACACATTCCACTCATGTAAAAACATGCTGATTCCCGGACCGTCCGCAGGCCAGATGTCGAAGGCGATTGGGCCGGATCCGGCCCCCGGGCTTTAATTTGCCTACTCATGATCTAGAGAGCCACAGGTTCCCTACCCCTGCCATTCTTTTAAAGGAGTTTTAATTATCACAAATAAATCCTATGTAGCAATGCAATTGTTCCAGGGAGAAATATACTACACATTCACAAAGACCGTGAGAAAGGTGTAGAAGAAAGGGAAACATTAGAAATTATGCAATATTTTAAGTATACAACTCTAGGGTAAAAATGACGGCTAGAGGACCAATGCGGAGAAGGCATCTGTTTATAGATGACATGCAAAAGGCAATAAGGGAAAACAAGACACATTGATAGCTTAAATGAATTTTACTAGTGTGCAGCCAATCCCTCCACAAGTTTCTGTCAAATTAACCTATCCAGAAATAATGAGTTCTGAACCAATCAAGGGCTGAACTGAAAGCAAGGGAAAGTAAGGGCTTCTGAATCACCTCCATTTCGTCTTGGGAAAAGGGAATGAATCATCAACAAACAGCAGAGTCATTATCTAGCATACACAGAGATGAGTGGTTTTAAAAATTCAATGCAAGCAAACCATGACTTAGGCTATCAACCAAAGGGGAATGGCTGCATCATACACTGTAAGGGCTTGCATGTGAAATTAAGGAATGTTAATTCTGATCAAACAGCTGGAATAAATTACCCCATATATCTATGGGGCATCATAAAGTTATATGGGAGCTCTACAACTATCCATTGGCCTTCTCCTTCTGCAAAGGAAGAAAACATTTCCATACATACCATTCCAGTTTTTGGCTATCTTGAACATATTTGCAGCTCTGGTATACATTTCACATGCTTCTTCTACCTTTGAATTTCCTCTATGGGGAAAAAAAACCAGAAAGAGAAAAGGAATTGGAAGGAGGCAGATATTTCTAATGCTATGAAACATCCAGGTATGAAAGGGACGTCTCAACCTGATTCCATGACATAAATGGTTTACATTACACAACTGTGAGTCCTTGGTAGTTGACTGCACAATGAATGCTCTACCTTGCACAATGAAAGCCTGAAGACAACAGAGAGATATGGGCATTTTTACTAATGTGATCCAGACACCACTATCAGAGGAGGGGTACAATGAAGAGGGGTCTTTCAATGAAGAATTGGGAAGACCAGATTCAGGGATCATCCGAGGAAACAGCCTCCAAATGAATTAACCCCACCGCCAAATAAAACTTTCAAAGGATAGCTCTGGAATCCAGGTACACCTCTATCCTCTCCCCCAAAGGAGGCAGCTCTCAGCCCCAGAGGACTTATCCCAGAACTACCTGCAGCTTAGGGACACGGGTGGCGCTGTGGGTTAAACCACAAAGCCTAGGACTTGCTGATCAGAAGGTCGGCGGTTCGAATCCCCATGACGGGGTGAGCTCCCGTTGCTCAGTCCCTGCTCCTGCCAACCTAGCAGTTTGAAAGCACGTCAAATTGCAAGTAGATAAATAGGTACCGCTCCGGCGGAAAGGTAAACGGTGTTTCCATGCGCTGCTCTGGTTCGCCAGAAGAGGCTTAGTCATGCTGGCCACATGACCCAGAAGCTGTATGCCGGCTCCCTCGGTCAATAAAGCGAGATGAGCGCCGCAACCCCAGAGTCGGTCACGACTGGACCTAATGGTCAGGGGTCCCTTTACCTTTACCTGCAGCTTGGAAGAGTCCCTTTCCACTGCTGCTCTACCTCATCCATGGGCAACAAGAGGCTTCTCAGTCCTACCAGAGCTTCAGACTTCAAAACAGTATATGGTCCCTTTCAGCGTAGACAACTTTGCTCTGAGGAAATGGAACTTGAGATACCCACACAGCTGCAGCAGTCCAGAAGCAACCCTCTAAGGCAGCGGTTCTCAACCTGTGGGTCCCCAGATGTTGTTGGACTACAACTCCCATCACCCCTAGCTAGCAAGGGCAGAGCTCAGGGATGATGGGAGTTGTCGTCCAACAACATCTGGAGACCCACAGGTTGAGAACCACTGCTCTAAGGACACTGATGCTTTGACCTTGTATTGAGCCACCACAGAGAGCTTTCCGTGGTCCTGACCACATTTAGCCCTTGAAGCCTCATCTCCCAGCAAGCCAGCTGTAAAAATCTTGAGCCAAGTATATAAAATCACAGCTGATCTAGGCATTATGAGGCACTTACACAGATTGGTGACTAAAAACCTTATGCAAATTATGGCACAAGAAATGTGAGTTTGGGTGTGGAAAGGCATCCTACAATAAGCACAAAAAATTATTAGAAACGGCTGTTTAAATGGTACCAGACTCTACATAAGATGAGTCAAATGTAGAAAATAAATGTTGCAGATGTAGCTCGAATAGATTGAATATTCTTCATGCATTCCGGACTTGCCCTAAATAAATCAGGCTTTCTATAATATAGAAATATAATATATTTACTAACTGTGGTCCATTCAACCATTAGTTATGGATAGAACAGATTAATATTGGAGAAGGGATGCGGGTGGCGCTGTTAAACCACAGCGGCCAAGGGTCATGTAGCCAGCATGACTAAGCCGCTTCTGGCAAATCAGAGCAGCACACGGAAACGCCGTTTACCTTCCCGCCGGAGCACGCGGAGCACCACTGCGGAGCATGCCCCGTGCTTCGGGCAGATGTCCGCAAGCCTTGCGCGCCCAGCGGGAGGTCTTCCCTGGGGGGGGAAATAAATTTTGTCCCTTTATTCCCCCCCCCAATCTAGGTGCGTCCTATGGGCCGGTGTGTCCTATAGGGCGAAAAATATGGTATCTACTTGCACTTTGACGCGCTTTCGAACTGCTAGGTTGGCAGGAGCAGGGACCGAGCAACGGGAGCTCACCCCGTTGCGGGGATTCAAACCACCAACCTTCTGATCAGCAAGTCTCAGGCTCTGTGGTTTAACCCACAGCGCCACCCGCATCCCTATATTTCTAGGTAGGGTTGGTAAAATTCCCCAGTCTGAAACTTGAGAGAGCTGCTGTGTGTGAGTGTTGACAATACAGACTGTTGGTCTGCCTTGCTATAAGGTAGTTTTGTATGTTCTTATGTTCCGATACTGTAACTCTGTGCAGAATTTTTAAAAGCAGAAATGAAATAAAAGGGTGAGTTTCTACAACTACCTTTCTTACACCTCTTATTTTAAAAAAAAGACAATAAAACAGTTATCTTCCTAAATATAAACAGAAAGGAAAAAGTTAAATCAGTTCTGTAGTTATCTATTGGCAAAAATCCGGTTACACTTGACAGCTCATCTGCTGAAGAAATATTGGAAGAGAATTATTATGATGGACTGCTATCAAGAAGTCTTATGAACACAGTGTTCCCTTGAAATAATGTCATCATAAATGCTTGTAACAGCAAAATGTAACATAAAAACAGCCATGGCTGTTTAAAAAGAAAGAAAGAAACTCAAGGTCAACTGTAAGGACCCAAACTGATTTGTCGAAACCAGAGCACATATTTTCTCTGTAAAATTCACCTCCCTTCCTAGAGAGCAGGCGTTCGTAAATCCAGTTGCTTTAACAAACCTGACACAAACTGAGGATCTAATCTCTTTAAGAACAAAATGAGATATCCATTTGAATTAACGGATTAGCGGAATCAGATGCATGATTGCTAATTAACCAATAATCTGAGAAGAACTTCTTCAAGGTTTGCCTGATGTAATGTAGAAATCAGGTGCTACAAGGTGCATCACCAAATATCCCAGTAAGAAGAAGAGGTTACAGAACAGCTAAATGATTTTCAGAACTTTGCCCTCGTAAAAACCTTAGAAGCAACAGATGAAGTAGCAAACATCAGACTCTTGCATTGCAGGCAATTGGACTAGATCAGTGTTTCCCAATGGGGGGTTCAGGATATTCTAAGGGGGGCACAGGTGAAAAATGCGTAAATGGGGAGGGCCCACAGCATGAGGCTGGGGGGCCACAGAGGAAAGTGGAAACAGAGGAACAACACAGATTGTTGTTTACGGAAAGTATCTTTCTATTTTCTATTTTTTCTTTTCTTGTTTTCTAAATATTCCTCTACAATGTGTGAATGATTGTGTTTATATGCATATGTTTGAAATTTGTCTTTCTTTGACATTCTTGTATTATTTAATAAAATTAATTTTAAAAAAATTTAAAAAGAGAGAAGGCGATTGGGCCGGATCCGGCCCCCGGGCCTTAGTTTGCCTACCCATGGCCTAGTGCTCCTTTTCACCATGTGCACTTTCTTGGAGTAAGGTAAAGGAGCCCCTGACCATTAGGTCCAGTCGTAGCCAACTCTGGGGTTGCGGCGCTCATCTCGCTTTATTGGCCGAGGGAGCCGGCGTACAGCTTCCGGGTCATGTGGCCAGCAGGACTAAGTTGCTTCTGGCGAACCAGAGCAGCGCACAGAAACGCTGTTTACCTTCCCGCCAGAGTGGTACCTATTTATCTACTTGCACTTTGACGTGCTTTCGAACTCCCAGGTTGGCAGGAGCAGGGACTCCTATGAAATTCACACTCGACTCCGAGTATATTTCAATATGTATTGATTTTTAATTATTGGGGGAGCAGCTGCTCCCCTTGGCTACGCCCATGGGGGGGGCCACAGGAAGGAAACAAGCTCAGAAGGGGGCCACGGTCGGAAAAAGGTTGGGAAACACTAGATTAGATCACACACACACACACACACACACACACACCCTGTGGTCCCTTCCAACTCTACAATGCTATGATTCCATTTGAGCCAGTGATGATGATTCATTAAATTTGTATACCACCCTTCCCTCGCAGATCCCAGGGTGGTTTTTGTGGGGTTTTGCAGTTTATTTCCTCCCTACTGTACCCACACCTGCCAACTGAGAAGAGGACATCATCCCATGCGCGGATTCATACTGAAACACGGATGGCGATGATGCCGCCACAACTCTGCTAAGTCATTAAGGCAGCCCGAAACTACCTTAAGTCCAATTAAACAGGAATTGTTCCCAGCTCAGCGTGCGACGCTCCTCTGCAATCTGTCCTTGCCTTATAGACACTGCCATGTCACAGCCCCTGCCATTCCATGGCCTTTGGAGTGCCAGGATGATGCCCACAAAAAAGTATTATTCATTATTATTATTATGATTACTCCTCCTCCTCCTCATCTGTCTATGTAGAGACAGGCAGGTGGGCAGAAATCATAGCTGTCAACGTTTCCCTTTTTTTAAGGGAAATTCCCTTATTCCGAATAGGATTCCTCGCAAGAAAAGGGAAAAGTTGACAGCTATGGCAGAAATACATCCTGGCGACGGATCCATCCCTGCCCACTTCGCGCTATCCGAGGGAGAAAAGCGGGATCTGCTCGACGGTCGCCAAGGGGAGGGAGATCCGTTGCCCCTCGGCTCTCCTCTAGACCCGTCCTGTCTAGATCCTCTAGATCCATCGCCCGCAGACGCGGATCGACCCACCTCCCGCACCCAGCGGGGCCTAAAACCGAGCGGCGGCGGCGGCGGGTCCCCGCGAGGGAGGATCCCTTCCTTCCAGGCCTCGAGAGGCGATCCCCTCTGCCCGATCCCCCGGCCCGCTCTCACCCGAAGAGGCCCCTGAGGAAGGAGTGCGAGGACTTCACCCTCTTCTCGGCCTCGGCCAGGAGATGCGCGGCCTCCCGCTCCTTGCTGCCGGCGGTGGCGGCGTCCATCGCGGCTCCCTTGCCTTCTGCGTGTGGCGCGGCGGCGGCGGCGGCGGCGGCTGAGGAGGAGGCGGAGGGCGGCCGGCGACCAGGCCCCTCCGGATCCAGCTCCGCCTCCTGCGGCTGCGGCGGCTGCTTCAAACCCCCCGGCCTGGGAATCTACTCGGCGTGTCTCCGCGGCCGCGCAGGGTCCCGCTTTTCCGGTGGGATGGGATCGCGCCGTTCGAAGGGATCCCCGACGGTCATCTAGTCCAACCCCGCGCGCGCCGGGTCGATCGATCCCGCTTTTCTCCCTCGGGTAGCGCGAAGTGGGCAGGGATGCGTTTCTGCCCACCTGCCTGTCTCTACACAGAGATCAGTAGTAATAATAATAATAATCATAATAACAATGATACTTTTTTTATGGGCATCATCCTGGCACTCCAAAGGTCATGGAATGGCAGGAGCTGTGGCACGGATAATAATAATGATAATAATAATTTATGGATATGCTGCACCCATCTGACTGGGTTACCCTAGCCACTCTGGGTGGCTTCCAACAAATTAAGACACAATATGGCACCAAACATTAAAAACTTCCCTATTGCAGGGCTGTCTTCAGAAATGCTCTGGTTTATGTATGTGACTTAGCACCAGTGATGTCATATATCAGAGGTGGGGAACCAATAGTCCTTCAGATGCTTCTGGACGATAGCTTTATCATCCCTGGCCAGAGAGAGTTGCGGTGAGACAGGTGTTCATGGGTCCCAAGATGGCGCTGCCCAAGTTATTTCCTGGACGCAGCTTTTGAAGAGCATGGCAAGGATTGGACAAGAGGTCTGTTGCGTCACAATGGCATCACAATGGCTCTGAGGTGCTTTTTGGCCCTGAGATCCCCAACTCATGACAGAGGATTCAATGGGGGATATGATCTCCTCTCCAGCCTCTTGGTTATGAGTGAGCTGTAATCTAGTCTCTTCCGGTTGCGGACGGATTTTAACTTTAAGCAGAGGGCACCACCATTTCAACAGCCTTCAGGGAGCAGAGCAACAGGATGGCAAAACAGAATCTAACATGCTGGAATTTCTTCAAGTGCTTTGACAGAAATAAAAGGTATGTTCAGGATCAAACCAACTCTGCTGGTCCCGGGGGCTAACCGAGAGGTCCAAGTCCAGTCTGAGGTCGATGGTGCGGTATGGAGGCTGTCCATCAAAGCTGTAGTTGGGTCCAAGGCAGGGAGTCGGGTAGGGTCAGGAACTCTGGCAGAAGAGCCGGACAGGGTGCAGGCAGGAACAGACTAGCAACAACGTTGCTCCTGCAACCTGGGACTGGGGCTGACTGGCTTTTATCAGCCCCCAGGCATAGGGCGGCCCCGGTCCACAGGTGACTCGCCTCTCCTGGCCTGGAGGTGAGCACTCTTCCTGCGGGAACTCGGTTCCCTCCGCCTCTCTGCCCTGAGCCTCTGCAGCTCAGGAGAGGCTGGAGGGTTACCGGACCCAGAGGCAACCTCAGCTTCCTCTGACGGGGCTGAGAGTGGAGCACCTGCAGGCAATGGGTCCTCCATCACCTCAGGAGCCAGAGCAGACTCAGCTGATGCCTGCACCTGAGGACCCAGCACAGGTGAGGGCCCTTCAGGCTCAGACCCCAGCCCTAGCTCAGCTGGTTCTGGAGGCGGGGACTCCTGTGCAGGCTGGGATTCCTCAGGTTCAGCCTCTTGAGTCCGAATCCCAGGCCATCACACTAAAGGTGAAAAATTGGCATCACAGGTGGAGGGATGTCTGCATGCAAATTACATTTAAAGGGTGTGGCTTTCCCCAAAGAATCTTGGAAATGGCAGTTTACCTTTCACAGAGCTACAGTTCTCAGCACCCTTAACAAACGAAAAGTCCTAGGATTCGGAGGGGGGAGTCATGTGTTTTAAATATACTTTAAATATATGATACCTAGGTAAGATGTGTTGTCATCCATCCATTACTGGGTTTCATTAAAGAATCATTTGACCAACTCATGGATGTGCTAGGAAATCACGGAAGCCTTCTTATAAATCATGGGAGGTTTGGGCTGTTGGAAAGAAAGCTGCTGTTTCTGTCTTCGACAGGGCAACAGAGTGCTTTAATCCACCATAATTGTGCAAACCTAAATTTACTGGTATATGCCTGAATTGCTCCTTCATATTTCCGACAGTCTGGAGGTGCTCACAGACTACCAATTTGTTCTCAGCCAGTTTGTGTGAGGCAGGGAATATTTTCCCCTCAGCCATACAACTGGGGAAAACACTCTGTGGCTTTATTTTTAAAACACAATGCGTTTGCATCAAATGCAATACTCCCCATTTTCAATTGTTCTGAAATCACATAGAAAGTGTGTGGGGGGGTGGGTGTTTTAAAAGCCAGGAAAATTAAGGAGAAAATGACCAGGGAGGAAGGCATTTTGGGTACCTCCAGATGACCTGATTATTGAGCAGTCATTTTGATTTTTTTGCCTGCAGGTTAGATTGTCCTACTATTTTCCTTTCCACTTAATTTTTTTTTTGGGGGGGGGGAGTGGTTTTGTTTTGCAAGACTTCCTGTTCTACTATAGTTGCACGATCTGAATTTGTTGTACATGATAGAGCCCCACCCCAAAACAATGAGAATCTCGAAGCAGTCTCTTATTTTTTATTCATTTATTTATTTGAGATATGAGCTTCTTTCTTATTTTTAATAAAAAAAATTATTAACAATTTCAACGTAACAAATTAACAAAACAAATCATCTTCATTATTTCCCCCCCTTCCCCCCCCTTCCCAACAAACCCTCCCTCCTTCCCTCCCCCCAAGACTTCCCTCAGCTTCGCTCTCTGATTTCTCAACTCATGCTGTTCTCTGCATACTATAAAATTGTATACATCCTTATATTATCTATCTACTATATTAACCCTCAATAAATTTGTGTATGTTTATTCAAAACCTGCCAAGGAGTCCAGTTCATTTTGTTATCTTTTTAAATAATTTGTAAAAAGTTCCCATTCTTTTTTGAAGTCACAGTTGTCCCTATCTCGCAATTTGTATGTCAGTTTCGCCAGTTCTGCATAGTTCATCAATTTCTCTTGCCACTGTTCTTTTGTTGAGGTTTCCTCATTCTTCCATCCTTGTGCTATCAAGACTCTTGCCGCTGTTGTAGCATACACAAATAAATTCTTTATTTTCCTTGGCAGGTCTTGTCCTACAATCCCTAACAAAAATGCTTCTGGGTTTTTTGCAAATGTCATTTTAAACATTTTCTTCAATTCATTACATATCATTTCCCAATTTTTTTAAATTTCTCTGCATTCCCACCACATGTTAAAAGGTCCCTTCCTTTTCTTGACATTTCCAACATATGTTTGACCCAGTTTTATACATTTTTGCTATCTGTACTGGTGTTATATACCATCTATACATCATTTTCATGTAGTTTTCTTTCAAAAGAGAACAATCTGTAAATTTTAAATCTATTTTCCACAGTTTTTCCCAAACTTCAAATTGTATGTTATGTCCTTTATCTTGTGCCCATTTGATCATGACCGATCTCACCTCCTCATCTTTTGTTTCCCATTCTAGCAGAATACTTCAGCAACTTCACTTTCCATTCTATGACTTCCTTTTAAAATCTAGAAGTGGTGTAACTAAATACTTTCCTGGAATCTCAAAGCAGTCTCTGATGGCATGGAAGAGCAGGGCAACTTCAAAGGTGTCAGGGGGTGCAAAAAACCAGGATTTGGGCTGCAGGTTGCCCACCTGTGCTTTAGAAGGCAGGAATCATAGAATCAATCACAGAATTGTACAGCTGGAAGGGACACCAAGGGTCATCTAGTCCAACCCCCTGCAATGCAGGAATCTCAGCTAAAGCATCCATGACATGTGGCCAGCCAACCTCTGCTTAAAAAGTCCACAACCTCCCAAGGGAGACCATACCACTGTTGCTATTGCTGCTGGTGGGTAGGGATTTATGTTAATTAATATCCATACATATACAGAGCTAAACACAGAGACCAAGAATCATGATCCACCCCCACTCATCCTTTCTTTTTCTTCCCTCATTGGCAATAGAACCTCTCAAGAAGAGTTTGTTGTTGTTGTTGTTTAGTCGTTTAGTCATGTCCGACTCTTCATGACCAGGCACTCCTGTCTTCCACTGCCTCCCGCAGTTTGATCAAACTCATGCTGGTAGCTTCGAGAACACTGTCCAACCATCTCGTCCTCTGTCGTCCCCTTCTCCTTGTGCTCTCCATCTTTCCCAACATCAGGGTCTTTTCCGGGAGTCTTCTCTTCTCATGAGGTGGCCAAAGTATTGGAGCCTCAGCTTCAGGATCTGTCCTTCCAGTGAGCACTCAGGGCTGATTTCCTTCAGAATGGATAGGTTTGATCTTCTTGCAGTCCATGGGACTCTCAAGAGTCTCCTCCAGCACCATAATTCAGAAGCATCAATTCTTCGGTGATCAGCCTTCTTAATGGTCCAGCTCTCACTTCCATACATCACTACTGGGAAAACCATGGCTTTAACTATACAGACCTTTGTTGACAAGAAGAGTAGCTTAACTCAAATGACTTTGTATGCCTCCCAACTTTGATCCCTTTTTTGCATTTCCAGGAGAGACATCCTTGAGCTGGCAATTTCTGATGAGGAACCTCAGAACATGGAGAGACTGAAGATGGATAATCTCTCCCATTTCTTATCAGACAAGCAGAGCATCGTTGGCCACTGCAACACCTTCACCATTGTAGCAATGGTGCACATCACCAAGGACGATGGAGATCTTCTGCAGGATGTTAAGCAGGGGCAGAGAGAGGAGCAGATCGTGATGGAGAACCTTTCTGATGTCCCATGCAAAGGGGAAAAAGATGGAGAGCACCTTGAGAGATCTGATGACAGGAGACAGAAGGACGCCGGCACACAGCAGACCCACAGAAATGGCCTAATGGGGGAAATGATAGCTTCTAGGATACTGAAAGGTCAGCGGGGAGTAGGAGAATTGAAATATATGGCTTGTCACAATGTACTGTATTTTTCGCTCTATAGGACGCACCAGACGATAGGATGCACCTAGTTAGGGGGGGAGGAAACAAGAAGAAAAAAATTATGAATCCCAGAAGCCAGAACAGCAAGAGGGATCTGGCTTCTGGGATAGCCACTGGGATAGCTGGTCTAGCTTTGCGCGAAGCCTCCGTAGGGCATGGGGAGCCTTCATCCCCGTGCCCTGCGGAGGTTTCGTGGGGCTATGCAAAAGCCAGCATAGCTAGAGGGAGCGCTCCCTCTAGCTGTTCTAGCTTTGTGCGAAGGCTCCGCACGGGGAGCCTTCATCCCTGTGCCCTGCGGAGGCTTCTGGGACAGCCTGCGAAGCCTCCGGAGGGCAGCGGGATGAAGGCACCCTGCTGCCCTGGGTAGGCCTCCTGCAGAGGCTTTGCGCAGCTAACCCCAAAGCCTTTGGAGCGCAGTGCGAGTTCCCGCTGCGCTCCAAAGGCTTCAGGGATAGCCGCCTGAAGCCTTTGGAGCATAGCGGGACCTCGCGCTGCGCTCCAAAGGCTTCGGGTTCCTTTCGCTGAAGCCAGGAGTCCCGACCCCTCATCCCACACCGACCCCTCTCGCTCTCCAGGCTTCAGCGAAAGCAACGCGTAGCCTCCGGAGCACAGAGGGAGTGCTCCCTCTGCGCTTTAGAGGCTTCGCGTTGCTTTCGCTGAAGCCAAGGAGCCTGCACTCACTCCATAGGACGCAGAAACATTTCCCCTTAATTTTTGGAGCGGAAAAAATGCGTCCTATAGAGCGAAAAATACGGTATGTGCCATCCAGCCAGTTGATCTGTCTGCCTAGGCAGGATTTGGCTTCTGGTTGCATCACTTCAGTACTTCAGTAGAAAGATGAGCAGAGATATCTTAGGGGCGGGGAGAGGCACAGCAATCACCAGTGGCAGCTCATGGTGGACCCCCAAGTCACCTCTGGCCTAGGAGATGCTTTCCTTACAAACGAGAGAGCATGGAAAATAAATTTGCCTGTATCACCATCCTTACCACCCATTTGAGAGAAGGTAGGTTGTTCTGTAGGGACAAGGGTGGCGCTGTGGGTTAAACCACAGAGCCTAGGACTTGCCGATCAGAAGGTCGGCAGTTTGAATCCTTGCGACGGACTGAGCGCCCGTTGCTCGGTCCCTGCTCCTACCAACCTAGCAGTTCAAAAGCACGTCAAAGAGGCAAGTAAATAAATAGGTACCGCTCTGGTGGGAAGGTAAATGGTGTTTCCGTGCGCTGCTCTGGTTCGCCAGAAGCGGCTTAGTCATGCTGGCCACATGACCCGGAAGCTGTACACCGGCTCCCTCGGCCAATAAAGCGAAATGAGCACCGCAACCCCAGAGTCGGCCACGACTGGACGTAGTGGTCAGGGGTCCCTTTACGTTTACCTAGGTTGTTCTGTGTAACTGCACTCCTCAACAGCCTGCTTTTATGAGGTAAACATTTTCATCCCAAGGCCTGCATTCATTTGTGGACAACCTTTTGAAGTTGTGGGCATATGGTAGAGCAATGAATGCCAGTTTTGCCTTTGTACAGTAGGCTGGATTACACAGCCTCCCAAACCTCTCTCTAGCCCCCATCCAGACAAGGGGTAGGTAGTAATAGTGATGATGATGATGATGATAATGGCACAGGATGCCTATTGGATAGTATTCATGCCATGACTAATAATGAGCATCTCAATTAGGAGAATCTAGTGCTTTTCTAAAACCTTTTTTTTATACCTATTTTGTTGTTTAGTCGTTTAGTCGTGTCCGACTCTTCGTGACCCCATGGACCAGAGCACACCAGGCACTCCTGTCTTCCACTGCCTCCTGCAGTTTAGTCAAACTCATGTTTGTAGCTTCGAGAACACTGTCCAACCATCTCATCCTCTGTCGTCCCCTTCTCCTTGTGCCCTCAATCTTTCCCAACATCAGGGTCTTTTCCAGGGAGTCTTCTCTTCTCATGAGGTGGCCAAAGTATTGGAGCCTCAGCTTCAGGATCTGTCCTTCCAGTGAGCACTCAGGGCTGATTTCCTTCAGAATGGATAGGTTTGATCTTCTTGCAGTCCATGGGACTCTCAAGAGTCTTCTCCAGCACCATAATTCAAAAGCATCAATTCTTCGGCGATCAGCCTTCTTGATGGTCCAGCTCTCACTTCCATACATCACTATTGGGAAAACCATAGCTTTAACTGTACAGACCTTTGTTGGCAAGGTGATGTCTCTGCTTTTTAAGATGCTGTTAGCTATTATGTTCCCACAAATTATCCTTTCTTCAGAGAATAGATTGCTGTGTCCTTGTTTCTTTCAGATCAAGAAGATAGGAAGAGTGGCACACCAGCCTTTTGTTTTCATTTTCTCAACCACCATCCCAGGAAGGTGCCCAACATAAATCTGATTGAGTCATCCCAGAAAGATGCATCAACAGTCGCCCATTAAAAGTGCCTTGATCATCGACAGACTTGTCAGCATATGGATGTCCTTGTTTCAGAAATGCTGGCCAGGCGGTCTCCCTTCACGGGGCCAGGTTAACTCATAATTATCCTCCCGATTGCAGAAGATGCGTAGATTCTGCAGGCAGCCTTCAAATGAATGCTGAACTGAGAGATGGGGGAGAGCAGGAATATGGAAAGGGTGCCGTGGCTATGTTTGAAAAAATCATGGAAATATGGCAAATGGGCATTCCTCCTCTCTTTTAGTGGTGTGATTCCCCCACACATGCCAGTGTTGCTGCATCTCTTGGCCTGGAAACGCGGTTACTAAATGGAAGCTGGGTGTAATCTTGGGATCTATAGTTTATCCCCCACAAAGCAGAAATTCCTGCTCCCTTAACAAGCTAGTTACTGGGGTTGAGGGTCAAGTGGATCAGGCGGCGACCCAAAGGAAAGCTGTTTGTTTATTCTTCGGCACACTGCTGTGCTATCATTTTCCTCTTCGTTATTACTGGCAAAAAGTTCAAGTCCACCTCACCCCAGAAACATTGGCAGAGTTCTCGTTTTAAGCACTTTAATCTGGGCTGGAACAAATATATATATATATTAATATATTAAATGTGAAGGTTCTGTGTGTCATGGCAGCAGCAGGTCTCCCTGACTTCCTGCTTGCAAAGGAATGCTTCAACTGGATGACATTGCTTGAAGTGGGGGCTGAGTTGCTGGTGACTCTCCAGATTTTGCAGAGTCTTCACCTGAAATTGATGAAAGCCTTTCTGTTCCTACAGGCATTTCAAGTAAGTTTTATCAGGCCAATTTTTCGTTTTTATTACACACCATATTATTTGACGGATGCGTTGTTTTGTAAACAACTTTGAGACCGTTTATGGTGAAAAGTGGTCTATAAATACTGGGGGGGACATAACAAATATTTGTTGATTTAACAACATTTATATTCTGTTTGATCATTAAAAAAAAACCCCAGCCTCTAAGCTTGTTTACAGAAAATTAGGATAGTAAAACTAAAATGATCAATAGTTCTGCTGCTGGATAAGGTCTCTTTCAAAAGGGATTACCGTATTGGCCTGAATATAAGCCTCACTTTTTTTTCCAAATTCCGACGGTGAAAAGTTAAAGTATGGCTAAAATTTGCGACCTTACAAAGATTGGCTTTTACGATTTCACCGCTGAAACAGACATATGGAACGGGTGTGAGTGCCTGCGGAATTTTAAGGGAGCAGCTTATATTTGGGTATTCCCCCTTGAATTTTAAAGGTTATGTTTGGGCCAATACGGTATTATTCAGGTTTCCTCCTTCAGCTATGGATACAGCTAGAGTTTTCAGTATCATTAACATACAGTAAAGTTTGTGTAAAGTAGCTATGAATCCAAAATTTGTTGTAATGTTGATGCTTTGAAAGTGCATTTCAGCTCCTAAAATTCTTTGTGATTCCAGTGGAAATGCAGGAAGGGTGGAGCTGCCATATAAATACCATTGTCTATGTCGGCTGGGACAGATGTGAACTGGAGTCCAACAACATCTGGAGGGTCCCAGGCTTTAAATGCTTGCCACAAAGCTCAGCCTTGGGTTGGAAACATCTTTGTCACTCTAAGATCTCTGCTGCTTTTTATCCATCAGTCTTAAGAGCAGACTTTGAGTCTTCCTGTGCTTGCTAAAATCAGGGGTAAGGACTCTGTGGTCCATCAATTGTTTCTAGAAAATAGGTCCCATCATCCCTGATGATTGCCCATAATGGTTGGGAGCTACTGGGAGTTGGGAATTGAACACCTGGAGGGATACAGGTACCCTAAGCATGGCTTAAAGAACTGCAATGGTAGCTCTTTAGTAAATGTGAGAAGAGAACTAAGGTGTAGCCTCCAGCTGTCACACACAGATACCTAGGATAAATATATCCACTTGGACAGCTTGTTGAGAGAGATATATTCAAAAATCATTGCAAAGATGGTAGAGATGACACTTGTCAGATATCTAATGGGAACTCCAGGAAGGTCCAGTTCTGGAATTGTGCGTATCTCCTGAAGGATGCCATCTCCTTGCTGAGTGCAGTTATTGGTTGGGCACAGAGGGGATGAGATGATCTTTCAAATATCCGGGCCCCAAGCTGTACAGTCCTTTGTACCCCACTACAGTGGTACCTCAGGTTACATACGCTTCAGGTTACATACGCTTCCGGAGCAAATTAAGTACTTAACCTGAGGTACCACTGTACTAGCTTATTGAACTTAGCCCAGTAGCTAATCATAAGGTGCAGGTAGATGTGTATGCATTTTGAGACTCTTAGAATACCATCTTCTCACTCACATCCATGAAGCAGGACTAAGAACTGTGCATTAACCTCCCCTGAATAAAGTTGGCCAAAGTTTATTGTGATGCTTTTGAAATTCTCTGAGTGAAACTGCCTTGAACTCTTTGTTCTGTTCCCTAACTTATACCATGAGTATTCAAGGGTGCTGTCAAGCGCAGTGCTGACTCCAGCATATGAAAACAAAACTCTTGAGGAGGGTGCCAGTCAGTACAGAATGTCTCATAGCTCACCCTAAACTGCTTAATCTGCAAATGAATACACTCTAAACATATCCCACCACCCCATTTCTCAAGCAAAGGTGGTTCTCCCCACCCGTGTTTGTTCTGCTTAAAAGGTCACTCTCTGGTATGCAGGCAAAATGTCAGTTTGCCTTCAGTGTTTGGAAAGTGAAATTCTTCAACAGATGGATTAAGGAGCTACACAGTGCTGGAAACCCAAATGTCAGGCACCTGGTCTTTCAAGGAACGGATCTTTTAGCATGTTAAGTTTGGAGCAAGAGAGGCGAGGTTGCCTGCAAACTGCCTTCTTCCAGAATATCTTGTGTGGAGGTTGAGGAAGACTTCTAGGAATGTAGGGCTTGAGGGAAAGTTTCCAGAGCAAGGAGTAAAAGAAATACAGTGGTACCTCAGGTTAAGTACTTAATTCATTCCGGAGGTCCGTACTTAACCTGAAACTGTTCTTAACCTGAAGCACCACTTTAGCTAATGGGGCCTCCTGCTGCTGCCGTGCCGCTGAAGCACGATTTCTGTTCTCATCCTGAAGCAAAGTACTTAACCCGAGGTAATATTTCTGGGTTAGCGGAGTCTGCAACCTGAAGCATATGTAACCTGAAGTGTATGTAACCTGAGGTACCACTGTACTGGAGTTTGAGGAAAGATCTACTGGACGGTGGCAGTGTTGGAGGAAGAGAGGAAGGAAGGCTAACAAGGGAAAGCCTCTCTTAAACATCTTGTTGGTTCATGCTACCAGCATGAAGATAGGGAAAATAGAGAGGCGCAGGAGCAGCTCACTTCAATGCGATTTCCCCTCAGCTTTGTGGCTCCACTCGCTCTTTTTCTCCAACTGCTCAGAAGCAGATACCACACATGTTCTGTCTCTTCTTCATTCTGGTTGGTCAGGCAGGAATCTAGATAAGACTACGGCAGCAATGGTACTGCTGCTTTTGATTGACCCCAGAAAGAGAGCTGTGAGTAGAGCAGAGAGCCACCTGGCAAAGTGTATGCAGGTATTTTGTCACTCCATGAACATTATAATCCTAGTGATTTCACTGTCCAGAATGGAAGCATGACTATTACAAAGCAAAAGGGTCAAGGCTCAGAAAAAATATGGATGCCATGAGCAGCCTGAGAATTCATGTTAAAATTCACCCCGCAGACATACAGAGCATGGGGTCTAGACCACTTTAAAAAGTTGGCTGATCAAGAACCAAATTCATAGTTAGGTCATAGTTAAGTATTGCACACATGGCTCAAACCACTACAAATAACTCAAATGCAGAGCTAGATTATATTTAGATATAAAATGCATTTTATTTTTAAAATAAGATCATTCCCAGAGACCTGAAAGCTGCTCTTCAACAAAAGCAAGTTCAATACAAAGCAATCAAGACAAACTACGTCCACCAAACAACTCAGTAGTACAGACCAAAAACCACGTACATATACTTGCATTTATTGAACTTTTATATAGTCAGCTTTGTACAGCAGTGACAAGATTCATATTATACAAGCTATTGTTTTCAATTGTTGATTTGCCATAGAAGGATTTCCCCCCCATTTTTATTATGCACTTGAACACTTCAGTAAAAAGTTACAGATACTTGAGCTTCAATTACCTGGTATTGTAGAGAGGTATGGGTTTTAAGTACATGCAAACATACATACTTGACGAAATACTCTATATCATAATTTCTGAATAAGTTATACACAGTACATTAGCCAGAGGTTAAAGACTACAACCCTATTACATTCTGAAAATCAAATCTAACATTCTTTCTTTTCTTTTTTTTTAACACAGCTGCTAGTGGCCAGGAAAAAAAGATGATACAAACCTCATTTAGCTATCTACATATAAAGGGATTGTGGTTTTGCAAGAGCAAAGATTTGAGCATTTTTATTCAGCCCTTACTACCCTTGCATCATATAGCACCACAAGAGTGCAAGGACTGCTGCAAACATCTAGAGCAGTACTTACTGGCTTTTGTATTGTGCATCTGTGCCTTTAATATTTAAGTACAATGATATATATATATATTAAACCTATAGTCAGACACTGGCAATTTGGCTTATAGTGATTGACAACATTCTGTGCGTCAGCAAAATTTAGATACAAAAACAGTGAAGGAGGGGTACCATTCACCTGAAGGTTGCTAGGCAAAGGCTATGCCATTCATCATTGTATCAGGCAAAATAAAAAGACAAGACCACAGCAACCTGAAGGCAATGGGGGGTGGGGTGGGGGTGGAGCGGGGAATGAAGCTACAATTGCAGTTTTGCAATGTGATGGCACACCTGTCTGAATAGATGCATGCATCGGTGCAAATGCACGCACCTGAGGTACCTTTCCCCCCAGGCCAAATATTATCTTATACAGTACAGTCTTCTCCACTAGTATTGGAGTCAAATCAATTGAACAATGATATTTGGCAGTTGAGATCCTAGCAACTTAGGCAACTATTGCATTTCAGATTGCTCAGAAACCAGGTGCGTATGTTACAGTACACAGATTCCACATTAAACTGGTCAGTTCAAAACACCGGAGTAGAGTAAACCAATAATTACACTGACCAAGCATTCTAGCAATGGCTTTGACAATTGAGCAACGACTTTTCATATTCTACAGTGGACCATGTGTTATTGCTTCGTTTGGATGCAAGAACAGTGAGGCATTGCTAGCTTTGTTCAGTGGAAAGAATTGGGTGAACATACCAAACAGCATTCCTCTGTGCACGGAGTCTGCTAAAAACTGCTTGAACTTTCAGACATCCTTGCTTGTATGGTGCTATTACTACACTTACATAGACCTAGAGAACTAAAGTGGCTCACGGTGGGACAGAGGCAACTTTTGAGCTCTGGTACCTCCTGCTTCAACCGCTCTAGCTGCTCGGTCTGGAATATATTTGGTTGTTCAGGCATCCAGTCATAAATCCTAAGGCAGACATACAACGAGAAAGGAATGAATGCAAAGCCAACCTATACCAAAGGCACACTCAACGTCTTATATACACAAGAGCAGATATGCCCCAGCACAACTGAAGTCTTCACCCCAAAAAGTTTTATACCAATGTTTTAAGACTTTGATGAAATTTGCTTTTATATCCCTGTGTGCTCAAATATTTCATCCAGTGATAGTTCTAGAAGTAGGGTGCTCAGCATCTGACATGTCACCAAGTGAAAGCTTTGAGGCAACCCTGCTAGCAAAGTTATGGAGTGGCTTTCCTGGGTGTTAGAAATCACCATGTTAGAAATCCACCCAATAGTTCTGATGCATGCATTGGCACAAGATACAGGCATTGCTTACTATTTGCATGCCATGCCATACAACAATTTCAACCTTTCAATGAATGCGAAGTCTGCAAGGAACATAGTGCATACATTGCTACAGAATCAGAGCGTTCAATTTTTGTTTTTAAAGTAAAGAGAAAGCATTGTGGAGTTATGTACTTTTCTTAAAAACAAAACAAAAAAAATCTGGTCAGCAAGTACAAACCTGTCACATCATTTGTAAGCTGAGGATCTGGTGAGTGTCTAGAGGAAAAGGAATCCAGGTGTCAGGGACGAGTTACTCTCCTATTTAGAGGGTCTACTCTTGAATACAGCACACCTAGAATTTTTGCTTTGTGTCTGGGAGACAGGTACCTGGGGGATTTGCATAGGTAGTGGATCCAATGTCTGATTCAGAGTCCCATCAGACATTCGTAACATGACCGATAACCCTAGCCTTCCATTAAAGGCCTCAAAGGCCAGAACTCTGTGGACAATGTTTGGCAGGTGCAGAAAGGAAGCTGAATTAACCCCTCCCCACCCCACCCCGGTTGCCTCCATAGCTTCCGGTGCTGGTTCTGAGAACAGGCACTTCCACCTACAGATTCCAAGCTTGGTGAATTCATGATTGTTTGACCATATAAAGAAGCAAGAAATTAAATCTTGAAATGTGCCAAATAGCTTTAGGCTGAATACGAATTAAGTCCCTTGCTACTGTATCTAGGGTTTCCTGAAAAAGATTGTTCAGTCTCCACCTATAAGGCATGCTCTAGGTGACCAAATTTCTGAAGCCATTTAAATGAGCGGTCGTAAAACAGTATTCAGTTTTTATTTTAAAGTTAGCTTTACATCTAAAATATAGTTTGGAGCAGCCACCTATCCCAAAGTTTTAGTAGCTATTGCATTCCCTCACCAAATCTGGGGGCGTTATTTAATGGATAACCCAAACCCTCTATTCTCAAACCACAGTTCCTTGAAACCACCCTTCACAAGATAAACAGGAATGTCCAGGCGCTTCTCTGTTGTGCAGCCATGTTAACAGAATGATTAGTAATGCTCTGCGAAAATGGTTTTCAGCTATCCAGGGAATGAAATTAGGGAAACCAGAAACAAAAATTCCTTGATGTCAGAATAATGTTTATGGTCCAAGCCTCAAAACTGATCTTATACACTAGACCACACTGTCACATTTTCACGATACAAAATAGAAAGGGATAAATATGAAAGCCACGAAGAATGAAAAAAGGGTTCAACTGGAAGCATTCACTGCCAATAATTTGATTTCTTGATTTCTAAAGGCAGCATGGACAAACAGTCACTTGAGTTCCAAGGATAGTTCATGTAGTCTTGTAAGATTCTGGTGTCGTCTGGGCTTTAGGGAAGTTAATTTAAAGTTCTCAACCACTCAGCTGTGCTTAAGGAAGGGGTCAGAAGAACTTAGAATCCACCCCCACCCAGTCTCTAAGGATGCCATCTAGCAGGGGAAAGGTTGATTTAGAGTAAAAATAAAAGATTTTGTGCTAAAAGGTGTCAGATTGCAGAATATCAACAACTGTTCCTGTTGCTCTTTGGGACATGCGGCATATTATTCGACTTGTGCTGATGACTAAAGGATAGTAAAGACTAAGGACTTTCTCTCCCATGCTGGTTTTACATTTTTTATATCAGTACAGTACCTGGGAGCCCACAGAAGCAGCAGATGTGCTCCCCTCAGGAAAGATTTTACATTGCCTAGCTACCCGAGCAATTTAATGCTGATCTACATACATGTTTGTATGTAGGTGTTTGTACATGTTATTGGTGTTTGTACGTTATTGGTAAGAGACAATCCATAACAAAACCAAAGACGCTGATCAAAAAGGAGAACATGAGGAGTTATTGGAAAATGCAAATTAAGCAGAGAAGAGTCGAGACCACATAACACCAGTCTTGAAAGACCTACATTGGCTCCTAGTACATTTCCAAGCACAATTCAAAGTGTTGGTGCTGACCTTTAAAGCCCTAAATGGCCTCGGTCCAGTATACCTGAAGGAGCGTCTCCACCCCCATCGTTCTGCCTGGACACTGAGGTCCAGTGCCGAGGGCCTTCTGGTAGTTCCCTCACTGCGAGAAGCCAAGTTACAGGGAACCAGGCAGAGGGTCTTTTCGGTAGTGGCGCCCACCCTGTGGAACGCCCTCCCACCAGATGTCAAAGAGAAAAATAACTACCAGATCTTTAAAAGACATTTGAAGGCTGCCCTGTTTAGGGAAGCTTTTAATGTTTAATAGGTTATTATATTTTAGTGTTCTGTTGGAAGCCACCCAGAGTGGCTGGGGAAACCCAGCCAGATGGGCGGGGTATAAATAAAATAATAATAATAATAATAATAATAATAATAATAATAATAATTATTACAAGCTGCTTAAATTACAGCCAACTGGGAAAAGGTGGTATACTCCACTTAACAAACTTTGCATTCAAGATGTGTATCACCAAAGTGATATCAATATTGAAAAAGGTGTATTTTGTATATTGATACTTATTTTCTATTTTCAAAAGAATTCAAGGTACATTGAACATGCATATTGTTCTAGGGCAAGCTTTGAGTATATCACACAGAAACTACTACTACCATTAAAATGGTACAAAGAGGGTCAGGTACGCAAACGTGTTTGCCTATTTGAGACAAGGTTTTAAAAGCCCTTGATTCCAAGATTCACCTGCTATCATGGCAGCCATCTGAATACATCTATAAACTCATTACTGATCATATTCAATAGTTAAAATACTGTGATACCTGTCATATACCAGACCATGAACTCCATATTCCCTCAATTTCTTCCTGTTCTCCAGCTCATTTGTTTTGTCACCCCAGCAGAAAACAACTAAGCCTTTAGACCTGGCTTCGGCAACAAAAGATGGACTGAGCAGCAACTCCTCTGTGTGTGCATTAATCCCCTGAAAAAGAAAAAATGATATATTACCCATATATAGCTGAGGTGTTAGCAGTGCAAGGATTAATCTTTCAAGTTGTTAGGCATGTTGAGTATTATACAACTATGTTAAAATACATTGAGGTCTTGGTATTTGTAGAAAAGACAATTATAGCTAAAGGACAATCCTCATTTCAAAGGTAGTTGCCACATATAATTGTCTAGATGCTTTATGACCTACCAGCAGATTTTCAAACTGTGCAAAACTTGTGGCAATAGCCGTTGTGCGGCTCCTGAGATCCATAAGTTCTGGGTAAGTATCACATTTTCCTTGAGTTAGAAACAATATGGGATATTTATTTTGTTTGTGTCTGACCCTGTAAAAAAAGGTTTGAACTAAGTTACAAGTTGGACAGGAAAAATCCCTGAATCGGACCAGGAATCACCAATATACTGTAACTAATTTACTTGACTTGCAAAATATAAAGCCAACATTTTTGAATAACTATGCATTCTTAAGTAGAACTTTAAATATGCAATATGAAAATGGTTATAGAGTTTAAATAGAATATCTGTATCTATCTATCTACTTAGAAAAGCAAAGACAAGCTACAAAAACACCTGCCCTACCATTTTCTTCTTTCCAAAGCACGAACCCTACTTTTAAAAAAGCTCACACAAAAAATATTACAGTAGATTGGATGAAAACCATTTGCTTATTCAAATGACTTCAGTGATTGTATACAACTAGTTTAGACACGTAGTTTGTTTGCTTCCACTGTCATCAGATGATTGCATTCTAATGTGATGCAATGTAAGCAAAGCCTTTTTTTTTTTGAAAACTTTGAAAAAGATGACATTCAGCTGTGCACCTGCTGCAAGTGCCATGTTCCCGCTGTTACGAAAATAAATGAATTTCGATTACTTTTGACACAGGTAGCCTTTATCAGCAGAGTGAGACCCCGCTCTGGTCATAAAAGACATATTAACGGCTTGTCTGCCATTACCCAGAAGTAGGCCAGGGCTCAGGCAGGTCTGTTCTTCTCCAAAACCTAATCCTGTGATGTCCTTTGCCTCTCTGGAATATCACCTGCTAAATTGAGGAATCGTTCCTCAAGGCTCCTGCCTAAAATTTACCCAGAAGTACTGCTTCAGCTGAATGGTAATTTTCACCCTCCTTTGTTATATCCGTAAGGCGTATAATTACCAGGCCTTTTAGGGTGGTTTAGTCTCAGACCCATACCCCTTAAGCGCTTTATCACACCATCATGATCCTATTAGACAGGAAGAATTTACAGTGGTACCTCGGGTTACATACGCTTCAGGTTACAGACTCCACTAACCCAGAAATATTACCTTGGGTTAAGAACTTTGCTTCAGGATGAGAACAGAAATCGTGCTCTGGTGGCGTGGCAGCAGCCGGAGGCCCCATTAGCTAAAGTGGTGCTTCAGGTTAAGAACAGTTTCAAGTTAAGAACTGACCTCCGGAATGAAGTAAGTACTTAACCCGAGGTCCCACTGAAGAGCCTGTGCCTTCATTTTAAATTACAAGCCCTGTTTGAGCATAAAAGTTTATGCCTTTTGTCTTAGCACCTAGGAAGCCACAGCTTCCCCACCACTGATATGAGAGAATAATTCACATTTTCTTAGTTAAACATGAAAATGAACCTTCTTCTGCGAGTACATATTATGTTATATAAAGATGCCCCAAGTTAAAAATACATCTCTCTAAAATGTTATCAAGTATTTCCATCAACTCACATTGTACATATATCGGCATCAAATGAAGAAAATATAATCCTCCTATGTCCAGCCTTGAGCAGAACAGTTTTCAAAAGTATGTCTAGATAGAGGTTCATGTCAAAGTAGGTTGAAAGATTGCCATCCCATAAACCATCCTGGAAATTGAGAGGGGAGGGGGGAGAGAAGCCAGACACTTTTGGTTATTTAACTTGAAAGTTCATGAACATCCGTTGATATGGGTGAAGATTAAGCTGTACCTTTGATACACAAAAGGCAAGTTACTCTATTCTGGTTCACTTAATAACAAAACAATAATAACAATAATTTCATTGTATCCTGCCCATCTGACTGGGTTGCCCCAGTCACTCTGGGCGACTTCCAACAGTATAAAGTATAAAGGAACCCACCAAACACCCAAAGTTAAAAGCTTTCCAAAACAGGGATGCCTGCTTAGTACAGAAGAATTGTCATCTATCATTCCTGACCTCCACTTAAAATCTTATAAATCAGTCATGAACTGTATTATGTTGGTCACAAAAATACAATTTTTAACCACCTAATAAATTAATGTTGCAGCAAAAACTCTTTATACCGCATGAGAAAGTAGCCGATAATTCTTTTGGGAAGCTCATGCTATGCTGGCATGGAGTTAAAACATCCAACAAATATATTCAGTTTACCGGAGCATCAGCTTAGATCACAGTCATGATTGGACTGTTGATCATATTTGGTGTTAGGAAGGAAATCCCCTCCTACCCAGCAAACAGGTTAAAGATTGTGGGTAAAAGCAGCAACGTTTTATGAGCGGACTTCCATTTGTCCATTGTCTCCTCCCCTTCCTCTTCTCTGTCCTGGAACCTCCTGCATGACCCCCAGCCTCATCTGGAGCATCCTCAACCTTGTGGATGTGACTTGGGGGGACATGTGGAGGGAGGCTGAAGAAGGGGAGCACAAGGGAAAGCCGGTTCTGCTTGCACAAAGGCACCATTATTTCACCCTGTAGGATTTGGTTTTAATTAACTTCTCCTGCAGGAAGCTCACTTTGCTCTTTTGCTTTAGTCACCCAGAACCATGTTTCCCTGGCATTCTTCTGCAGTGCGTCTGATTTCGGCCATCATTACATTTGTCTCTACCGATCTGTGGGGACTGGTGGGTGGTTCCTACTTCCAACAACAGGCTGGGTTAGATGGAACCAACAGAGTGCCTCTATTTTCAGTAACTGTTCCTTAGAATTAGACATGTGAACCACAGATTCCAGAGCTAGAAAACAATGCTAAATTTAGAAACGGCGTTCACTCACTTTAACCATTGGGGAATCAAAGGAAAAAAGAAGCAGAAATGTACTATTTAACCAAATCAGTTTCTATAATTTAAACACTACAATGAAACAGCAAGCTACTATGTTTAAGATGTATTGTTAGTGGACTTTCTTACCCTTTGCTGGCAGATCCATTTGATTTCTATATTAAAGCCCACTTCTTCAGGAATGGTTTCTAGTACCTGGGTGGAAAAGTGATAAAGGTCAGGAAAAATTGTGCTAAAATGCTAAATTTAAGAGTGATTTCCCTCACCTTTTATGTCTGAAATCAAAATGGCTCTGTAGAGCCTATAGAAATTGAATTCCAGAAGACTACAGTGGTACCTCGGGTTACATACGCTTCAGGTTACATACGCTTCAGGTTACAGACTCCACTAACCCAGAAATAGTACCCCGGGTTGAGAACTTTGCTCCAGGATGAGAACAGAAATCGTGCTCCGGCGGTGCGGCAGCAGCAGGAGGCCCCATTAGCTAAAGTGGTGCTTCAGGTTAAGAACAGTTTCAGGTTAAGAACGGACCTCTGGAACGAATTAAGTACTTAACCTGAGGTACCACTGTATAGGATTTCCCTTGCAAATGGTAACCACATTAGCAGTCTAGAACATGTTATTCTAATAATCTGCATCAACACAGACACTTCCTGGATTTCGTTTCTGTGACACTAAACCCTGACCAAGAAACAGATCCTGAAGCAAAGACATGCAGATATCAGTTTAGCTTATCAATGGCATCCATGACAAGGACCTCGTTGGCACATAACGCTAAATCAAACCATGCCTTGTTGGAAGAAGTGTGCGGGCACCGAGAGCGAAAACTGCAGCTGCTTTCCTCCTCCCACTGCTGATGCACTACCTGCCAGTTACTGTAACAAGCAAACCTGGGCTCTTGGTTTGTCTCTCCAAACAAACCATGAGTGGTAAACGAAGAATCAACCTTGGTTATGGCTTGTGGTTGGGGAGGAACAGTGCTTAACCAGAAGGGGAGGGGGAATTGGCATTAAAAAACCACCCCCCTTTCCATTCTGTCAATGCAAGCCTCCACTGGATTAGGTTCTGCTTCAATTATCACTCATTATCATTCTAAATTTTAGCTTACAATAAACCTAGGGGGAACAAATGATTGCTGTACTTACACTTTGTAAGGAGGGGAATGGCTGCGTGTCAGAAGGAGCATTTTTGTCTTCTTTAAATGATTCTGCAGGAAAATTGTATAAAAGAAGCCTTGAAGAGAAGTCTTAAGCAAAAGTCTTAAGTAAAAACGAGGCTTTCCCATCTTTTCCTCCCCCTACGGTCCCCTCGAGGGTTGGGGACCATCCAGAGCAGATTTGGGGAGACACAGGGAGAGGGTACTGGGGTAGGTAGGAGAGGAAGAGGACATCCTGTTGCATGAGCCGAAGTCTGTTGCGCAAATGGGGCAGCAACAACAGAGTGTTGGCTGGCATTCTGTAGCAATTTATAGAGGAAGTCTAGAAAGGAACTAAAACTCTATTTGAGGAGATTGACATGTTTTAATTCCAAGCACAGCAACATCATTTTTATATAAAATGTGAGTTTTATGAGAAGCATGGTTTTATGTAACGATTTATATTTCATTTTATAGTGTTCATTCTGATTTTATTTGTATGTGCAGGATAAATGTGATAGGATAGAAAACTGCTCAAAGCTGCACTGCAGTCTACTGGCAAGCCTAGCTCGTCCTTACAAAGGCATGGCTGCCAAAGGAGAAGGCAAAAGGAAAACCTGCTGTGACACTTCAAACAGCTTCCTGCTACCAAGAGAGAGATGCCCTCACTTTGCCCATCTCCTATTTGCTCTGTCTCTCTTCTGTCCATTCTGAAGAGCAGGAAGCAGTTAAGATATGTCAATAAGCCCTGGGTGCTTATGCAAAGAACCAATCATCCCCCTCTCCCTCCGTACCATAACACTGTTCTAAATGGCCTTGCCAACCCAGGAGACACATTATCTAAATTCTACACTTCACTAAAAGCAGTTGTACTACTTCGCTGGCCCAATATTAACTAACTTGTTGCCAAGATAAAAGGTTGCGGCAATGCAGTCAGCTTAGCAGTAAAGCAGACTTGAGTGAAGCTCTACCAGGCCAATAGAATATAACTGCCGCATCTCAGACTTAAGTAGTGTGAGCTATTGTTCTCATTCAACAGATCAATAAATGTCTGCACAGCTCTTCCAAAGTACTGGGAGGAGATACTTCATTCTACAAAAACTCCAGATACAACTGTTGAAATATTAACCAGCCAAGATGTTGGTTATGAATGGAAGAACAGCTGAGAATTACCAATTTTTTCGGTGCTTCTACGTACCTTCGCTATCTTTGGATTTCAATGCAGTCACGTGTAACAGCTACAAGGAGGAAAACACGAAACGCTTTTAGAAGCTATCTTTCAAGTACTGCCCACACATTTCCTGAACAGTGTCTCTGCAATGGCCTCAAAATAATGCTGAGTGCAGTCTACAGCAAGAAGGAAGGCGTGTTCCTATTTGGTCGTCTTGGGAATTCAGATAGTTTGATAGACAATTCATGATGCCTGGGGATACTTTTATTTTATTTTATTTAAGTTGCACTAGGTCACATTCAGCTGCTGGCAGTTGTGTGAGGCTCCAGCAACCCAGGGCTTAATAAACACAGAGAAACAGGATTCTGTTGCTGGGTCTCTAGGAGCAACTGTTTCTTAAGAAAAAACTAAGCAACATAACTTTTTTTGCCTCCAAGGACTAGCAAAATCTTACCCAGCAACCTGCCACCCCACCCCAAAGCAGTAGTTTATGATGCTGAGGTTTTTGCTGAGGGATGTATTATACAGTATCATGAGTTTCTGGAGCTTTTGAGCCCCTGTCAAGAGGAATTTGCAGTTCCAAATGTTTCCCCCTTTTGGGCCTAGCAAATAGGACTCTAGCACTTTTTTAGAACCGGCAGTAGAGGGGGATAGGTGAGCTGAGTGCAGCCAGACCATGGCAGAACTGATGCTGTTTCATTCCCTCTGTGGAAGAAGCAGAACTGCACGGAATGTTTTCAATCGCTTCGCAAATGCCCCACACCTTTTGATACTGCCGTTTTAATACGAAATGTATTAGAGCATTTTTGCAGCAGATAATGAAGGTTAGTAGCCAAAGAGGAGTATGAAGTCATGTTAAGGCTATTGTGAGAAGCACTTGGTATGCATCTATATTATTCTGGATAAAACAAGTCTACATCGGCAACCATTTTGATCTTTCCTTAAGATTCCCATTCCATGGGAGGCTGGGCTAGATGGATCTTTGCTCTGATCCAGGAGGGCTCTTCTTATGAGGCCTTAATGCTTAGCATAAATAGAAGAGCCTATTCCAAAGGCAGTATTCCATGGCAAAGACCATTCTCTGGAACAAAGAGAATATAGACAATGCTTCAAATCACTGAGGTCGAACACGAGTTTGAGCCTTCTGTAACCCTTGTGTGGGAAGTAACAACAACATTTTAAAATGTTCTCAATGCTTCTTCCTATAACTATGTCCTGTCCCTGGTAACAGAGAGCTGTCTGCAGTCACACACACATTTGTTACTTCCTGGTTTAATCAGTAATATGCTTTCAGAGGCCTGTTCTGAATCGTGGTTTGAAAACTGCAGCTGGCTGAAAGCATCAGTGCTTAACTTCCAGCTGCAAGCAGCCAAAAGGAAGTTATGACATCTACCTTGAACGGGCTTCACGCATTACCGGTGGTTTTCTGGGCTCTGTTCAAGGTGTTGGTACTTGGCTAGAGTCTTAGCTCCCCTTGCATATTGCTATCATTTGGACAGGCACTGCTTTCTATGCCTATATATACACACACACGTACATATTTTAAAAAGTGGTTGCCATGAGGAGCAGGGTCATTTCCACTTTGTTGAGCCCCTTTCCAAAAGGAGGCATGCCAGCTGCACGCCAGATTCCATCTAAGTTTTAAGGAAGGCAGTTTAAACTACTGTTTCTCCAGTATTTGGATCAGGCCAATCCAGTAAGTGGAAAGCTGCAGCTACTTCTGTAATTTCACATTACTGCAATTAACTGTGCTTATTGGTTCAGTTCTGGAATTGGTGTGTTTTATCCATTTATTAAAATTACGAGCTGCCTTGATGGCCTATGTTGGATAGGACAGAAATGTTAAGTAAAAACAATTTACTGGCCTCATGGGCCAGCCTGGTACAATACCTTTAATAACTGCAGTTGGGCGTATGTGAGCTCTTTTACGGGAATCTCGAACAGTTCCACCGGCTCAGATTCATCTTTCTTTTAAGCAAATAAGGAATAAGAAGAAAAAGATTAAGTTAGAAAGCTACCGGATAGTGTGAGTTCTTCTAAGGCTGTACTCACTGCTTTTAAAGCTCTTTGATCCATTAAGTTTAACTCAGCTAGCAAGCTACAAGTCTAAAAACTAATAATCCCAAATACCTTTGTTTGATAAAAAGATCCCAGTTTCCTTTGTTTCGTGTTATATTAAAATACTTGGAATAAACATCACGGGAAAAACTGGGACAGTGGCTGAAGCCACTACTGGACGTCATACTAAACCATAGTTTAGAATGATGTAAAGGAGCCTAGATGAGTTTTGGGCTTAGGCACTCCCCTCCTTTGTATGTTTGCCTGAAATAAACCGTAGTTCATATTAAACATAATTGGGCAGTTCAGATGAAAGAACAATCACAGCTAAGGAAAAGTGAACATTTCTGAAGACCTTATAGCCATATGGGAGAGGCAAGAGGAAGCAGGGGAGCCTGAGGTTTAGCGCAGCTCATTCCAGCTTGTTCATGTCCATGCTAAACTATGATATCTGAATGTGGACATCATCTTCACATTGCAAACTTCATATGCAAGACAGTGCTCAACCTATTTCAGAACACCATATATTTTTCCCCTGGTTCCCTGTTTCAGGTCAGACACATTACTTTAATAATAATGTCTAAAACCATTATTTGAATCTCTGCCCATCAGATAAACAACAGTTTCCTGCAAATAAATTGCCCTTAGTTTTTTGGACTATTCCTTGAAGGTGAGTATGCAGTTACTGAAAATATTTAGTTACTACTAAATATGAGCATAATGCAATAATGCATGAAGCTTGAAACTAGTAGTTGTCACATTTTATTATAACAGAAAAGACCGCCTCTCCTGGTATGTCCCACGGAGGACCTTACGGTCTTCAAATAAAAACATCTTGGAGATCCCGGGTCACAGGGAGGTTAGGCTGGCCTCAACCAGAGCCAGGGCTTTTTCGGCCATGGCCCTGATCTGGTGGAACGCTCTGTCACAAGAGACTAGGGCCCTGTGGGACTTGACATCTTTCCGCAGGGCCTGTAAGACAGAGCTGTTCCACCAGGCCTTTGGCCAAGGCACAGTCTGACCCCCTCCTTCTGTAATCCTCATACAACTCTAGCCCAATGGTTGCCATTAATTTGACTCCGAACTGATTTTAGAATGAATTGATTTTAGAATGTATTTCAATGAATTGATTGTGATTTTATGTAAACTGTGTTATTTTTACTGTTGTTAGCCACTCTGAGCCTGGCTTCGGCTGGGGAGGGCGGGATATAAATAAAATTTTACTTTTATTATTATTATAAGGAATTTTTTTTTAAACTACCGTTCTTAATTCAAAGCAACCTTACACTTTATCCTCCCATTGAGAGGGGGGAAATAACTAAACTAATTCAATCCTGTAATTCTAGTCCACTAAATCAATGTGTATAGAGATATAGGATTTGTGGTCAGCAGCACACACAAGTCTGTGAATCACAGCATGAACAAGAAGATAGCATATTTTTCACCTCATTTCATGAACTTCTAAAGGAAGTCAAGATGAAATCTTGCAAAAGCACAATAAGCAGTTACTTTCATTACATTACCACCAATCCAAGTCTCTTGAAATAAAGCCATTTTACTGCCCATTTCAAAAATGCTAGCCAAGTAAAACAAACAACACATTTAAAAATACCTTTTTCATAGCAATACAGCAAGTAAGATCATGATATATGATAGGGACGTGATCCTTGGAAAGGTGTACATCAAATTCCACAAAGGCTGCTCCCTAAGTGAAAAGAAAGGTTGGAGGAGAGGACAGCAAATAGATTTTAGCATATGAAAGGCTAATATATATAAAAAAGACAAATACGCACACACATTTCCACCAACTGTGAAAAGACACAATAGAGTGTTGGCTGGCATTCTGTAGCAATTTATAGAGGAAGTCTAGAAAGGAACTAAAACTCTATTTGAGGAGATTGACATGTTTTAATTCCAAGCACAGCAACATCATTTTTATATAAAATGTGAGTTTTATGAGAAGCATGGTTTTATGCAACGATTTATATTTCATTTTATAGTGTTCATTCTGATTTTATTTGTATGTGCAGGATAAATGTGATAGGATAGAAAACTGACTGATCTTTTATTTTTATTCTTTTTTGGGGGGCGGGGAGGAACAAGCATCTAAAGAGCTTCTAACATTAAGCCTTCTTATAGTGAAAAGTATAAGTTCTCTAATGTGTATCAGGGTATGTTTTACCCAGAGTTACTTGCTCATAACTTTAAAGGGGAAAAATGAGGATCTATTCTGTGAGCAGACATTGAATATAGCCATGGCCTGGAGAAGGAAAAAAGTGACTGGGAAAAGTGAGTCTTGGAATTATGATGGACTCTTGTGGATTATGTGCTATAGCTCTCCTTCAACAAGATGCCTTAGATTTAAACTGAGCACAATTCAGTTCCTTGGTTTTTAGGCTCGCCTTTTCTAATAACTGGAAATGCTAACAGCTGTCATTGCTGAGGTCATCAGGGGGACAGGAAGCAGCACCCTGGCGCCCATCCTGGGTACAGCTCCACCTGCAAGCCTCTGCTAGTATATGGAGATACTTTTTCCTGTCTTTCTATGGAATTTGTGATCTTTTGCAAGTGCCCTTGGGAGGACTTTGCCCTGAAAGGCAGCATATATGATCACTGAATGAATAAATGAATAAAAGATTATGTATTTTCTACAAGGTTCAGTCTTTGCTCATTGATAATAGACAGCCATAGGTGTTAACATGCAAAAAAAGAATCAAGGTAAAATCACACACATACATGTTTAGCAGCATTTTTCAAAGAAGCAATGGTATTTTCTCGAAGTTTAGCAAGCCTGGGAAGAGGAAAAAGGAAAAAAGTTTTACTTATTTCTGATGTTGGGGGAAAAAATTCACAAATGATGGGCAAGCAATTTTATAGCTTCTTAATTTGAGTTTTCATTGTACATGCAGCGCCTTGCAACCTTGATCCGCCAGGGCTATCCCAAGGAAGAGGAAAACCTCCTTCCCTGAGCTGAAGTCTGCTAGAGGTTCACAGGATTCACACTAGGGGAGCTACTAAAATTAAAACTCCAAATTCAATTACACATACTTACTTGGTGGTGGTTGTAGAGTTTCCTGCGCCCCTGTGTCCAACATCTAACCCTGTTCTGTCACGCCAGTATTTGGCATATGAGGCTTTCACATCACAGGAGTACCCTTGAATTGGCTTAATAATTATGTAGTCGACTAAAAAGAGAAAGCAAATGTCACTTGGTGGTCAAATTCTTTACTTTTATCCAATGAAATCTTTTCTCTCTTCACTAGGTTTAGAGAAACATCACTTAAGATTTACTGGGATATGGTAAAAGTATCTAATGGAGAACCAAAAGGTACATTTTGAATATATTCCTTATTATCGTTTCACTAGGCCCCTGACATAATCTACTAGTTCTGGTTGAAAAGCACCAGTTTTTCTGGACTAAAAATTTCTGAAGGCAAAAAGGGAAATGTATTTAGCTTAAGGCTCATGCTTGCATTACCACTATATTAAGCATACCTCTAACTTTTCCAATTGTTTTTCGTGAAAGTCTGCTCATAATAGGAAGAGTGAGAATGCCACAGCTCTTTCCCGATTCTGCAAGAGTGGAGGATAACAGACACGCAGAGCCCACGTGCCCTGGAAGTGCGTCTCCTTGAATCACTGCTTCGCTAAGGTCTTCCTAAAAACGCAACAATGTTTACATATTTAATTTTACAGTCATACCACGTGTTGCGTTAGGTTCATGTTGCATCTTTTCGGCCTGCGAACGTGGCAAACCCGGAAGTGTATACTTCCGGGTTTTGCCGCATGTGCAAGACGTGTTCTGCATGCTTCACACATGTGCAGAAGCGTTCTATTGTGCCGTGTGCATGCGCAGAAACGGCGCTCTAGTTACAGACTTTTCGGGGTGCAAATGGCACCCCGGAATGGATCAGGTCCGTAACTAGAGGTACCACTGTATTGCTGTGAATTCATCTCGGCACTTCTTTTAAATTCCTGGAAACGTGAGGATGCAGAACTTGCAACATTCAGTGGGTTGCAGCCTACAGTCAAGCACCGTTATTTGTTCTGCAAAATGAGTCTGAAGGTTTTGTGAATTTACTCATGTATTCAGATGTACCCTTTTACAGTTACATTATGACTGAGAAGGCTAAATTGTGTGAATGAAAACAGCGAGTAGATACTTGGAACGTGAGCTCTGCAAGGTTGCTCATGCGGTCACTGGATGCAACCTGGTTGGTTTCATAAGTCCTCAGATAATCAGGAGAATAATATAGTAGTGGATGAATTGCACAAGCCCAATACATTGATGCCAAGAGGTCTAAAACATTCCTCGTTCTGTGAAGTTCTTCCCCGCCTTCCACTTTCCTATCTATAAATTGTACCAATAGGATAGAGGTATAAAAAGGCTTTCTGGCCACCAATATTAAACAAATAGCTAAGCCCTCACCTCAAAAAAGTCAAAGATTAATTCCAAATTGTCCGGTTCCATGGTCTGAATAGTATATTCTGTCCATCTATCAGGCTGCAGACCATAACCACATTCTGGCTGAGAATGACGAGATTTGAACTCAGTGTCACTTATTAGTGAGATCTCCAGCGTGTTTGGCATTTTTTGTTGAATTGTAGGTGACAGTCTATCATCCTCTTCATCTTCACCCTCCTCCTCCAAGCCTTCAAGGGTGAGCTTCACCCTAAGCAGTAAGGAGAAAGCAAAATCTGATGTCACATTATGTAACAAATCTTCAGTGACATCAATAGTGACAGAATAATGAATTATGCTTTTGGTAACACAATGAACTTAAGGCACTATAAATACAGCATTTTTTTTCTACTTAAGGACTCCAGCGTACCAATAATTTGAGTGTCTTGGGGGGGATGTGCGGGGGATGAAGGAATAAATTCCTAAAAGGAGGCTGCATATGTACTACAAACTGTACAGATTTTTATTTTTAGTTTCCCAAAAGCAATGGCAGTGAAGAAACTCAATGCTGATTATAAAAGACTGAGAAATAACCACAATTAAGCCAGAAGCTATGTAGGGGGAAAGGAGTTTCTGAATTTAGAAAATGGACTGGGAAAGGAACTCAAGTTTTTTCACTATGTCAATATAGATGGATAATCCAGTAGTATTCATATGCTAAAGATGGGGTTTAGTGTCAATAACAAATGGAGAACTTTGATTAGCATGATCATACCTAAACCTGGATTTTTTGAATTTTCTCTTAGTTATAGATACAGGAGGCTTTTCAGAAAAATGGAGGCGTAGCCTTATTTCTGTCTGACATGTCAGCCAACCGGAATCGACACTTTCCACATCATCTGACAAAGGAAAAAAATAATAATTACAAAATGATTTTGCTACATTCCAGAACGACACCAAAAAGACTTCTTAAAGTTGTTACCAAAGCACTACTGTCCCAATATCCCAGTTCCCAAAAGGGATGTGCCATCACAAGCTAGTTGCTGCTGTTGAAACTAGAATAGGTACAAAAATTTGAGGCCAAGACTGGAATGACCCTAATAACAGTAAACGGTTTGCCAGCATGACCATTTTCACTATGTTTACATGCTTCTAAAACTATGGATAAGTTTTCTGCATGAGCAGAAGTAAGTCTGCAAAAGCCCAGGGCTTGTGCATTCCCCACTCCTCCCCCCACAGACCAGGAGGAGGAATAAACTAGGATTCAGTTTAGATTTTCATCAAATCCTGGCAAATCACTATGTCTGTAAGAGGAAAAGTGGCTTAAAAAACTGTAAACTCAAACCAGGTCAACTTCAAACTGTGAGTTATGAAACAGTCTTGTTCAATATGCCAAAGTTTATTTTAAAGAACTATTCCTGGTGAGTACATAACAAGCCAGGAATCAGCAAAAGAAAAACTGAAACCTGATTTATGACTCCTGCTAGCAAAATGAAATAGGAGTGCTCATAACAGAGGCTTTGCTTGGGCTCAAAACAGATTGGCTTTAGTGTTCCAGGCAAACCCTCCTACTGTGTGGAAATCCACCAAATCGCATTTGAGTTTCCAAAATCAACCTTGAACATGTTGTGCACCAGGGAGAGGAAATTTACTATCATTTATTTTAAATGGCTTTTAATTCACATTTGAAGGCGCTCTTTCTACACAAGGCAGCTTACAAAACTCCTACATAAAAACAAAACTACGATAACAGTGCTTCTTACCAACAATTCCGAAGTGTCCGTCATCAATGGAAGTGTCCTCTAAAAATGAAGGAACAAACAGTGAGAGAAGTTCACATTCACAGGCTACAAATTATTGCGACTTTAAGCCTCAGTCCTACACATACTTATTTGGGAGTAAGTCGTACTGAACTTTATGAGACTTTGATCCAAGTTGGCATGTGGAGGACCATGTTATCAGTAATGGTTCTACTTTTGCACTTCACCGTTAACTGCTATAAACTAAAACATTTTAAAAGAAAGACAAAGCAGCAGCAAGTTTACTGCAACCTGCAAGATACCTCTAAGCTTTGTTTTCTTGGTAACATTATCTCCAGGCAAACTTAGCAATGATGTACAGTACTTACTTCAAAATGAGCTATGTAAACTGGAAAAAGGATATTGCATTATCTCGACAATATATAGTCCTAATTGCTATTATACTAGAAAGATAATGCTATGTTATTAATGTGATAGACATTAAACTATCTGCTAAGCAACCAAGAGTTCAGATATAAATCTTCTGAGTTTACAATTAAAAATGCTTATTTTCTTCCCTTTGCTAGAAACAATAGTCAAAGTTTCACCTTCAATCCATGCTACAGAAAGGTAAAAGATGAAAAGCTTTAGACATGGAATAAACTCATCAATAAACAGAATTATTCAGAGTTTAAAGCTGAAGTGTAACCATCTAATATCAAAAGCTCAGTTTTACCCATGTTCATTTTCAGGCGCTATTTATATTAGGTCTGACCTTTCACCTGTAGCAAAAGAGTTGGGGGCTTTTTTGGCCATACAGAGGAAAAAAAATCAGTTTGAAATAATCCCGTGAGGACCTCAAACTTTTGTGTGACTAATCTCCTTCAAGGTCAGAGGGACTACTTAGTTAAAAATTGAGAACAGCCACCAGCAGAACGTTTTCAAAGCAATGTAATTTCTCTCTAATGAGGTTATTGGGTCTTAGGTTGCCTAAGGCAGCACTCCCAATAGGATTGCACTGTAAATGAGCTAAGGCTTGGTGTGCACATCTGTTCAGAATAAAGTCACCCTAAATTCAGTTAGATTTGTTCCTAGGCAACCATGCAAAGGACTGCAGTCTTAGAAGGAAAACCTAAGATCATTCCTTTGAAGCCCATAAACTAAGAGTATGGACTTCACTTTCAAATACAGTCGTACCTTGGAAGTTGAGCGGAATCCGTTCCCGAAGTCCATTTGACTTCCAAAACGTTTGGAAACCAAAGTGCGGCTTCTGATTGGCTGCAGGAACTTCCTGCAGCCAATTGGAAGCAACGGACGCCCCGTCGGACATTCGGCTTCCAAAAATAGTTTGCAAACCAGAACAGTCACTTTTGGGGTTGCGGTGTTCAGGAGCCAAAAAGTTCAAGAACTAAGCTGTTCAAAAACCAAGGTACGACTATAATGCTATTTAGGTGGACACATTTCCATTCAATTTTTTATTTTTTTTTTAAATGAATGAAACAAAATCAGCCAACTGCAATCTTTTCAGGTACACCTGCTCCAGAGAAGACAGTATATAACAACAATCACCTTATTGAACCACCTTCAGGAGGAAGAACATTAATTTAGACCACATGTTGCCTTTTGTACTGTTTATCTCAAATGAGCAGAAAAAATATCTACATTATGTATCCTGTACAGTGGAACCTCAGTTGTCGAACAGGAGACTGTTCGACTTCCAAAATGTTTGACAAAGGAGGCACAAAGGGCGGCCTGCAAAGTCAATAGAGAAAATTGAAAAAAACTCAGTGGAAGCCATCAGACTTCCGAAAAGCGTTCAAAAACGGAAGCATTTACTTCCGGGTTTTCGGCGTTCAAAAACCGAAACGTTCGGCTTCCGAGACACTTGAAAACCGAGGTTCCGCTGTACTTATATTATGTCCTATTGTATTCATGAACATGCTTATAATAATGTTTCAGAAAACCTCCAAGGCAAAAATAATCTCTCTTACGAAAACAACTGGCACTCTGACTTAATGTTAGCCACAGTCAATTTATGGTTTCCACCACAGAGAAATGGTCTGTAAAGAACAAAACAAAACATAATCATGAGCGCTTAATCTCCAAGCGCAGTGACTATTGTCAATAACGCTCATTTTAAAATGTCCTGTCTCCTTCTTTTAATGAAGACTCCGGGGGTTCACAAATTCCTCCTCTGTCTAGTGAGCATGGCAAGCCTCAGTGCAGAGGATCTTCAAAGAGCAGCACATCAGCTGCTATGAGCCCTTGGGAGGAGGAATGGGGCTCATCCATGTCACACCTCCAAAGCCCAATGTGAAATCAGGAGGCAGCTCATCCTCCCTAGCAGACAGCCAAAATCTGTGGACCCCTAAATAGAAGAAGGCACAAATGGAATTTACATTTCAAATCCACACTATTTTGTTCACAAACACTTTAAATGCTCGTGCTGTGCTAAAAATGGTGCCTTTGTAGCAGTGGTCTCAATCTTAATCCTACAAAATATTATCAATTCCACTAAACCGTTTTGCAAAGTATTAGTAATCTTATGCATATGCCTCAAAAGAGATGCAGTTCATGCCCATACCTAATGGGGTTATTGATCGTGGTGGTAGATGAGTCTCCCACTTGTGAATTATGACTTGGCATGGACCACCGGTTTTCTGTAATTTAAAAGTTAAATGTCTGCAATAATTTTCGTTAAATCCCGATTTATTTATCTTTTAACCAGTGATGCCATTTACAATCCTTTGTGAGCGTAGTTTACTTATACCACCTTTGAAGCGCAAAGCTTTAAGTTTAATTCACACCATGTATACCATAATCATTGATGTCATTAAGACGCATCTCATCACCCTATGACAAAAAACCCCATTCAAATCACACTGCCATCGTATACTGAAGGGGGGTGGGGGGCGGGATTGCAATGGCAGCCCCTTAGTCTATCCTCCCATTTCCCCTTCATCTATGCATTCAGCCTAATCTCTGAACAGAGCCTGCATGAGTCAGTCCTGCTTGGAGGCTAGACTGAACATGTGGGTCAGGATCTAAGTCAGTGGATACAATCCCATGCACAGACCCCACTCCACAGGTCCAGATGGCTATGTGAGCTAGCCTAAGCGGTGACAAATTCTGACAAGTGTAGGGTTTTCCAGTATAGTTGCAATCATCATACATGCTAACATGCCAATTTTGGAACGGTCGTATGGGTATAACTAGTCACAAAAAATTGCAAACGCATGCTAACCAATTTGGGCGCTTAACTAATTGTTATTGCTTTCTATAGTGCGTCAGACACAGAAGTTGTATGACACAGAGCACAAAATCTGCACAGTATACCATAGCCCCAAATCTTCTGCACTTATATGCAGATACAACACCCCACCACCACTGAACCAGCGTAGGAAACAATGGGGATCTAAGGCTCCCTTTCCACATGCGGAAGGAGTCTTCGGTTCAAAGAAGGGCTGCTTTGTGCTACTGTGCCAAATATGTGAAAATTTCCTGCTTGTATAGAAGAGTTTTCACAAGTATAAGAACTGCATCATAAGCCGTGTAGTACAACCCTGTATGAACCCCTGTGCAATTGTCTGAGGAAGAGAATTAGCAGCTATTTGGATCCAACCCATTGCTTTGAGCACAGTGAAAACAAGAGGCCTGAATTTCAAAATGAATGCCAATAATAAAGTTCCTTAAACACACACACATATTCCTGGGTTGTTGTGTGTTTTTTTGTATATTTTTGATTAAGGGGATAGAGAATGTGTATAACTCAGAAATGAACAAGGCAGAGGGCTAGGTAGGAAAAAAGAATCATTAATGTGTCTCTTTCAGCCTGATCAGCTGAAATTTCTATTTAGGAGTTGAGTGTGCAAAATTTGCCATTTTGAGGGTTCTTAGCTGATCTATAAAGCCTGGTTTGCAGCTGATTGGGGGTGTCTGCAAACCCCCTTTTGGCTGAGCCCCCCCCCCGCCAATCTATGGTATAGTACAGGGGGGCACAGTTTGGACAAAATGGACTTGTGAGCCAAATGGGGAGGACTGGCGGGCCTGATTAGGCCCACAGGCTGAGGGCTCCCCACCACTGACAAAAAGTAACCCACAGGATGGATAAGTGTGGCATCAGAAGCCAACCACAGCATGCTTGTTTTCACATGATGCAATTTCTTAGCTGGCATCAAAAATGAGCCCCGTGCCCCCCTGAAAATAGTAATGAAACTTCTTGAGATGTCTATGTCTCAACACATATAAAATAGGAACTGCCCAGAATCCAGATAGACTGTAAACAAGTTGTACACATTACTAAGTTTTGAGAACTCTTTCTTCTTCCAACCCAAGTGTATGCATTCACAGAATACAGTACTCCTAAAGAATCTACTTGAATTAGCAAAGATTTATTTAAAAACCTAAGACTGCAACTCTAAACACATTTTCTAGGGAGTAAGCCCCACTAAAAATAGTGAGATGAAGGGTTATATCTAATGCTGTTCACATGCAGGCAGACATACGCCTTTTAATTTATCTCCATCCTCCTGCAGTCCCAAATACCCCCAATATCTGCTCCAGAGGATTCCCAAGCCCTCCAGAGCCGATCCTGAGGGTGTGAGGGGGACTGCAAGGGGAGGAGAGGAAGCTGAAATCCCATTGCATAAGTGGAAATCCATTCACACAACACTGGATTCTGCCCTTCCTTCCAAGTACAAAGCACAGAATTGTGTTTCCGCCTACAGTTATTGCCATTATTCAGCTGTAGAGCTGACCCTCCTACGTTTTAGATTAAAAATCTATTTAAGAATCATATATTTTAAAATCAAAAGCACAGCATAATTCACAAAGACCCAAGACCACTTGTTCTCACTTCAGATACTGGGAACAACAGAGTCATGCATGCAAAATCTGCTGAGGTTTTACAAGTTCAAAATATAACAATTATTAGTATTATTATTTTATTATACCCCACCCACTCCGGGTGGTTTCCAATGCATATAAAAAAACCAGACTTTAAAAACTTCCTGATACAGGGCTGTCTTCGAAAAGTTGTATAGTTATTTATCTCCTTGATGGGAGGGTGTTCCACAGGGAGATTAGTTTGTGTCTTTGAGCCATTAAGCCCATGTAGTTTATTAAATTAAATGTTTGTACAACTGGATCTATGGTCATACAACATGCACCAAATAAAATTAATCATCTGAAAAAGCAATATGCTTTTAACTTATAAGGCAGTATTATCTTTTGTGGACATTGTACTATTCAGTAGCTAAATCAGAAGGGATGGCATATGCAACCCAAATGAAATTTATTGGAAAAAAGTTGTGCAAGCAGTTTCAGACTGGATAGACTTATTTTTTCTAGCCAGTCTCTATGGCTGCTAGCAGAGTGGGTGGGTGGGGTTTTTGTAAGACACTTCTAGAAATAGATGATTAACAACAGAAACAGTAACTTTTGAGTTACCAGGGTCAGGTAATTTTCTAAGAAAGCGTAAGGATCTCCCTTCCCGCAAGCACAAATAAATCAAGATAATACACAAGAAGTGCGGGATGGGGTATAGAAAAATATTTGCTTAATGTTTCTAAGGAAAGCATTATATAAAAAGGAAAAGGGCTTCCTAGAGAGCCAACAAGGTGCCAGCTAGTGGTTAAGAGCGGTAGACTTGTAATCTGGGGAACTGGGTTCGTGTCTCCACTCCTCCACATGCAGCTGCTGGGTGACCTTGGGCCAGTCACACTTCTCTGAAGTCTCTCAGCCTCACTCACCTCACAGAGTGTTTGTTGTGGGGGAGGAAGGGAAAGGAGAATGTTAGCTGCTTTGAGACTCCTTCGGGTAGTGATAAAGCGGGATATCAAATCCAAACTCTTAGTGTAATTTTATTTCTAAAGCAAAGGAGGGGGCCCGATGAGAGTGAACTGCTGTCTCTCAAGCTACTATAGATCACTCTTGTGTCCCCCGATGTTGTTGGACTAAACCTCCCATAATCCCGTCGGTTTTGCCAATAGTGAGGAACTAAGGGAGTTGGGGGAAAAAGCTGACAAATACTGCTCTAGATTCAAGAAATCATCTTGATAGCTTTCTGTCCAACCAAGCTTCCACAAGCATCTAAGCAACGTGAACTATTTTTACAACTGGGAAGTTAGGGAACTGTAACTGTTCCCAATAATAACAACTGACTACATAGCTGTCATCTGCCCCGATTCAAATTAGTCCAAGACAACTTAATGAGGAGTTTAACAGCAGTAACAGAAAACAAGTCAGTCTCCTTGGCAATAATATTTAAAGAAGCATCATGTCAATTATCTCATATATTTGAAAGTAAGATGGAGTCATACATTACACATGTTAGCAGAAAAATGCCACTTGGACTACTCAAATTATGAACCAAGTTTAGGTTTACATATTCAATCTTGACAGGTATTTTTGTCATGGTCTAAGACATCGTTAACATATATTTAGTATTCTAAATGCACTTCTATCAACAACAAATTTGTGATTCACCTTCTAAGGTGTTAGTCACAACATCATGGTAAAATCAGAGATTTATCACCCTTGTGTTTAAAAGTTTATGTAAAAAATAGTGAACCTGTTAACTTGCCCTATAAGCATTAAGACTGCAACCAGAAAGTCTGTTTTATTTCCTGGTTCATGACACTTGACACATTTCTGTGCATAAAAACCCCTTCATCTGGCTCTTATCTCAGCCTTAGTCTAACTGTAGGCAGTTTCTCAACTTATAATAAAATGTGAATGTTTTGCAATGTATTTTTAATGTTGAAGGGATCTTTGGATAAAGGGTGGTATATAAATTGAACAAATAATAATAATGACTACAATACATTCCAGTCATTAAAACCAATCAGGGCTAAGTGAAATGACTAGAAATGGGAAAAATGCAACAGAAAGAGCCATTTAATGAAAGCACTGATTATTAATTCAATACACAGGAGCATTTAATGTTACGTTTACTTATGTTACAGTCAGTCGCCACATTCTACTTTGTGTTCTTAGTATCGCTCCTGCTTTCAGCTTCACTGTATTATATCCTCACATGGGAACAATACGTTCTTTATGCTAGAATAACCACCCCACAATAAAAATGCACACTTCTGCCAATATCGAGGCTCACAGTGTCCATCAATATGGGCTCTTTTCATATGTCTCTACTCTGCTATTCCATAAAATTCATACTTACCACAGAAGACTCTGCGTCACACGGAACTTACAGAGTGCACAATACAGAGCACCTACTTAAAAGGAAACAAACTCACCAAATACGTTCTGTGAAGTTTGCATGTATTACAAGGGAACTTGATTTACTTCAGATTGTTTTTCTTTTAAAAAAAAAAACCACTACGTTGTAGCTGAATTCTCTTCCATACTTTCCAGACATTTGGCAATATTTAAAAGGGTGTGGGCAGAAAGGCATAAATTCTAACTTCGGCAAGGGTTCTGGCTTATGAGTCCACAAGCCTTCGCCGATTTCTAGTGTGTGCTGCAAAACTACTTAGGCAAAATCTAGCTACTTTCTACTGCTGGACTTATGTTGCTAGTATGTTAAATGCTTGTGCCATGTTTAAAACTCTTTAAATACAAGTTACAAGCAACAAGAATTTTTTGGGAATGCACCAGTTAAGCTTCATATGCTTCACGTTCTACATCTTTCTTACATAGAAAGCACTTGGGTAGGAAAAGCATGAGATTTGCAGATCGCGGCATGCATCAGTTTTACATAAGTATTTTGATCAGCACGCAAGCTGGGATTTGTGGTTTGCAAATACTGTGCAGAAGGTCATATGCAGGCACACTCTCCACACAGAATTCAAGGTCTCATACACAACTGCTTTCTGGGTAGGAAGCTTTTACTGAAGTTAAAAACAGGAGAATTGAATTCAAAATGAATCCAACAGCCAACTATACTGTGGGCTATTTCCAAACACCATACCACTGGGAACTTATCCCTAAGAGTTAGTCAACAAGTTATATTGGTGCTTATTTAGGCATACGTACCTGGGGTTCTAAAAAGGTCCCCTGAAAGTATCGATATTCAATATCATCTCCCCTAGGAAGTTGAACTGTAGTTCTCCATAGCAGGCTGCAGAAAAGTGTTTTTGAAAACATTTTAGAAAAGATATAGGATGGCTGTACAACAATGACACTTGCTTTAAAAATCCCTGTGTGCGCGCACACCCCTCAGAATACAAGGTATCTGACTTTTTCTTCCATGTTGTTTCAAAGGGCCATTTCTGCAGTGACACTATGTACAGTGGTACCTCGGGTTACATACGCTTCAGGTTACAGACTCTGCTAACCCAGGAATAGTACCTTGGGTTAAGAACTTTGCTTCAGGATGAGAACAGAAATCGCGCTCCGGCGGCGCAGCGGCAGCAGGAGGCCCCATTAGCTAAAGTGGTGCTTCAGGTTAAGAACAGTTTCAGGTTAAGAGCAGACCTCCAGAATGAATTAAGTATTTAACCCGAGATACCACTGTCTTTTAAAAGCATCCATGCCATTAGGTGCACGTGGAAAATGGGTGGCGCTCATTCATAGCACAGTGATCCAATAAGGGCTGAGTTCTCAGTTATATTTGAGAAAAGCAGACACCAGGGATTTCCCCCGCCTAAGTGCAACCACTGCTATGATAGTATTAAAAAACTGAACTTAGAGGCCTTAAAGCTACATCAGATTTGTCTCTTCTCATGAGGCAAGAGGAAACTGCTGGGGTAAAGAAAAGGAACAAGATGCCTACTGCACACAAAGAACTCACTGTGCAGCTTTCTGAATCACACTGGAAGGGGCTGGGGAAAAGGTAACATTTGATGAAGGTATGCAGGGGTAGCCAATGGACACTCCATATATTGTTGGACTACTCCCCTCATTATCTTTGACCAGTGGCCATGCAACTGGGGCAATGGACACTGTAGTTGAATGTGTTACGTGGGTGAAAGTACTTTTTTACAGGCACGCTTGAAACAAATGTGAGCAATTCAAGTGCTTAAGCAGGGTTGAAGGACGTACCAAGCCAGAAGGGATAATCCACCTCAAGTGTCATTTGTCTTCTAGAATGAGGTGCTCAGAAGTTGAGGTAAAGAACAAGAAGTATCACTTGAACTGTATAATTGGTGTCAAGCCAGCCTGCATGCATGGTTGAGAATTTCAAAATGTGCTACTGAAAGAAACTTACACATCACCAGCCTCCTCCTCCGGCTGTAGGATTACTGCGGATTGGGGATCCCAACTTCCCAGAGAATTGCAACTGCCACATATTGCCAAAACTTCTCCTAGAAAAAGAAATATATACTAGAAAGCATACAATAAAGCTTCTGAACATTTAAGAGTTTTCACAACACACTTTTGCCAATATTATGTAACGTATCAGGCCCACACTAAGAACAGGCGCAGACTCAAAATTATTCAACTTCTGAACTGCTTTTCTTTTAAGAATATTCAAAACGCTATCTGAAAATCATAGAACTAAATAAGCAGCAAGAGGAATTTATGTGCCTGTCCAAGCACACATAAGGCAAGGCAGACCTAAGGGGGGGGGGTGAATCTCTAAGACTTGAATCTCATGAAGTTACTACATGGGTGGAACTTCTGCTCACTCTCCTCCTGCCATGCCCCCCCCCATCTGCTCCAGGGGTTCTCCTAATCCCCCGGAAGAGATTTGAGGGGACATGGGCAGCAGAAGAGTGAGGGATAGCTCTGTTGTACAAATGGAAGTTGTTCCATTCACATAATTACCGTATTTTTTGCTCTATAAGACTCACTTTTCCCCTACTAAAAAGTAAGGGGAAATGCGTGTGCGTCTTATGGAGCGAATGCAGGCTGCACAGCTATCACAGAAGCCAGAACAGCAAGAGGGATTGCTGCTTTCACTGCGCAGCGATCCCTCTTGCTGTTCTGGCTTCTGAGATTCAGAATATTTTTTTTCTTGTTTTCCTCCTCCAAAAACTAGGTGCGTCTTGTGGTCTGGTGCATCTTATAGAGCGGAAAATACGGTACTTTTTTGCATTCAGCTCTTAGTCTTTCTCTCACTCAGAAAGCCCAGCAAGGGGTGCTAAAGCCCTCTGGGAACAGACCCTGCCCATGTTTCAATCTGTTAGCAGATAACCTTTAAACGCTTATTTGGGAGGGGGGTTGCTAATTAGTTACAATTAGTTCACTAAAGCAGGCTGTTCTGCAGTAACAAAGCGAGGATTGAAGAAAAGGAAACAGATAATTTGTACGTACTGTGAGCCTGGAAAGTGGCAACCTAAGCATTTCTTCACTGCAGTGAAATACCATTCCCAGCACTACTCGATACACACATAACACTATATGGATCCACCGGGGGGGGGGGAGCGGGGGGGGGGAGAGATGTGAAATGATATCCCAAAGCTGTGTACGAGCTGCTGGTCAGCCTTGTAGGAACATTTGTGCAACACATTCTTACATTAAATAAATCTTGTAAGCATTTATACAAGTTATGTGTACTAAGCTAAAAACAGTTGATTGACTGTTATCTGAGACACCAATAACTTGTCTGCTGCCTGGTGAGCTTGGGCCATTATGTAATATTTCTGAACATGTCACCTGGCAAGGGAAAAGGATCAAGTAGGTGACTTGGACAGTACAGTTGTTATGAGATCAATGCAGCTTTGTTGGCAGAGCTCAGCAGTGGAGGGTGGAGATATAAAGAGAGGTCAAAAGAGGGCAGACACAGAACTAGGAAGCTGTGTGAAGAGGACCCAGTATGTAGGGTACTCAATTTTATTTTAAAAAATTATATCTAAAGAGGAAGAGAATACAAGTGGGTTGGAAAAAACACTGGTGCCAAAGTTTAGAAGGGACATGAGCATGCATGTATATGCTTGCATGTCAGAAAGCCAAAGCTTGTTACAAGTGTTTTGTACCTGGTGGTGGTATTCCTCTTACTTCAAAGGTAATGTGGCAAGGTGACATGCTTGTGAATGACGTTCAACGGCTGCTGTACCCTATTGAAAAAGGGGGCAAAAAAAGCACTAGTTTAGGAGCAGGTCATTTCTGTATACATCTCAATATTATACCTTTTTTAAAAAAATAAATATATCCAGTTATACTGGGGTGGGGAACAAACCTGAGGGCCACAATCCCTTCTGGAGAGTCTTCCAAGGGCCACTTGCCAGCAGAGGGTGGGGCCAGAGGCAAATGTGAGCAGAGAATGCAAATTTTACCTTTGCACAATAGGATAGTTTCCACACACACTCACACATCCTTCTCTATCTTCCATGCGGACAACCAAGAGGAATTATCAGAGTTCAGGGACACATTCAAGCCAGGGAAAAACATTCAAGGTGTGAAGAAAGGCCAGTGAGGGGTATGGCCTGAGGAAAATTATGAGAGCCAGGCAGAGAGGCTTAAAGGGCCACATTTGGTCTCCAGGCCTCAGTTTCCCCACCTGATTTATATCCCGACTTTAAAGAATACAAATATTTGTAAGGTTGCTTACAATCAACAGAAACCCTGCCATGTGTGGATTAAATTTCAATTTGTTCATTCCCACCCATATCTGGGGACAATTCTGACCCTGAATCAGAATTTCCATAGATTAGGAGCTGGAAATGAGGCAGTACTGAGCAGGGCCTGCTGACAGATGCGTAGAAGAGGTCAGATGGGGGGGGGGGGCAAGACCAACAGAAGCCCCAGATTCTTAATTTTCTCCCCCCCCCAAAAAAAGTCACTCAGTTGGACATTTCTGAAGGAAGTTAGAGAGCAAAACACGAAGGCAGCTCTAATGCTTCCGCAACTCAACAGGCAGCAACGTTGCTAAGGACACTTAATCACTGTTGCTAAGCCATCAGCGGAAGGAATGTGGACCATCCCCACCAAAGAGCAACAGATAAAGCAGGAGAAGCTGGACGCAGGAAGGTACTGGGGTATGTTTGTTAAAACACTTTCCTGGAGCAAACATTACTTTATTTACTCTTAGGAGTGAATAAAACACAACTGGCTGGTTTTGGTATGTTTTACTCAGAAGTACCTCCCTTGAAATAAATGACGTTTTCTTCTAATGAGAAAAAATATATATTAGAGCGCCCCCGCCAATTTTCCATGTCACCCAGGCAACCACTACTGGCCTGCTTGTCATCACTGATCTGTTATTTATACAGTCACCATAAAACAAATATATACAATGCAAAAAGAATCAGCAACTACATCCACAAAACAATTTACCTTGCAGTTAAATTTCCCATGTATTTTAATGCAAATATTCTTTAAAATCAAGGCAGGCAATATGTTTTGAGTGCATATATGTTTTGTATATTTGTATCTCGATTTTCCTCTCAGGAGCTCTAGACTGTGTTGATTGCCTTCCCCTTCCTACTTTTATCACCACAACAGCTGTGTGAGATAAGCTAGGTTGAGTCTGTAGTCCAGGCACCGAAGCGGTCAAACTACACATTTACATATGTTTACAATTTTTCTGCGGGTTGCTATTTAACGGGGTCAGCAAATTTTTTGTTTGTTTGTTTTGGTACTTTGCTGTAAATATCAGGACTGTGAAACCCTGCAGTGAAAGCAAGGAGGGTGCTTTTATGGATTTCTTTGCATGATCTGTGGAGATGCATGGAGATTCATTCTGCAGTCACACTGTCTTTGGCATCGTTCTGGAGAAGTGATATTCTTTCAGATCATGTGCTCTCTGTGGACATCAAACAACTGCACTACAACTATCCACACAAACTTTGTGTAGCAGGGAACAGTGGCAGGAGTCTTTAGGGAGAGTTATTAAGGAAGGAGAAGCCACTGCTGCTTTTTCTGATGAAGAGAGAGGAAGAAGCAGCTGGGCCTGGGGAGACTTCAAAACATCGCTTTCCATTCTTATTAAAATGTTTTATAACTTGATCTCGAGGAGAAAACGTTTGAGTGGCTGACATTTTCTTAAAAACAAAACGTGAAGCTTAAAAACAAAAAGTGAAAGAATGGCAGCGCACACACCCACACCCACACCCCATGGTTCTAAAATGCCCATACAATTACAAGCTACTGTGCTCAGCAGTTCCGTTTTGGGCAGAAACATACCAAAATGCAGAACTGGTTTTGTTTTGCTATGTTTTGGTATGTGCAATAAGGAGGGGGGATGAAATCAATTAAAATGATGTTTCTTGCATGTTTTTTTTTTTTTAATGCAGCTGTGTCTTAACATTAGGTTGTAGACCTAGTAAGAATAAACCCAATGACATTAGGTTGTAGACCTAGTAAGAATAAACCCAATGAAATTAAGGAACCCAAGTTATCCATGACCATTGATTTCAATGGATCTACTCAGAGTAGGACTGCACTGACTACTACCCATTTTCCTTAAAGTAGAACTAATATCCATCGGTGGAACTGCATAATTTCCATGACGTCGGTCAAAGGATCTGTGTACACTGCAGGGTTTGTAACAGCAGCATCCAAGTTATTTCTCAGCTGATAGCCCAAAGTGTTGACAAGACAACTTCTTCACAGAGAAATAAATCAACCAGAGTATTTATCGTTCTGATGCTGCATTGCAGCATCACAGCCTACTCAAGTTCAGGAGGGAGAATTGCATGGTATCAATGCAGAATGCTACTGATAAACTGAAATGAAGTATTTCTGTTTCTTTCAGATATAGCCCTATAAAATTGAGGTGCTGAATTGTATTCTACAACAACAACAAAAGTGATATGCTTTGAGGAATACATACTTAGTATGAGATCTTAAGCCAGAAAAGTATTAACTAAGGGTGAAATCCAGTGGCATATGAGCAGAACAGACCTCTTTCACCAATGAGACTTCACCTTCATCTCCACCACCATCATCCCAAATAACCCAAATCTGCTTCAGATATTAGTCCTCAGGTTAGAAAGCCCTAAGTGTGTTTAGGATTAAACCACCTTCCTGCTTTAACACCCTGGTCAGCAACTATTTTTAATAGAAACCATATTTTGAAATATGCAATATAGGCTCCATACTGACGCTTCTCTTTCCCCATTGATGCTTTAGGTAGGTACAAAGACTTTCCTTTAGGAACCTCAGCACCTCTCTATTTGCCATGCCAACATACTTACAGAGCAGAATGGTTGAGATGTTTAAGAACGGGAGGGTCCTGGCAAAATTTCTCCTCACATCACAGGAGAGGGGTCCAGAGAGCCCCTTTGCCTATGCTACATAATAGTACAGGTGGAAGAGTACAATTCTTTAATCGCTACCATAAATGAACATAAATAACTTGCATCACAATGTACTTCAACACAATTACTGCCTAGCATGCTTGTTTATTATTGCACTGCAAGTATTTCATTTGCTTTGGAGAAGAGATAAACTGGTTGATAACAAATTTGTCAGAGAATTACAAGATGAGGTCAACAGACACATACTGGAAGCTTTAAGCCACCCTATGCTATGTTACTCAAGTCTATCTGGTACTTTTTATACAAGAAATACATGGTCTATATACTGAAGCTTATGTTCAAATCCCACAATCCTGAGCCAATGTGATTAATTTTGCTTAAAACAATTAAGACTGAGATATACAAAAAGGTAAACAGAATCACAGGTAAACCAGCAAATCCCAAGGACTGTCTACTGTTTAACGCCAAGTTTACAATATTATCAAACGCAAATGTATGTGCACATTATCATCAATCTTTAAAAAAGTGGCTTACATACCTATAAAAGTAGTATAGTTTTCCCTACTGTACACAGAAGGCATCTATAACATCCCACTTAAAGGACCGCTATTCTTCAAAACCTTCACCTCTGAAGAGCTTGTTTGTTTTTTAAGGATATATACGGCTCAAAAGAGTGTGTCATCCATGCTGCAGCTAGCTTAATGTTATTTAATACAGTCACATTCCTCCCTAGACAGCTGCTCCATATCAGCTGGCACCAGCTTTTCTATCGTAACATACATTACATAACGTAGAAAGACCTTTAACACATTTCTTTGCCTCCTGCCACCCCAGTCTGTGTGACTATGACCAATAGCAAAGACAATAATTAAAAACCTTTCACTAACGCCCTTCTCTCTGGCTGGCTTCTCCTCAGCTCCATGACAGCTTCTTAGGAGGATCTGGCATCTTTCCCACATACTCTGCACCAAAGAGGCAGACAAGGACACAGAAGCCAAACCAGTACCTAGACCTCTCTTCTTTCCCTCCTCTGCAAGACAGACCACTGTCTGGATTAACCAGGAGCATTATGAAACTACCTGTCCCATATAACTCTAGAGAGGTGGAATAAAAAGGGACTATTGCGTAACACCGCCAAAACCACTGAGGAGGAAGAAGAGGGAGAGACTAGAGGTTTCACTGCAGTGGCCAATCTGTGCCTAGGCTGTACAATTTCACATTGCTGGTGGGAACTCACGTGAACTCACATACCAAAACAATTCTTTCCACACAAAGTTGTAATGTCAGGAAGAAGGTTGCTAACCTAGCCTTCTTCCTCACATGCCAGAATAAATATAAATACAGTGGTACCTCGGGTTAAGTACTTAATTCATTCCTGTTTCATCCTGAAACTGTTCTTAACCTGAAGCACCACTTTAGCTAATGGGGCCTCCTGCTGCTGCCGCGCTGCCGGAGCATGATTTCTGTTCTCATCCTGAAGCAAAGTTCTTAACCCGAGGTACTATTTCTGGGTTAGCGGAGTCTGTAACCTGAAGCCTGTAATATAAATATATATGCAGTAAATTATTTAGACATGGAAAAGTATTCAGTCATGTGAATTCCCACTTGCAGTCTGAAGAAGTACAGCTCAAACACAGGTTAGGTTCCTCTCCCACCTCCGCAAAACACAGAGAGAAATAAGATCTTGAAGGGCCACCTTATTCTCTGTCTATGTTCTTTTGTTATAGAACTGCCCCTGATATTTTCTGATATGGCGGAACAGAAATACCTTTATAATAAAGCAAAGCTGTAAGAGGGATTCACTTTTCCCTGCCCAATACAGAATATGCTTCTCTTGTTGAACTTTTAACAAGTAGAACTGCACTCTCCTGCTTCTGCTGAAGTCTAGTGTACTACACAACACTGGCTCTCTTTGGTTAGTCACACCAATGGCATCATTTCCCTGTTTATCCTCTTTTTTTAAAGTAAGACTTGCCAGATAGTAAGAAGGAAAGAACTTTGCACCTCCGATTGTCATGTAGTAGAGATGCTTTCAACAGGTGCACATTTCCTCTCTCTGCACAGGAAGCTGCACCTGCTGAAGTTCTCTCATCTACAAAGCTGTTAAAACTGCAGAGGTACTTGCATCTTGGTCATCCTACAAAGAGAAAAGGGAAGATGGGCACATTCAGTAAACAACTTAAGCCAGGTCCCATCTTGCTTAACTGGAATTATGGAAGTTCCTTGGGCCCAATGAAGATGAACAGTGGCTGGCAAGGAGGAAACGGGTTCAAATCCACCACAATGCTCACTGCACAAGTCACCTTGGACCCAGCCACCATCTCTCAACCTGACTCAACTCCCAAGGCCCTTGTAAAGATAAAAGGTGAGGGAGTCAGCAGCCTGACCTCCTTGAGGAATCAAGAGGAAAATGTAACATTACAAAAATAACCATTTTGCTAGCTTGTGGCGGGGGCAAATATCTCAGCAACAGCAGCACATACAGAAAGTTCCACGCTCAGTTTCCATCCTCTCCATGGCAAAGCTGGGAATTATGGATAAGCCCTGAGTTAAGATGGTTGTTTCAGGCTCAGCGGGAGGAAGCTGCCTATTGTCCCTATTAGCAGGGGCAGTTCCAGCTGTCAAAGAAGGAGATCACAGAATCACTCTTGGAAGATGCTATTACTACTACTACTACTACTACTACTATTAGATCACAGAATTGCAGTTAGATGGAAGATATTACTATTACTACTATTTAATAAATTTGCACACACCCCTTCATCCAAAGATCCCAGGGCGGTTCACAACAGGAAAGGGGCCTCCGTGGGGCCATCTGGTATCCAACCCCACTGCGACGCGGGGATCTCCGCAGAGGATCATACAAAAACCCTCCAGGCACAGGATCGCTTTCCCCACGCAGGACCAGTCCTCCCAAACGGGGTTGTTGTCAAAGGGAGAGCTTTCACATACAGTCCCAGCGGCCCATGTTCCACCCCCCACGCACACCTTTGACGCCCGAGTGCAGAGTTCGAATCCTACCGTTAGCTCGGTGTTTTTGTTGAGAGGGGGGGTGGATTAAACCAACACGGAGCAGGAAGTGGGGGGGGCAGCCGTGGGAGGAGGAGGAGGAGGAAGACAGGTTTCCTCACAGAAAACGCGCAAATAAAAGCGTAGGCGCCTCCCCACAAGCAGCCCCCACAGCCACGCGCGACCCCATCTTTTGTGACTGACCTGCCCACGGGCGACGGCGAGACACGACTTCCTTCCCCAGCCCAGCTCCGGCTTCGGCGAGGATAAAGCCGGCGGCGCTGACGACTGGCCAGCCTCTTCCCCTCCCTGCCTCAAACCGGTTACAGCCGCCCCGGCCGGAGCCGCCACCGGCGCAGCCGCCACGGGCGGAGGGGGGAGGGGAGCGGAGCCGGCGCCCGGGAGCACGTGACGGCCGCGGCCAATCAGGGAGGGGGAGAGAAGGGGTTGGGGGAGGGGGAGACAGAAGCCGCCTCAGCCGCCCGCGAGGGGGCAAGCGGCGGTTTTTCCTAGAAAGCGCGGCCTTGGCAAAAGCTGAGGGGAGAGAGGCGGGCAGGCCGGGCGGGCGGAGGCGGAGTGACCGGCGGAGGAAGGAAAGGAAAGGCCAAGCCGGGTTGCCGCTTTCGGGTGAGATTCGTCGCACGTTCATGGGCGCCTCAGACGCGGTCGGGTTTCGCGCCGACTAACCCGCTTATTTCCCGCCCCCTCGCCCCGTGAGAAGAACAAGCAATATTATGGCTACTAATATATACAGTAAAATATTGGGAGGGTATGTAATAATAATAACAACCAGTGCTCTTTTCCCACCTAAAAAAATGTTGAGGGGTACTCTCGTTTTGACTCAAGAATATCACCGTTTTATAGTTCAAATCGGGAAAAATAAATACAGTAAATGGACAAAAGTACTGTACAAAGAATCACAAAATGGTTAGGGGTATGCGTCCCCCAAGAAAAATCACTGATGATAATGATATTATTATTATTATTATTATCATCATCCGGGCTTACAGATATATGTATATAGTGTACACACACACACACACACACTTTCCTGCTCATGTATGGGAAGCTCAGGAGTGTGAGTATGTAATATTTTTTATATATATATATATATATATATATATATATATATATATCTATCTGTAAGCCCCTTTCAGTCCCTGTCAGAAGTCCCCCTTCTGACAGGGACTGAAAGGGGCTTACAGATATTATTACACACACACACAACATTTCTGCGATGCAAACAGGGATGTCCTATTCCATAATCATAACAATAATTTTATTATTTATACCTTGCCCATCTGACTGGGTGGCCCTAGCCACTCTGTGCGGCCTCCAAACGTATATAAAAATATAATAAAACATTAAACATTGAATGTTAGTTAATTGAATTTGTATATTGCCTCTTCAGGATTTCAGACAGCAGTCTCTCCCAAAATGGGCATAGCAAAGAGGGGGGTAGCTGCCCCCCCCCAAATCAAGAAATGAAGCAAAGCAATGACACCAGAAAGTAGCGTGGGGTGGCACTTGCTTTGAAGTGGCGACATTGTCTGACATCTGATTTTCTGCTTCCACTTTGACAAAATACGGAGCCAGAGCACTACTAGGAATGGACAAATCTGGCAATTTTGGTTTCTCTCAGTTCTTCAGTTTCCTATTCTTAAGTTCAGTTCACATCAGTTTGTGATTTTTTTAAAAAGGAAAAGTTGAAGAAGTGTGATTTTGAAGGATAGCTGTGTTTCAGTTTGTATACTGCTTCAGAAAGTATGAATTCGGTTTGCATTAAAATGCGAACCAAATGAATTTCTTCCCTGGCTCTGCTTGTTCGTCAGTTGATCCTCTCCTCCCACCCAATCTGTTTTAGAAGCTTATATGAGGCCTTGGAATCTGATATGCAGGTTTGACAGGTCACCTTAGCAGTGATGTTAATTAAACATAAAATGAGACACAGGATATAATAACGAGTGCTGTGGAAAATTAATTAAAATGCATCTCACTTTAAAAGGGATTTTAAATCTGAAATTATGGATGTTGGCATCACCCAATTATCAGACCTTGAAAAACAAGAATAATATGCTGCCTTTCTCTGTATTGCAAAGTGCTTCAACAAGCTGCTTTTGACAAAACAGAATTGAATCCCACATAAGGATGCCAGAAGGGATCCATTTTTAAATAAATTTATACATGCATTTTCCAACCCAGTCAAACTTTGCTCCCATTGAACTACCTCTTGCACCAAGGCATTCATGAACATAAAAAATTGTCTTCCATGAACAGAACAGTCACATGCTTTGGCCTTTGTATAGTTATTGACTAATAAATTAAGTTACGGGTTTCTGTGCAAGAGGTTGGGGGAAAGGCTTTTAATATCTAGTGTAAAGGTAAAGGGACCCCTGACCATTAGGTCCAATCGTGACCGACTCTGGGGTTGCGGCACTCATCTCACTTTATTGGCTGAGGGAGCCGGTGTACAGCGTATGGGTCATGTGGCCAGCATGACTATAAGCCGCTTCTGGCAAACCAGAGCAGCGCACGGAAACGCCGTTTACTTTCCCACCAGAGCAGTACCTATTTCTCTACTTGCACTTTGACGTGCTTTTGAACTGCTAGGTTGGCAGGAGCAGGAACTGAGCAACGGGAGCTCACCCCGTCGCAGGGATTCGAACCGCTGACCTTCTGATCGGCAAGTCCTAGGCTCTGTGGTTTAACCCACAGCGCCACCCGCGTCCCTAATATCTAGTGTAGGATTTTCTAATTGGGCTTGTTTAGTTTTTGACCAAAAAGGGTAGCAGTGGTTTATAAAGCCTTCCTCTATTGACATATTCTTTCTTGAAAAGAAGAAAAATGGAGTTAGAAAATGACAATCAGATTAATAGTGGCAAGCGTTTCAGATGTTGGGCCATTCATCCCACATTTGTATGGATTTCTGTAGCTCTGGTTGTTAAGCAGTGAAAACAAATAAGTTTTAAATATTATGCGTAACCAAGAATCCAAAGCAAAATCAATATGGGTGAATAATAAAAAAATTCTGGAAGTATTCAAGTATTCAAAAAGGTCTGCAGCTTTCTAGTATGGTCACATACTGGAAAGTCCTACTTGTTTAGCTCTGATTGCTTCACTCTAAATTCCTGAGATCTTTGTTTACAGTGTAGTATTGCTAGGGTAGCAAGTAGCCTTGCAAAATAGCTGCATAGTATACCAACTTCCTGCAGTGTTGTGGTTTGTCAGGTCTATGTCATGGACTATTATAGCAGCTCATAAAATGAGACCGGCAGGCAAATGGCACAGATTTATTTCTTTATTTATTTTAGTTATGAACTGGTTTCCTATTAAACATCCTCCCCGAGATGATCATGTTTTGAAGTGGATGGACAGGAGGACAATTGCAACTCATGCTTTTCAGTGATCCAGACCATGGGATAGATACCACAGTCTGCCAGCACAATATTTTGTTGCTGGGGGAAATGCAGGCCTTTGAAGGTTTTTCATTTTTAAAAATAAATATGGTCAGAAATTAGGAAGCTGATTCAAGAAATCCAAAACTTTCATTATCATCAGGTCTTTATTGGGGGAAATACTGTTTCCCCCAAAACTCAAAGCAAAATATTTTGTTGTTGGGAAAATGTACCAACAGCATTATCATCTCATAACTTCTCCCCTGAGAGTTGGAAATGTTGTGAGAGTGGTTGCATAAGGGTCACGATGACTTACTGAACACTGGTCGTGCCCTTACTTAGCTCATGACTTTACTTGGATGACTTTAAAAGAGATTAAATTCGTGGAGAACACAGCTATCAATGGTTACTGGTCATGATGACTATATATACTACCTCCAGGTTCCGAAGTCCCATCTAGATGTGGCCAAGAGAAACTGCAGCTGTTGCACCAGCCTAAATTGATGAAAGTTACTCCTAGTTACAGAGGCAACAGTATCCAGAGCTGTATCCAGGAGTTGCGCCATGAACACAGCCCTTTAGAACTGCAGGGAAGATGAGCATTGTTAGCTGTTCTGGCCCAAACACGTTGATTTATAGTTTGCAAAGGATAATTTAGAATACAATCCAGCTGTCTCTGCAGTCATTTGGATTGGATCACTGAAACCTTACAAGGCAAACGGGTTGTTTTTCTTCTTTTTGCTGAGAGACTATTGCATAACAAATCCAGGGAGTGCTTGCTGCCCAAACAACTTATTATGTGACCTTTGCATGAAATGTAGTAGAGGAAAAACAACAAAGGCAAAGTCTGCAGTTGCTGATTAACATTTCCCTTTTATTTTGATGGTGTCCATATCAGCTATACAAATCTGTCCTTTGTTTCATCTGGTGCTCAGTTTTGGTTTGCACACACTAGATGTGTCTGTGTGATTGGGGAGGTATAGCAAAATTGCACTGTTTTCTTCTTTAGGTGAGAGCGAGTGAGCAGTAGTAAGTCTCAATAGTCCTGCTTTGCTTTATACCATACATTCTTCTGTCTTAATTGCTGTTTTTGTCTTATTCTGTGGTTGTAATAGTTTGTCCTGTCCCACCATCTCTGCCCAGTGGACACCCTCCCAACAGTTAACACCAAAGCTTGTGCAGAGCTGACGTTTACCTTAGCTCTATTGATTTTTTGTGTCCACCAAACAAGAGATGGAGGAACTGGACAAATTGCAACCACAGAATACAAAAACGCACAAGAAAAAACTTGCAGTGAAGACAGGTGATTATAAAGACCTAAGCAAAGCAAGAATATGGTAACCGAATTCAAAGGGGCAGTTGTTTCAGGTTTAACAAACCCTTTATATGGGGAAGAGCCATAGTTCAGTGGTAGTGCATCTGTTCTGCTTGCAGAAGGCCCTGGCTTCTATCCTAGGCGTCTTCAGGTAGGACTGGGAGAGAATCATGTCTGAAGTCCTGGAGAGATTCTGCTAGTCAGTGTAGGCAGTACAGAGCTGGAAGGACCCAGGGTCTGCCATGGATTAAGCCAACTTCCTATGCTCCTATTACACACTTCAGTCCCTGTGCTGTTCTGCTGAAAGTTGGTTCCTACATCATTTGATTTATTTGCACTTGACCACCAGAAATTAAACAGCTGCAAAACCGACTTTGTGAACTGGCCTCATGGAAAAGCCAGGAGTATGACATGAACTGAGATGATACAAAAGTGGCATCACTTTAAACTATTTAATATTGGGAGAAATTTTCTTAGCATATGCTTAAATGGACACCGCAGAGTAGTTTTAATGCCTGTTGTAGTTTCCATCATAACAGACTGAATCTGACAGGCTTCAGCTACAGGCAGCTTTTTAGAAGTGGCTGCTCATTTCTGTTAATATTTTACTGGTATGGAAAACTATCACAGTCTAAGATGCAGAAATGATTATGGCTTAGACCCAAATGTGCCCTAGTGCAAGCCGAAGGCATTTTTGCTTGCTCAAGGGAGGACCCGCAATCCTCCCTTTCTGCAGCAGCTTATTCCACTCCCTGGCATTGCACTCGAAGCTGTTCTAGTGAGCCCCACAAACCTCAGGAACAGCTTTTCACAAGGGGTGTATGGAAGTGGGAGACAGGAAAGCACTGCCTTTTTAATGGAGCTCTGTCTGCAGTAGCTGGAATCCAAGCCCATGCAGAGATTTCCCCAACCAGAGACTATCATTCCTCTTGTCTCCTT